TTTATTTTACCGGAAATTGAATCTTGTCGTATTAAGTACGAGCTTCCTCATCGCTACGTGTAAGCTAGTAACGGTAAATACCTGGCCCGTTACACTCTCAGTCGCTAGATCAACCTAATCAGCGTGAGCCGAGTGTGCGCCTTGCTTCGAAACAGCGTCGCTGCTCATTGCGCCTTCGCAATGAAGGCAAAAAGTGAGTCGATGTAGCTTGAATTTTTCTCCTAAATTTAAGGAGAAACAGCATTTTACCTACTACTCAGCGACAAGGTTATTGTGGAGCATTTTGACAGTGTTCTTTGGGTCATATCAAGCGACTAGATGTGTGGCTAGGAAGACCAAACGAGGGTTATTGGTATCCAATCCTGTTTTTCATGCTGTCCTCGCGGACACTTTCAAATGAAGCAGCTGAAAATTCCTCCTATTTTTTCTCCTAAAAATAGATTTGTTGGGGTTAACAGCGTTGCGTTTTATTCGTCGAATCCGGTCCGGTATTGGATTGTTTTTTGATATGTGGTCCACGTATGAGTTACATGTCATTTTGTGTAGTCTACATCAACTTTACCCACCCTAATAGTACGCTCACGATGTAAATTACCAGACGTCACAATATATTACGGGTGACAATGGACAAGCTGTTGCTAATACTGCACGTGTTGGTGCTTTCCGTGGACACAGTACGCGCCTCCGACGGCTGCAATGATGACGACTGCGCCTCCGTATCGTGCCTACCCGATTGGTGGCGCAGCGTGAAGGCACCGCAACTGGTCGTGGCCGCTGTGCTGGTCTTCTTCGCGACGTTCCTTCCGCGCGTACTGGTCCGCCTTCTCATTTTTGTGCTCACCAAGCTGCCGTTCATGCATCAGTACAGTACAACAATTGCCTGGTACAATGCATTATGGGCAAGCGTTTATTGACTTGTTATTGTGCTGCTGTGCAGAGTGGCCGAGGACTTCCGGGAGTCATGTGTGGGCTCCACGTCGTACCTCATCTCCATGTCGCTAGTGCTGCTGTCACTGGCAGTATCGGATCTGACCAAGTTTTTCTGCCACCTTCCTACCTATATCTGGGGAGTTTTCTTCCTCTATTGGCTCTACTCACTGTTTAACGTCGTCCAGAGTGTAAGTGTTGGGTTCAACTCTCTTTTTTTTTCTTGCGACCTAACATGCCTGTTTGCTTGGTCGACATAGTTGGCTGTGCGGCGGTTTGTCGGTACAAATGGAGACTTCTCCAAGAAGATGGTTATCTCCGAGTCAGTCAAGGTGAGAGACCGGATATTCTGCTTAAAACGTCCTAGTATTGTTGATTTACCGTTGCTAACTTGCCGGTAGATTCTTCGGCTGACGACGCTGTTAATCATTGCGCTGATCATCTACTCGTCAGCTTTGGGTAACAGTGCTACACTCAAGTACTCGGTGCTCGGTGTGATTGGTCTGGCCATCGCGTTGGGCTTCGTGCCATCTTTCCACAATGTTGTGGGCGGTCTCTTTCTCGCGTTCAATTCACAGTTCAAGATTGACGACTTTATTCGCGTTGGAGACGCTGAAGGATTCGTACATCGCGTATCTCTGCGTTACACGACAGTGGTGAGCCTTGAAGGAACAACGCTTTATGTGCCTAACAGTTTCTTTCTCTACAAGCCCATGATCAATTTCTCGCAGCGACCAAAGCGCGACGTGGATTTGCACGTCCGAGTATCACGCGCTACACCAGTGGAGACATTGCGACAGGCTCTACGACGCCTGGAGAGTATGCTACAGTCGTTACATGTTGGACTTACATCTCACGAAGAAAACCAGTCAGACTTGCGGCATGGCGAGAAGTGGGAACGCTTCTTTTTCGTAGCAATGGAGGAACTCTACACCATTCGAGTATACTCATACACTGAAGAGCTGGATGCGCGCAAGTATGCCATGCTCAAGTCTGAAGTCTGGCTGGCTGTGACAGAAATCATGGAAGAACTGGGCATTCGTGTGCTCAGCAACGATGATCCTGATCACCCGTTCGCCGAGTCGCCCCATTTCTTCAAACGCTCCAGTAGTAACACCAGTAGCCATGCTGATGATAGTAGCGTCGGAGACCCATTTACCAGCGAGATTGGTGCCGTGGTAGGGGCCCAGCCCAGCAGTAATGGGATCAAAGGCCCGCGCACGCAGCTTTAATGGTGAGCGACGATCAGAACACAACCGTAAGTTACCCTATCATGTTACGCTGTCATACCTAATGCTGTAGCCATTGTGCTCCATGAACTTCGGCTTCAATCTCTTGAAGTTCCTGCTGAAGTTCTCGTTCAATGGTCAGAGCGCGCTCACGCAAAGCCCAGTCCTGGTCACGATACTCGAGGCGCAAGAATTTGCCGAGACCACTAAGCAAGCGTTTGTGTGACTCTCTGAACACTCGTTCACCGTCTCGGTGTTGTGTTGTGAGTGCTGCCAACAACGGTTTGTTCGAGGTATCCAGCGTCGACGCCGCACAGCGATCTAGACCACGACCAAGGGTAAAGTCCAGCCCAACTGCACTGCTGTCTTGCGGAGATGACGATGTTGGTGTGACGGGGTAGGCATCGCTGGCATCAACAAGTTGCTCAGCGTACGTGGGTGAAGACGGAGCGGGCTGGCCTTCGATGATCGGGTCATCGTACAAGTTGGTGCCTGCACCGCCTGCGGCAAATTCCAGCACCGAGAAATCACCGGACGATAAGCTTGGTCGTAGTCGCGTTGGAGACTTGCTTGGATTGTAGAAACTACGTGTGGTTGGGCGTCCCCCTCGTCTTGGTGTAATCGCGCCAGAGTCTCCACGTTTGCGACCAGATAGTGCCGAGTCGTCCACAGCACGCGGACGTCTTTTTGACGAGCTAGACATCGATGACTGGGACTTGACTCGAACAGATTGCCGCGAGTTTGGTGTGGATGGAGCTGCTTCTGCCTCTGTTGTCGAGGAGAATGAAGGGTAATTGACAGCAGACTCCAGCCAGGACCCACCATGCCACATGAATCGATACGTTACGCCGAGACATTCTAGCCGAACAGCACACAGCGCCTTAAGCGAGGACACCAACGAGTACAGATACATCTCAGCGAGATGACGGTCAGATAGCATGAGGTCTTCTCTCTCCATCAACAAGCAGCTACGTTGTCCAGCGGTTGAGTTATCGTTCCCACTTCCTGAGGCATCGTTGCTAGGAAGACGAGCTTCACCGGTGTCGAACATCATGCCAGACGCTTCGATGACACGAGAAGCAGAAGGAAATCCATCGCCTCCGGAGGCAAAGAGGGAAGAAGCGTCATGTCCTGCGCCGGAGATTTTGCCTTGCTTAACCTGCGAGAGCCAACTGTGTGAGTCCGGTGTGGGAGGTTGAGCAAGGGGGCAAGCTGCAAGCTGGCTTGAAGCAGCTAACCACTTGGCTTGTCGCTGTCCCAGCTCAACTGCAAGGGCTTCCGCCGCTGCAGAAGACTCCCTTACTTGCTCGAGCAGCAAGTGCAGGGTCATTTGGAACGAATCTTCCAGTTTGTCACCATCGAAGCCAATGTCGAGGGAGTTGATTTCATCCTCAAGTCCGTACATGTCGTACGGGTCTTTCTCTTCGTTGGTCTGGGCTACCTCACTGAGCCGCAGAGCAGCCGTGACGCCTTTACGGTCAGTCAAGAACTGTTTGGCAACAGCTTGGCAGCGCGAACCTAGGTCTTGTGTAAGCTTGAGAATGCTCAGCTTATCTTTGAAGTACCCCACCTTCTGCGATACCAGCTCCATCACTCGATGACGCTGTGACAATCTCAGTTTTTCAAGTTGCTCACCTGTGAGCCCTGCAAGTGGAGCAACAAAACAAACATTGGTAATTATTCGGTCTCCTCAAGGAGTTGGCAAGAATCGACCTACAGGGGATGGTAAGATCGTCCTTGAAGACCACGGAGAAGACCGCATCAGCATCGATGCAGCTTCGTTCGCTAGCTCTCAAATACTCCTCCGCTTCAGTGGCAGTTTTGGCATGAAAAAGCGTTTCTTCCGCGCGAAACAGCAACGCAATACCGACTCCGTAGAACACAATCACTCCACGAATGAAGAAGGCATCCCAAATCCGCAGAACCTGCGTCAGAAGATAGCAATTCAGGAAGTGGTAACGATATGGATTCGTATAGACTGCAGCACTTACTGTGGGGAGCGGGATAAGCGAAGCGGTGAATAAGCTTAGGAACCATCGTTCAACTAGCCGGCCAAGAGGGAACTTCAAGGTTGCTAGATGAGCTGCGAGAGTCGGTAAACGGTTTTCTAGAAGTGTGGTGAACGCTGCCACATCAATCTGCAAAGCTGGCCGGTAGCCATGGAAATAACCCGGAAGAAGCGAATCGATGATGCTGTTAACCATGAAAACGCGAATATTTCAGCATTGCACAGTAGTCATCTAGTAACCTTTACAAATGAGGGTATCCGTACCTGTTAATGATCCAGAATGCGCTCTCTTCTTCGACATACGCGAGCAGTAAACAAGACACTCTCCAAGGAAATGGATGGGAATATGGACTGGATGAAACCACAAAAACAAAACAAAAGCAGTAATGAGAGACTGTGAGCAAAGAGATAGCCACAATCGGCTTGTCAACTTACTTGTAACGCGAGCTTGCGATTAATAACCGGCGCCTGGATGTAAGCTCCCAATCTGCTGCAGGGTAGTCGCTAGGGTACACGTAGTTGCCCATTTTGCCCTTTTCGAGCTGCTTGAGTGTATTTCGAGCTGACGGGCGTCTACGAAAAGGATCGCTGCCAGCTTTAGTCTCTTCGACCTCAAACTGTTCGGCGTCTTCGTCGTCCATGGAGTCTCGTTCGTCATCGTAAAATGACCCGCGGTCTTCACTGTATTGATCTGACGGGTTCGATGCATCTGAAACAGCACGTCCAAAGCGACCGGATAAATTCTGTAGTTCACTTGTCCGCGCAGTAACCGCTGCGTGCCCACTTTCCTGGAGCGCCAACGCGCACAAACGGGTGAAAAGCATTTGGTTCTCCGGTGTATCCATCTTCGTTGCGTCAATGGCTGCAGAGCACATTTCATAAATTGCGTGCTTCTTCGATGTTGGAGATTTGTGGCCACTTCTGACAGAATTTTCACGTGATGGCATGCGGAAAACGTTCGATGACTTGGATGCACTGCGGATCGCATGTTTAAGCTCTACGCGTCGTTGGAGATCGGTCGCACCAGAAAATCCTTTCCAAAGTTGTCCACGCAGCTCGTCTGGGATTCCTGCACGGACTGCCGAGATAATCTATTCAATAAAATAGTCAATTTTTAACAAATAGAAGGTGTTTGAAATCACGAAGAAGATGGAAGGGATGTCACAACTGCTCTCACCTCTGTTGTCAGCCCATACTTGCCCGTTGCAATACATTTTTCAAGCTGTGTATACTTTGTTTCCGCATGCCCCTGTAGTAGCAAGTGTAACCACTTCTTGGAGCTTGGAGTAAGCTCAGCTTTTCTGGTAGTAACCCCCACACCTGAAGACCCGAGAGCTGCTTTACCACCAGCTCCACCACCCGATTCTTCGTGATCATCCTCCAGTTTCAATACAAACATCTTGGACGGAGGAGTGGCAATCCAAATCAGACACGTCTCCCGTTCGAGTGCTGGCATTTTAGCAAACTTAAACATGCCTCCATCTTTTTTCCTCTCTTCCATAAGCTGCTCTCCAGTAACGCGAACGGTAGGGGCATGGCGAACGTCCACACGACCCTGTAGTTCACCCAATGTATCGTCCCGAAAGTACAGCAGATCACCCGACGTCAAGAAAACGAAGAAATGCCGCTTCCAGTACGTCATAATGCTCTTTGGACTGTGAACATTCCGCTCTCGCCTCTTCGTCATCCACCCTGAATGAAGAACATCCACAGTCGGGTAAAACGCCGATAGTGATGCCAATAACGACAATCCTTGCTGCGATTCACTGGCACTAAATACACATCACGTTTAGTATCGCGCCCGAATAATGGTAATTCTGCGTGACATACCCACTCCATTCTCTGCCATTGTGGAAAGCCAGCAAATTCACGTGCTACAATAACAATCAGTATTCATCCTCCTAGTATTATACAAAGTTGACTTACAAGAGGCGTCAGAACAGCAAATTTCTGGTCGTATGCACCCGGTCTCGAGTCATTGGTATCCGAGCGGTTCTGGTTCGCCCAACAATCAATAAGTTAGCACACCAAATGAAAATTTGGAGACAAAATAGCTACTCAGCGTACAAATTTCATGGGTTTCCTGCCAGCCATAGGTACGGGCGTGAAGCAGCAGATACCCGTGGCATCCGTCATCGAGATAACGCCCTTCGGCGTGGACATGAGCAGCGTATTGACGTCCTTGAATGTGTCATAGTGACGCAACTCCTTCATGCCGTTGGGTGTAGACAAGAATATGAAGTAGCGTTTACGCCAGCGCTTGCTAAATCGCCCAAGCTTCTTGAGCCAGCCGTGCCAGAGCACGGAGACCCCGAGGAGGCTCTGGAATCCAGTCGGATTCGAGCTAATTGCGAGCATAACAAACGCATGAGTAAGAAAGGTGAGAGGCTGAGGAAGGTGGCGAAGGTCCCCCTATTGCTTAAGCTTTTTGAGCGCCAGGGGGGAGAAGATAGCGCACGCACTTGCTCCGAGTCTTCTGCATCGCTTGGCTTAGTCGATCCTGGAATGACGTTACAAATCGGAGACGATGTCAAGGGCGCACTATTCGAGGTGGGTAAATATGATGTGGCATACATTATTTTAGGATGGCCACTTCAATCTTGGCTTGGAAGAAAACGGTGTCTTCGAAGGCCAACAGAACTTGGTTGGAAACACTGATATTGTGAGCTTGGTGGTACACTAAGCCATGCTAGATCCTTGCATAACGTGAGTCTGAAGCATCCTAGCTGCTTGTTGTCTGTAGTGCTCTTAGTTTTTGAATTTTTTTTAGTCTTGTATCTGGTCTACATTGACCCTTAAACCATTTCACTCTCTTATCTCAAAAGCGTCGGAAGCTCCGGAAGCCTCCGCGACGCAGATAGTAGTAGTATGCCGCTCCAACGGCCGCGCCGCTGAGGTGTGCCACATGGCCGATGCCGTCCTGCCGATCCGTTGCGAATGAGTACGCGTCCTTGAAGATGAAGAGTGAGCCACCGAGCCACGCCGGCATGGGAATGATGCCAAAGATCAGCAGCGTGCCGTGCGGGAACAGCAAGATGTTCATGGCCGTGATGGCGTTCACAGCTCCACTTGCGCCCAGGTTAAAGGTCAGTCGCCCCGACAAGTGCTGCTCATACACCGCTGCAGCCGACGAGATCACGCCGCTCGCAAGGTACAGTCCGAGGAACTTCCTGTGGCCCAGCAAGTCGCAGAGCTGCCTTCCAAAGAAGTATAGACCCAGCATATTGGCGCCCAAATGCCCCAGCGTCGCCTGGCTGAACATGGAAGTCAGTAGTGTGTAGTACCGTCCCTCCTTTAGATGCTGTGTGGACGTGGTGAAGTGGGTGAGCATCGTCCTCATGGATGGCTGGAAGGCTCGTAGCTGCTGCGCCGGGTGTCTTGGTGGTGGTGCCTGTGCGCGCATCCAGCCAATGGTGACCGCGACGTTGGCGGAGATGAGGCCAAGCACCACCACGTCGCCCGATACGGCGCGGCTCTCACGTCGACTGCTGGAGCGGTAGTGGTACTGTTGCCTCACTTGCTGCTCCGCTGCGCTGGGGCGTTTGTGCAGCAGTGGAGAGCGCGCACTGGGCCGCAGCGCATTAGGCAGACGTGAGCCGAACTTGGCGCTCGCGAAGTTGCGTGCCGTCGCCTGGCGCAGGGGAACCCCCGAGCCCATGAGAGCGGTCTTCAGCATTTTCCAACCGGTTTGTGAATGACGCAAATCAAACGTTATAACGACAAAACGTTACATTTACGTTATTTAACACGTAATATTGGCCACTTCAAGTTGAAGTGGTTCCAATGAAAAACAACAACAAGCGGTCTCGATACAACATCGTGGTACTCAAGTAGAAGGCCACCTTTCTCTCTCTTTCTCTCGGTACAACATCGTGGCGAGTCGGTCTACCACGGCGCCATTGGGTTCTCATTGAACACGGCAGCTGAGCGGCGACAATGCACGCTATTTTCCACCGTACTGAGGTTGATGTTGCTGCTTTGGTCGAGAAAACAACGACCCTAATATATCCGAGAATGATCCGGCATCACAAGATTATATCAAGTGAGCGATGATAATGCCATCTCAACTTTGGCTTGGGCAGCCACAAACCACAAGAACACCCTCATGATTACTTTCTAAACGACGAATTCTATCAAACCAAACAACAAATAGCGCTTTCGAGTACCAACAATACTTTTACATGGTTAATGACCGATCATGCTGACAAACTAGAAATTGCTATTGCCTCGTCCACAAGTTTCCTCGCATAGTGCTCCTCGGGTTTTTCTCGATCAGAATGGGCCCCATGACACGTTCAACGGGATGAATTTTCCTCCATTGAAGAGACTCAAAGATAAATCATCCACTACCATCTAGTATTCATGCTTAAGCCCAATGGTGGCACTGCTGCCATTGTTGTGAACGACAGCTTGTAAGTCACCGCACCATGCACGATGTCTGTCGATGGTGGATGCGAAATGTGAATCGCTTCAAGTTGTCATGAAAAAAATGCATGCTACATTCGCCTATATGTGTTTTGCTTCCACGCAAATCTCATTGTACGATTGTTATCGGCAATGAGGAGCCGTATGTGTGCCTTGAGTCCTGTTGTGTCAAATGAAATATGTATTGTAGAATCCCCACTTTCAGCGATCAGTTCCTTCACATTCCGCCGGCACAACCTAATCTGGATCCGTAGGACTCTTTGCCGGCAAAGGCGATGCCAATTCAGGTGGAGCTGGATGCGTACATCGTAGTCACCCGAAGTGATGAACACGAACCGCCGCTGGTACCATCCAGATGCCAGCCGGGAACTTCAAAGCTGAAAACCACTTTCTCGTTCCGTCTATGACTGCTGGGTGTAAACTTTTTCAATTAAAGATTATTCATCGTTTAACATCAAGTGAGGTGGACAGGAGTGGTGACCAAGCAGCGTACAAAAGTGGAAGCTGTGCGGGCCGTACGTGATAGTACGGCATCAACCATGTCACCTGTTCTGCTCAGTCTCATTAATCGCGGGATGCAAGCGGAATGATAGCTGATGCACCAACACGTCGATAGACTGCTGTTCGTAGAGTGCACCACGCGCCACGCTTGAATTCATTTTCGAATCTTCCACCTCAACTACAGCCAGCTTTACTTCACTGGACGATGAGGTCCTTTCGAAGCCCTGCTGCTTCACTTGCAGCCGCTGTCGCTACACTAGCTCTTGTGTCTGCAGTCGACTTCAAGAGCGGCGTAAGTTCCTCCACCAAGACCTCGACAGCCGAGCAGACATCCGTCGAGCAAACCTCCTCGGACAACGCCGTCAGTCTTGCACCAGTGGAACCAGTCGCTGCTTGCTCAGATCTGTTAGCTGTTGATATCACCGCTATTGGTGGTGCCGGCAGTAACATTACCGCAGCCGAGGAGAGCGATAGCGATGGCACCACCTATTGCTCGGTTACGGGTAACTTCGCATCATCTGCGGGTTGGCAGGTAATGCTTCCCGTGGCGAATTGGACGCAGCGCTACATGCAAGTCGGATGCGGCGGCTTGTGCGGCAACATCAACATCCAGCCAGGCGCAGCTGACGGTTCTGCTCAAGTGACCAACGGTGAGTTCGCGTTGGCCTCCTCGGACATGGCAGGTGGCTCCGATGGCGAGTTCGGCCTTGATGAAGACAGACGAGTGGCCTTTGCGTACCTGGCTGTTCATCAGACAGCCGAGACGGCTAAGAAGCTGATCAAGGCCTATTATGGCCAGGAAGCAGCATATTCGTATTTCAACGGTTGCTCCGATGGTGGTCGTGAGGCTGTCATGGAAGCCATCCGCTACCCGAACGACTTCGACGGTATCATCGCTGGTGCACCCGCCATGCTCTTCACATTCCAGAACAGTTTTCACCACGGATGGCTATCAGTTAGCAACACCGACAACGAAGGAAAGCGCATCGTCATCGCTGACCGCGCTTCAATTCTGCACGATGCCGTCGTCAAAGCTTGCGACTCTCTTGACGGTATCGAAGACGGCCTCCTGTCCGATCCCAGACTCTGCAACTTCGACCCGTCGACGATCGAGTGTGCCGCGGACGCTACCGACAACTCTACGTGCTTGACGTCAGCCGAAGTGACGGCCGTGACCAATTTCTACAATGGTCCGAAAGATAGTGGAAAGTACCTGACAGTCGGAGAGGAGCAGTACGGATCGGAGTTAGCTTGGTCCGGTGTCTTCGTCTCGGACTCGTACACAGGCGACATCATGAGCACCAACACTGCGCTTGCTGCCATCAAGTACTTGATCTTCGAAGACTATCCGGGCGATAACTACACCTTGAGCGACTTTGACTTCACTAAATCCACCATCGATCTGTTACGTGCACGCCATCCTCTTCTCGATGCCGTGAGTTCGGATCTCTCGAAATTCCACAAGGCCGGAGGCAAGCTCATCATTTGGCACGGTTGGTCAGACCCGCACATCTCGCCGCGTACGACCATTGCCTACCACGAAGCATTGCAAAAGACCATGGGCAAAAAAGTGCTGAACGAGTTCGAGCGTCTGTATCTTCTTCCTGGAGTGTATCATTGCGGAAACGGTGAAGGTCCGTCTGCGATCGATTTGGTGACGCCCATGCTGGAATGGGTAGAGTCTGGTACTGCGCCCGAAGCCATTGAAACGAGCACGCCGACCAACACGGGCGAGAGCAAGTTCGGTCAGTGGGCCAAGTCTGGTTCTGGCTCTGGCGGACCCCCTTCTGGCTCGGCTCCGCAGCGTAATTTGGAGGCGGAGGCATCTTCTTCGGGATCGGCAGCTACGACCGTCACGCGCCCGGTTTACCCGTACCCCGCAGTGGCCAAGTACAAGGGCACTGGTGATGTGAATGATGCTGCGAATTTCGAAAAGGGCAGTGCGCTTTACACGAAGCCCACTCGTTCCTGGCTGGGAGAGGACTTCTTCAACCCGTACACGCCCACCAAGGCATAAAACGCCAGACAGTAGTAAGTGAGCACGAAGCTGACCCCACTTCGTAGTATCTCAAGATATTACTACTTACATGATGAGTTAAAGTGTCGTTGAAGTGGATGTACTGCTGCTGTATTTTTTTTCCTTGTTTGCTGCCGGGGTAGACCGTGTCAGTTGTGCGTGAAGTACAACGTCGGGATGTATGCTATTGACCTCATAGATGACGGGGTCTTTTCCTTCTATCGATGAGCCTTCCGGTACCGGCCGTGGGTCTTCTTTCCTTTGCGTAGTTACTCTTCTGGGTACAGGTATACAAGTAGCCTTCACCCAAAGACGAGCAGAACTAGTTCCGTGACTGGCAAGAATCGCTGCAGTTACTCTCATATGTCCAAAGTGCGATGTACTACCAACGTCCGGTATTGAGTGTGAAAAGCTTCAAAGATGCCGGCACGGGTAAAGCCGTTCGTTCCACGACAATTGCCGAACAGAAATAGTTGGATTATCAAAGTTCTCCTGCATCCGTCATTTTTCCGAAAGCCTCGTTCGCCAGCAACAGCTCACGTCTATTGTCTTCAATGAGCGTTTGATTCCAGGCTAGAACAACGCACAGAATATAGGTGGAGGTCATCCACACACGCTCCATTGCTGAAACAATACTTGAAATTAGGTACCTGTCTAATCTCGCATCTAACAAAACGCGGCTCCACACTTGCCGTGCACGTCAGATACTTCCGAAGCTGTGGATGCTTCAGACTCTCCTCACGAGTCTCAACTTTGCCCTTTCAGTCACGGAATTCATTGATTCAATGCCGCCGTGCGGATTTTCCCTCCAACTTTGATCCAGCGACTGATTGTTTCTTGCTTTGGTGGTCCGTGACGTGGCAATTGCCGGAAATGCGCTAATATGGTCGATTGGCAGCGAACATGGACGTCGAAACTGTCACTTTCTCGTTGCCCGTAGGGCGTTTAGAAATGGTATTGGAGGTAGTGGTACTGTCAATGTAGCTGTAATGAGCATAGGGCGATGCAGAAGCCACTGGAGGCTCGTCGGTGATGCTGTTGAACGTTGCTGCTTAGTTGTACAGTACAGATCGAGTTGAAGGGTGAGTTTCTAAAGACAACGTAGCCATTTCTAAACAATATAGCCGTGTATGATGAGAGGTCGCAAGTACAGTTCAAGCATAGCGTTTGTTGTTCATGGGCGGGGAAGGCGATGCTGATGGAGCAACTGTGTTCCACTCGCGCCTACGTGCCAAGAAAGAGGAGCGTATGCAACAGAGGCAGGAAGAACTAGCATTATCTCGCTCTGCAGGGTCGCACCACAACTTCGACATCAACACGACTGCAGACTTGGTAAGTAGTTGAAACCCAGCCTATTGAAACTTATCCTAGACAACACTGATTGCTGCATGTTAATAGAGAGATGGTCTTGAGAGCTCCTCGCCGGGCAGAGACGTTAATATTTGGGGCCAAACCAATGTACATCGACCGGTTGCTGCGGAGGCTGATGAAGATGCCATTAAGCGACGAGAGCGAGCGGAAGCCCGTAAACGCGTTATCGAGTATCACGGAAGTGTTTGGGATGCAGTGAGCAGCAGCGATGTGAATATGGTGTGGAGTTACTTTCTTGTTGAAGGTGCACCGATGCTATTGCGTCGACGACACCCAGACGCAGAGCAGGGTGGACGAACCCTACTTCACTATGCAGCATGGTGCGTATACTTGCAAATGTTGCGTTGTGTGTATTAAAGCAAGTGATCTGACTTGTGCGATGGTGTTGGCGTGTTGATATAGGCACGGATACCGAGCTATCGTTGAACTCATTTTGACCACTGGATGCGATGTGGACGTAGTCGACAGTGTACGTACTTCTCTCGTTGGATTTTTATATTTCAAATGTAGATTCTTAGAGCTTGGATTGGCAGGTGGCTAGTAAGACTACTGCCTTAATTGAAGCTGCGCGTGCAGGGCACGCTGATGTCTGTGTAACCTTGCTACACCACGGAGCTAGTCCAAGACACCGTGACAGCTATGTAAGCCGTTCGCGTTGTATAACTGTAGTAATTATCAAAAGACACTGATCGAAACAATATTCTATTGCGAATTATGCAGGGGGATACAGCATTCCACTGGGCAGGTCGCCAAGGGCACGGCACAGTGCTATTACATATGGCCCTAGAACAAGAGCGCTTGGAACCTGGGTCTACACCGTCACTCTGGGTCATGAAGGTACCCTACTCATGTGTGGGTGTTTTAAAACTATTATTTTATCCGTCCTATATTGCTGGTAGAACTACAAAAGTCGGACTGTCGTGGACCTTGTACAACAGCATACATTCGTAGTTCCGCTGCTCCAGAAACGCTTGGGTAGCTCGTTCACTAGAGCTTTGGAGTCAGCGAAGGGGAAACGCAGGTCTCGTTTCCCAGTAAGAGTACGTTGCAAAAGCTGCTTTCTGGTTTCAAACAACGATATTCTCATTCACTTATGCACAGCAGGCCGCAGTTATGGGAACCAGAAAGTCGATCCTCATCCAAGCAAACAATCGACCCGAACAAGGTCTGAATGACAATGGAGTGCAAGTAGCAGAACCGCTTGAACCAGCAGCTACAGCTCTCAGCGGAGTCGATGAGCTTGGCCTGGATATCTCGTCATTCACATACATATCGAGAGATAGATAAACAAGCTTGATACAAGTCGTACAAGTATTGATACGATAATAATACCACTACGAAATGTGATTCTCATCGAAAATAGCGTCCTCGAGTTCGTCCTCCGAGCTGATAATGGGGAGTTGGTATCCCCGTAGTTGCGCTTCAACGCTCTGACATCGCATTTCAATCTGAACGAAGTCAAGCAGAACCATGGAGGGGTTTATCCTGATGGTGACATCGGAGGATCAACATCGACGTTCCGTTCAGAAGAAGAAGCAGGAGTGGCGAAATCTGTTCGTCAAGCTCGATGACATCTCGGCTCGCTTGATTGCATTCACCGATCGATCGCAGTTCGAGATGTACTGGGGCATTTATCTAGTGGGGGCCGACATTGCAACACCCGTACCAGGTGAACCCTCTAACGGTATCGACGTCGACGACACACCCTACTGTTTCTACGTTCGCGAAACCAGCGCGGTTAAGGAAAGGACTGCACACACTACTTTTCGGCTCCGGATGACGCGACGAAGAAAGAGTGGGTGAAAGCGCTCACTCAAGTTGTTAGAGACGGACCTCGAGCTCCTCGGTTTGCCGTCACACAACCAGGAAACGAGTTCGAGTTCCAGGCTCGTGTCGTTAATTCTCGACTTCATGTCGACGGCACCCACGCTGTACGTGTCCAGAATGTAGCTGCGCCTCTATTTGATCGTTAATTACGTTTCATAACTCACTACGCTCTCAGGAATACATGATCACTTGCTCGTGTCAAGTGTTCAGCAAGTTGGTGGGTCGTTGTTTAATGAAGGAATGGAGCCTCTGGCGGCGATTCTCCGAGTTTAACGAGCTATATCAGTACGTTTAGTGAATCATCGAGCTCGAACTACGCAGCTAACGAATGATGCTTAAACATTGTACGACAGAGCATTGAAGAAGTCGATGGGACCCCAATTGGAGGGGATAGATCTTGTCAAGCACAAACGCGATGCCTTCTGAGGAATTCTGGGCAAGGCATTTGACCACGATTTCCTAGAAGAGCGTCGCATTTTACTGGACTCCTTCGTGACGAATGTTTGCAAAGTTCGGCCTGCTGTTGACTTTTTCAAGCATCACTCCGAGCCACATCTCAAGGTGAAACCTAGCAACCCGACTTCAAGAGAGAAACATGACATTGACGATATCATTCGTGCATGAATAGGCTTTCTTCCGATTCGATAGCAACTGCCAGAACGTGGTGAGTAGCGTTACTCCTCTCTATTCTCACTGCTCATTAACACTCTTTTTCCTCGCTGAACAGGATCAAAATCCACGTATAGCGAAGGGAAGTCAAAGTAGATCCAGGAATACGCCAAGACAAGACAAAGAGGCCCGGCGGGGGCCAGCTTCATTACGTTTGTCTGACATCAAAGAGGACACAAGATCTCCACAATCTCGGGCATCCACCGCCAGCGATGCCGCATCAAAAGATGGTAGGAGTCGGCCCAAGGGCTCTCAAGGAGCCCCCAACGGCGGGGCAGACGAACGTAGAGCTTCGAATTCATCACAAGCATCGGCATCGTCACGAGCTTCAACGTCATCACAGTCATCAGCTCAGGCATCTTCGCATGAAAATGATGGCTCAAAGCACCACCTTTGTCACCACCGCAAGAAAAGCGAGGATCTGGATCAGAAGGAACGACCACGAACAACGAGACCCAAGAGCAGCAAGCGGGAACCAACCATCAACTGTGGCTCAATAAAGGCGGAGATTCGTCTAGCTGATCCAACAGCTTAAAGTCAGGTAACCAAAACCCCAACGGTGGTAATCGTTGTTTGCTACCATTTACGGATAATTAATTGCCTATTGTAGTCCTTTTCCACGGACACTGGTTTTTGATGGGGACGGAGAAGGCTGAGAGAGCTGATGAAAGGGAGTAAGTAGAAGTACCAGCATACATCAGCTTGGCGATAGAGTAACCACATACTGCTACAGCGAGAAACGTACCCGGCGCTGAATAGAACCTCCAAACACTGGCTTCATGTAGCGTTCATCGATCTACAGAAAGCCACAGACTATCGATTATGCCCACATCAATAAACAAACAACTCCAAAACGTACGTTGCTCCAAAACGAGTGCAAGGCACTTTTTTCTTCTCGACGGGCAAACACTGGGTGGTTGCGGACATCCTCGTCGTCGTCGTGATCCGAAATCTGAAATCATGATAAGGTTTAATGCACCTCGAAATAAGACCGAGACTAATAGCTTCTGATAAGTACCATTTCGTCAAGAAAGCCTTGCTCTTCGTCATCTTCTTCTTCGTTCTCTTCCGATGGGTGTGGCTGATCGCGCTGTCGAGGACAAAATCAGAACCGTTCAAAACACAACTCAGAAAATGTATGACTTAGCAAAAATGGAGAACACACCTTCAGGCGCGTGTATGCTAGCAATGGCTCCGTCATTCCACCGCAGATAATTGTCGTAAAGATACAAACTGAAGCATGTATGTCAGGAGAATTACTAAGTACATGAGTACATAATTGTGGCCGTACCAGAAAGTGTCGTAGTGACGTATAAATCCTGGTTTGGACCCGGCATGTTCCTGTAAAGACAAAGACAAGCAGTCAACATGCAACTTCGTTCCACAAATACTACAGTGCTCACGTACTGCGACAGCGCAAACGAAATGGCTCCACGAAGTCCTGCGAACCACAGCACAACTTGCATCTTCGCTGGGATTTTTGTGGTGCGCCTAGTGAAGAATATGTGAGCTTTAGTGAACTCAGTACGTATGAACAGTGAGCGTACCCTTGGTTGGCGATCCAACTGAGCGGGAACGTGTTGAATAGACGTGACACCAAGCAAAAGATGGTAGCGAGGAAAATGAAGGTGAAGTCCCAACGCCCAAACTGGCCAGCGCATACACCCATGCCCATGTACAGGAACACAAAGAATTCCGACACCAGCGCGAAACTCTTGAAAATGTGCTCTGCAGTCACTTGTGATGGCTTGGACAAATTGTACGAGTTGTAGTGTGCCATGATAATGCCACAGAAGAACAGTGACATGATGCCCGACAGCTTCATAACCTCTGCAAGCGCGTACGAGCCGTAGGCGTAAAGAAACAGCAGCGTGATCTCGTACGCCGGATACCCCTTGATGTTTGAATTTTTACACATGAAGGCGCAGGCAAGTCTGGGTAATAAAGCAAAGAATATATCGAATATTAGTAATAAATAAAGCTAAAACAGCACGCGTTTAAGCATACCCAGTGAAGATACCACACGCCACGGAGCCCAACGAAATGAGCGTAAACTCCATCATCAATGAAGCCGCGGCGCCGGTCGTAAATTCACTCTGGGACTGCTCAAACTGTTAGGTATGAATATCATACTTGTGTTAGCATCAAAACACTCAGAAACGTCCTCGTACACACAATCAGCACCTTCAAGAAGGTGTTGAACAGCACAATGGCTACGGCATCGTTCAGCACGCTTTCACCGAATATGAGACTGTAGAGCAGGGGATCCAGGTTCAGCTCCGGGTTTCCCAGAATGGAGAGGGTCGCTACAGGATCCACAGAAGAGATCAGCGCTCCAAAGAGCAGCGCTTCCAGTGGTGAAGACGGGTCGATGTCAATCCAGCCCAACTTGCCAGCGTAGTACGTCAAGTAGCCGATAATAAATGTCGACACAACCGTTCCCAGCACTGCGTACAGCAGAATAGTACTACGCAAAATCATGTTAGTAAGTACTCCAGGAAATGCTAACCTCCCTGGTTCGCCCATACTTGAAGTTGTCAAAGAATCGTTTCTGCGTAAGATAAAACAGTTGATCAGACCAAAAAATTAGAGATAAAAAACTCTAAACCAACAAACCTACCCGATGCACTGAGTATCCCGCTTCAAAGATAATCGGTGGCAGCAACAGAAAGTAGAACAAGATTTTCTAGTGCATCATACCCCAGCTCGTAAGAACGTTCAATCTAAAATCTAAGTAGGTGGCTTGATTTCGTACATTGAAGCGGAGGAACTCCATTTCCTTCCGACTCGGGTAGAATAGCCGTGCACTACACAGTACCAATACACCAGTTAATACATACATATTAAATTTACTGTTATAACTCAGCAAAAAGAATTTGTAGTACCAAACACCGACGATCATCCCCACGAGCATAGCAGCCCCCGATTCGGGTAGGTAATAGAAGCGATACTCCTTGATCAAGTACGCACACACGATACACACGCCCAGTATGACCACCTAAGCCATCAGTTGTGAATACAGTCAGCCTCCAATTATGAGACATTGTTGCACCTTCAATGCCAGGTACGCACAAACAGCAGCGTATTGAGCGCGCCGAATTCGTGCAGCCCTTCTCCTGCCACTTTCTCTGCGAATACCCAACGAAACAACACAAAATAAGCATAGTCGCAACCGCCATTATCTAGCCAGTATGAGATACTAAAGAACACAATCTCTCATCGCGTTTTCTTCTCCCTACAAGCGTACGCACCCAGTAGCTCCATGTTTGTCATTTTGCACTCACGTCAGAAGGTCACTTTGTAGGAATGGCTACACTTTACAGTTGATGTAAGACACATCGTTATTTTGTCCAGCCAATCAACGCGCAGCACGCAACCCGAATCAAGTGAAGATGGCGGAGCAATTGGCCGCATGTGCGCGGCAGCTCTTTGAGGGCGAGTCGGGAAGCGCCGAGCAGCGCACCGCCAATGTGTGGATCATGCAGTTCCAGCAACATGATGAGGCGTGGCAGGCGGCCCTACAGCTGCTGGAGATGCCCGTGCGTGACCCACTGACCCATCAAACGTTAGCGGGCCCAGAGCTCGTGGCGATGCAGATCTTACGGCTCAAGACACAACAAGAGTGGACGCATATCAGCGATCAGCAACAGCAGGCAGTGCGGCAGGTGCGTTTGTCATATATTATGCCTCACTCGTCGTATTAACTGGAGACGAATGAAAATTTTAACGACATTTGCTGTACGTTGCCAGACTTTGTTGAAGCTGCTGGAGATAACGTGTGTGGCAGACGGCGGCCTCTCGCCTGTAAGCTGCCGCATCGCCTGCGTAACATTGGCGGATATTGTGGTCAAATCTTGCAAGACCTGGACGGGATGGAAGAACGATGTGCAACGGCTCGTGGACGCAGGTATTGTTGCTCAGAGGCAGCATAAGGGGGCGGCAGTGGTATGATGGCGGAGCAAAGCCTTGTTATGGAGTTTTCACTGACGTTAACATGCAGTTGGCAGAGGTTCTTGGAGCTATTCCGCTGCAAATTTTGGCATCGGAGAGGATGTGGATTGCCGACGAGATACATCAAATACTGACGCTTTTTCAAGCGGAAGTCGAGGAAGTAATGACGGCAGTACAAATGATTTTGTCAAATATGTACGTCATTGCAGCATTAGCAAAAAGTTCGTGCTCTGATGACTCGTGATGTGCAGACCGGATGAGAGGAGCAATGCGCTTCGCTGCCTAGAATGCTGGATTGTGGGCTGTGTTCCGACCCACGAGGCGTTCGGTTTGACTGCTGCTCATCTTTTCACTCGGTATGATAATTGCTGCAAAGCTGCTGATGTTGACAGGGACAGTTGAACTGTGAACTTAATCAACCCCGTTATGTATGTTGTGGTTGCGCAGGGGACTGATCGACGAGCTGTTTAATATCGTCATCAGTGGCAATGAGGAGCAGGCACAGGTAATGTACTTGCCTTTTATCCTAAGTGCTTGCCTCTTTTCTTCTCTTACACACCTACACGTCTGATATTTTCATACGTAGCTGGCTGCTGGCATTGTCGCAGACTCTTTTGTGTTTACCGTGCCTGCGCCCCTGTCTGAAACTATGATCAATGCTGTGCTTCACTCGGGTCTTCGTTTAGTTGAAGCAATACCAGTTTTTCGGTCGGATGTTCGTTCTCCTACGGGCGAGATGATGACAAAAGAGCAGCAGACGACGGCATGCAGGGGTATTTCAAGGATCGCTTGCTCATTAGCGATGAATCACGCCCCTATACTGCTGTGGAATCAAGTCCCTGGTACTCAAGCGACTATTGGAAGCTTCACGCCTGAGCAGAAATCAAGCCTCTCCATGCAATTTTTGGAATTACTTCTGGCTTGCTCCTCGTACGACGATATTGATGTGGTGCAGCCCACGTTAGAGATCTGGTTCTTTTTCCTCGAAGAAAGTTCGTCGCAAAGTGAGGCCTCATGGCAACTTCTAGACGCACCTGGGAAGGAGCATGTCGTTAGCGTGCTTTCACGTTTGGTTAATGCACTCATTGAGCGGTGCAAATACCCTCAGTGGTTTGTTGACAAGCAACAGCTTGTTAGCGACGACCTTGAGATCGAAGCGATTTCTGACTTGCGCAGGTAGGATTTCATGCTATCTGTGATGGTCTACAATCATCATGACCTAACGAAACTTTTGCATGCACTTAGAGAAATCGCCGATACTATGTTGAGTCTATTTTCCAAATGGCCCGGAGGCCCAGGGAAACCTACTGGGGATTACGCTTCGTGCGTGAAGGGCATATGTCAAATGTTGTCGAATGGCAAGGATATTGCGCTGATTGATGCGCTACTTTTTTTGCTCTCGTATATGGTTGAGCTGTTTGATGCTATATCGTCGGATTCGGAGTCTGAAGATGACCCAGAATCGTTCCTAGATCCTGAATCCGGAGGGATAGATGTTTTGTTGGGGGTATTAGACCGCGCTCTCAACCTGCCCATGCATCCTCTCGTGATCAACGGTGTTGCACAGTACGTAGTACTCCCGAAGAACTGCGTCTGTGGTCCCCAATTGCACTTTCGCCGGATCTAATCACTACTGGTTTTTTTTGATTTTTGAATAGGTATCTACGATCACTGAGCGCCTCTCTTGCTTTGCCAGCCAGCGTATATCTACGCGCTTCAATGATCATTTGTCAAGGACTACAATATACGGCGTCTTTCCCAGTGGCGGTGCAATCGCTGCTGCATAGTAGCTCACCTATTACGTAAGTCGGGTGAAGGATCATCGGCCATCGCTCAGTGGAGCTAATGTTATTCTCCTTGCACTGCGCAGTAAATACTCAACAGTCGAGGAAAGAGCGTCACTATTACAGGCTTTACTCCAGTTCTGCAGTACGCTACAAACGAAAACTTCCCAAGAAAGTGAAGGAGACCTACTGGAAGTGACGTTCCGGATCTCTAGCGGTGTATCAGATGCAGGTACGGATCCAGGACTTTATGTTTGCCGGTCGCAGTTCTCACTGTTTTGTGTGTTGTAGATTTCGGTGCATTGTGCTCAACTGTTCTGTCCAATCTAACTGTTCGTGTTCAAAGTGGAAACCCGATCGAGGCTTCCAATAGCGTGTACATGTTGGGTCGAGCTCTTGGTGGTGTCCAAGATCAACAGCAAGGGTCCGCGCTAGTTGATCAGCTCTGGCCTGTCGTGAGTGCTTGTCTACTCCAGCACAAAGGAGATGATATTTGTCGCCGTGCAGGAGTTCAGTTTTTCCTCAACGTCATTACCCATCTACAGAAAGAGGGCGTTCATCCGATTGAAGCGCAAATACTGGACGTATGTCTGTGGTGGTATCGAGAAGGCATCGCTCCTGATATCCTCACCTGTTGCTCTCGAATCGTGGCGAGGCAACGAAACAATAGCGGCTTTCAGGTGTCAGCTGAGCAGACGTTCGAGGTATGGAAGGGATGTGTTTTCGGTGGACTTACGCGCTATGCTGACCCATTTTCGTTGTATTCTTTCAGCGTCTTCTTGCTGACTTTCGTGGCAAACTGCACGATGTCACAGGAACTGCTGCGGATGGTGGGGTGCAGTCAATGGAGGGCTTCCTATCACAGCACCATGAAGCAGATAAAATGATCCCGGAGGTTGAACAATTCATGAAGTTGGCGAGGGAAGTTTTGAGCTCTGTCCCACAAGTACTGACGAAGAACCGTTCCAACGGAGAACCGACACTGTATTGGGTTTGTTTGGATCTGGCAACAAGACTTTTGAAAGTAGATCACCAGGTACAAAACTGCTTCTGTAGCCGTGTTGGCTTATGAGCATTAACCTCTCACGTGCTATATGGTAGATGCAAGAAATGTGTGACGCTGCATGCGACTTCCTCTTGGACGCGATGCGTTGCCAGCCAGAGCCTATTCTGAACAACATAAACGTCTTTGCCTCGGAAATTGTGCGTGCTGTGCTGAGTTTCTTGGGCCCTAGACGACAGTATTATCGCGTGCGGAACCTCTGGGATTTTTTATTTCAGTGTATACATGCTCCTCAGATGCCATCGCAAATTCGAGGCAAGTTACATGCTGTGTGTATGCATATCGCATTTGAGTGGAAAGCGATCTAACTCTGATATCGTGCTGTTTATTATGCTTGCAGGTGGTTTCCTGGCCGCTGTGTCTACCGTTGTGATAGAAGAGGGTGCTCTTCAATCGATCCTACCTGCCGAAGTGTGCCAGCAGATGCCCGGTGAGCTGCGAATGCGTCGCCAACGACATCGATTTCGACAATATTTTACTCAGTTCGCTGCCGAAGCGGCCAACTCATAGGCACTCATCCTTTGTAATGGTAGTGGTGGCAACCGGATTAAATGTTGGTGGATTGTGTGATGGACCTGAGAGATTCCCCTAGCCTTTCAAAGCGGGAAACCGTTGACATTTTTTTATTATGAAAATCGTCGTGTTCCTCCTCATAATAACCAACACGAGCTGGCCATAATTTCTCTTTTGAACTGCCACCGCACTGGGTGAACTGTACTGTAGTACTAGTTCTCTGTTCGAGCTTGCATGTACTTAGTTGAGCCTAATACTTCGAAACATAAATTCAATCCTATTCAGCTCGTAGCTGTCTTGGACGATGCAGTCGATAAACTCATAGTCTTCCTCTAGCGAATCGAGATATTGATGCTGACGCAATTTGTGAGGTTGAAAAAGGATGTCTTCATCGATCGGTTCATCGTCGTCAAGAATTGTTTCAAGGAGTGCGAATGCTGCGTCCTCCAGCCTTTTCATCTCCAGTGGGTCGATGCCTTGTGTTTGGTGCTCCATATTAAGGATATCTTGATCAACTGGATGTTCATCGTCTTCGTGAAATTGCTCGAGCAGTTCGAATGTTGCCTTCTCTCGCTCTTGCTGCTCGGTGTGAAATTGTCCGTACATACTGCAATCGTCCTCGTCATGCATCGACTCAAGCAGAGCAAAAGCCTCCTCCTCCTCCAGCCCCTCGTATTGTTTATCGAGATCAATCGTGTCGGCGCCACTCCTAGCGGATATTTCGCCATTTTCGTCGTCAAGAATCGACTCTAAGAGTGCGAACGATTCCTCCTCCAATAGGTCATACTCGGTCCACGTCTCCCAGTACTTCTTTCGTGTACCGAAACTCAGCATGCTTTGCAATCTCGACTCGCTTGGTGGCAAGAGAGCCAATTTGGGAATGAAGCGCACATTGAACTATGTAGCTACTACGTCAGTGCCTTCCTTCATGTATACAATCCATCACTTCGAGTCTGTCAATCTTGCTTTCCAGGGAGGCTGGACCGATTTCAATTGAAAATCTTAATTAATACTCAACATGCTTGTAGTGCAAATGTCAGCTGCTTGGCACCCGTGGGCTACACCTAGTGTCTTCAATCGGGATGACCAGACATCTATTCCTCAAGGTCAAGCTTGAGGTGACAATGTCTGTTTCAGTCTAAGCTTAACGAAGAGATGAAGATATCCCGAAATTTGCCTTTAAGTGACCAGACATCGTTGCAATTCGCAGTTACCACATGTTTCATGACGTACCAAGTATGTTTTACTGCCGCAAAAAAAACTAAAGCCTTGGAAGTAAGAATCAGTGATGTCATTCCCAAATATCGAGATCCACCATTACTGTGACCCCTCTTTGTACAAAATCCAAAATTCTCTTGAATAAAGGGTCGTCCCTCTCTCTGTGGACTGTTTGGCCGAACGCCCCTGCTTCCAATGCCCTCCACAGCTTCTGGGTCTTCACTTGTGACTCGCACTCGAGCGGACCATGCGTCGTCCCGTGCAGCTCCGGGGCGCCCGTTCCGCGTGGGCAGCGACGGGTTGCCGCTGCTGCCGTGCCACGACGCTCCCGTGAGCGTCATGCCCGCCTCCTCGCCCCCACCGGCCGTCACGCTATTCGGCAACGTCGACACGAAACAAAACGTCCGCACGCAGCTTTTAGCACGCTACAGCAGCTCGAAGCAGCTCGACCAGGTCAGCGAGATGACGCTACGCATCGACACAGAGCTCGAGCTGCTGCGCCGTAGCTGCTTTGCCCAGCGCAATGCGCAGTGGGCGAACATCACGCCAGACCAATTTGAGTACAAGCCGACGCCTATCGACTCGTGGACGCCCCAACCAGCAAACGACAAGCTGCTACTACGTAAGATGAGAATGGAGGGAACGTTAGACGGTAGCGGGAGGGAATTCTACCCTCCCGTTAAGACACATGACCAGGAGATGCTGGAGTTCGTACGGGATCGACCCTGGCCGCCCCAAGAGTTCGCGTTGAAACCCGTGGCGAAACCTTCTAGAGGCCGGGGAGGCAAGCGCAAAGCTGCGCCGATGGCGGCGGTACTGGACCCCGTGCCATTGCTAGCAAAGACTTGTCGGGAGTGCAAGACGCAGTCAACACCGCTGTGGCGCACACAGACAAGAACAGTGAAGGTGAAGAAACAGGTGCTGAAGAATACTGCAGGAAATGATGCGACGAACTTGGCCAATGCGTTTGTGGCGCAGAGTATGGCCAAGATCGACCCGCAGAGGACTGAACTGAAAGTGGTGGAAGAGAAGATCGAGGTGGATCTGTGCTTGAAGTGCTATCTGAAGCTGGAAAGAGCGGATCTGTTTGATAAGAAGCGTAAGGAGAAGAAAAAACAGGAACGACGGAAGAAAGATCAGGCCGCTGCGGCGGCACTGCAGGAGAAGAAGCGGTTGAAGCACCAGATCCATCTTCTGAAGAAGCACAAGAAGCAGGAGATGCTGGCGGCGCAACAAGCTGCTGGTGAACAAATGACGGAGCAAGTGCAGGAGGAGGCTGCAGCCCCTGCTGCGGTGATTCTTAAGTTTACGAGAGAGGAGATTGAAGCTGCTACAGCCTCGTCGAAGGAGAGGAAGAAGGACCGTAAGCACAGTCGCAAGGACAAGAAGAAGAAGAAGAAGAAACATCGTCGTCAACGTGAATATCACGAAGAATCAGAAAGCGACTGCCCAACTCCGATCCCTTCGCCCGCGCAGATGAATGGGTACATTTATGCCGATCGAGCCCCAGAACCGTACGCCCCGCCCCAAGTTTCATCGTTTGAGGCCGAGCAGGCACATGAGGAACCAATGGCGGTTAATACGGAACCGGAGGCAGTAAATAGCGGTCTCCACGAGGACGAAAAGGAGGTATTTACACCTGCAAGGTCCTCATCTCGGAAGAGAAAGAGCGTCCAATATACCGAGCCGGCCGTTGAAGTGGAATCCCCCGCATCTGCTTCGAAGAAGCGTAAAACATCTTCATCCCGGTCTTCTAGGTCAAAGCGGACGACTACAAGTGCGTCGCCTGCTCCTGCTGTGGTCGCTGTCCCTTCAACCCCATCTGTCAAGAAGCGTTCTCGAACCAAGAAGGAACTCGCACGTGAGCGTGAGCTGCGTGCGCTGGGTCAGTATTGTCCGGTGTGCAACGAAGTCTACGAGGACGACGATCAAAACACGTTCGTGTGCTGCGACTCGTGCGAGCTCTGGGTGCACGGAGCCTGCGACCCGAGTCTTACCCCGTACGTCGGACTGTTGAGTATGGTGAGAGTTCTGTACGATACTGATGTTTTGCTTTTTTTGGTTTTGTGTGTCCAGAGCGATAATTGCGTCCATGGCCAACACAGAAGATAAGTACATATGCCCGCTGTGTGCTGGACGGTGAGCGCTCAGTGATGAACACAATGAAGATAGAAACTAAGGAAGACGAGCGCGACGCCCAGCCAGGTGGCTCAAGGCGTATTATAGACTACGAAGCCTCTGCTCGTTGTTTCAGTTGTTGAGTTTGATGATCCTGGGAATCGCACACACCAGCCTGGATAAATGGTGTTTCGTCCATAAATGTTGTGTACAGAACGTAAGACGCGTGCCTGACAAGTTTCGCTACCACCACACAGCGAAGTCATTGACGCAAGATGTTCGCTCTTCGTGGCATCCGTCGCTTCTCCACGGCGGCGCCGCGCAAGGGTACGATACTGCAGTGTGAAACTCCGTTGCTGTTGCCTACTTGACTATCATACACTGCTGCTATTGCTGGTTAGAATACCCCACGTCCTTCATCTCGCACCTGCGCACGCAGAAGCTTAACGTGTTTAACATCGGCATTGCGTTCCTGACGCTGTCACTTTCGTCGCAGATGGTGTCGTACAAGCAGCGATTCGAGACTGCAGTAAGCGAAAAGGAGAAACTCAACGAGAAGGTGGAGGTGTTGGAGAAGCTCGTACTGGATCTGGGCGGCAAGCTGCCGGATGAGGAGGCGCTGGCCAAGGCAAAGGAGGCCGCTCAGGAGGCAGAGGCCAAGGCACTGCGCGACCGCGAGGAGGAGGCTAAGGCCCTGGCGGCCCTGACTGCAGACGAGAAGAAGAGCAAGAAGAGCAAGCTTATTTAGGCCAGAGAGAGGCACGATGCAGCGGACATAGAGGATAGCCGATTGCAGTGCCGTAACCAGCCGCAGGCACTTAAAAATCGACCGGTGATTCACGTGCAGAACTCAACTACTGTGATTGCAAAGCGCGGTCAGCCAATACACTCTCGTTCGTTCTGTTACTTCTTGATGGTGGACTGCAGCGAGCGTCTGGATGAGATGCTGTCCATGCGGTTCATCTCGTTCACGGCCGTCAGCACCTCGTTGATGTTGGTCTCCAGTACCATGCCACCCATGACGATCTCATCCAGCGCGTAGTGAACCTTGTCACTATGGAAAATCAGGTCCAACTCGCATACATTCTCGAAGATCTTGTCCAGCGTCTCTACAAACACTATAAGCGAAACCCACCCCGTTAAAGCCATAAACCTCACCACTGTAACAGTATCCTAACAACCATACGCACCTTGAATCAAGTCCAAGATCCCAAGATCGCTCTCTTGCTTGTCCACCGCGAAGACGAAGTAAAGCGTCGCGTAATGCCGATAGATGAGTTTCACACCGTCTCCCCAATACCGCACTCTGTGCGCCCAAGCTTAGAGTCAGTACATATACAACAGTCAAAAGATAGTATCTGCAGCGGGACTACGTACGTTCCCTCGAGGAAGTTGCAAAGCGTGTCAGGACGCTTGGACACTTGCGTGTAAATATCTCTGATCACGGCCTGCTGCTCGGCATCGGGCTGAAAAGATCGATGCGGCAATTTAGCAACCAGAGAGGAAACATCATATTTACTGTAAAGCTGCCTGTGAGCGTACCACGTGCTCGTAGAACTTGACGATGCGCGGCTTGCCGTGGTTGTTCACGATGAGGATCCCCTTGATCATCTCTTCTGTGTCAAGCTAAACTGTGTGCATGAAGTGTGGCACGTAGGGTATGCTTTCTCCAAAGGACCTCTTACATTGCATACTTTCTTCGATTGGTCGAAAAACATCCGTTAAAAGTTCAAAAATAGATCAGAGCTCATTGCGAACATGGCAGGACGTAGCATCAATAGCTCCACTGCAACCGGCGACGCCGCTACACGTCGCTCATCTTCATCTCATCGGACTGGCAACGATGCCGTACGAGGTCAGCATCGAAGTCAAGCTGGTAGACGAGCAGCAGACAGCTCCGAGGATATGGAGCGCGAGGAAGATGACGATGTGGAAGATTCTGATGAAGAAGAAGAAACGCAGATCCCCATTGAGGATCAGATGATGGAAATGACGCAGGAACTTCCAGCCTCAGAGCGAGATATGAGTCCTCCGCCCGTGCAGAGACGCTCTCCGCCTACGTCGCCGCCGCCGATGACTGAGGCATCGGCAGGCTCACCGACTGGCCTTCCAACCGCCAGCTTATCACCTTTTGCAGACGTCGAATCGACGACACCGCAGTCCAATGAGGACGAAGACTCAAGATCTGAGACGTCATCGGAGGTGAGTCTAGGATCGGGTCGACCTGGAAGACGTCGAGGAGCCAGAAAACGCGTGTCGACGGCCTGCTCGGACCACCGGAATCTGTCTGAGAGGATGATGAAGGCGGTGGCTTGCGAAGGAGACGGAGAAGAGAGCTTTGGCGAGTCGATGACAGGCGCAGACGTCGTTTTGTGTGTCAGACGTAACGAGAACCGACGAGAGGCTAACGGCAATGGGAATTCTACTAGTAATGGAAGCAAACCGGGAGGCGTTCGACGGTTCCACGCCCACAGATTCATTCTTGCAGCGAGCTCACCGCCGTTCCGTGCGATGTTGACTGGAAACATGCGCGAGTCGTCGCGACGGGATGTGGAGCTGCATGATATTGAGCCTAATATTGTCGAGAAGATGCTGCTTTTCATGTACACTGGAGACGTGGTGCTGGATCTGGAAAGTGTACTTGGACTGCTGATCTCTGCGGAGATGTATGAACTGATAGCTCTGCGAGAAATGTGCAAAGGCTTTGTGCTAAAGTATGCACACGAAGTGTTTTGCGACCCGCAGATCGTCCAGCTACCGGAGAAGATACTGCTTGAGCTAATTCCTCAGGACGATCTGCAGATCCGAGAGCTGGCACTAATGGAAGCTCTCGTCATGTGGGGCGAGTCTCGCGTGGCCAACGCTGACAAACCTTTGGGAGAGTTGCTGGCGGAAATGATGGAGTTTATACGCTTTCCTACGATGAGTGTCAGCGATCTCTATGGCAAAGTACGTCCGTTAGTGAATGATGGAGTCATTCGCGAACATCTCCTTACTGAAGCTCTTTTCAACCACCTGAAGTGGGGGTCGCAAACTGGCATCGCATCGAAACGTGCAAAGCCACGTGCACTTACAGCTTCGCTGCGCAAGCGTAAGCGAGTTTCGTTTACCCAACACGTGACGTTCGAAACGACACCGCAAGGAAATGGAGCTTGAAGTATAAGCTGAGCCTGCAAGGAAAATGATGTCCAGCGAAGGAGCAAAATTGTCGAGTTATAATTATTAGGCCGTAGCGTTTACAACGAAGCTTAACGCGAAATCCCCCCCCCCCCCACTATTCTCTTGCATGCAGCTTCTTGGCATGTGTCATGCCGTGAGCTTTACGCTCGTCATGTCCTCGATGTCACCGGTCTTGTCAACTTGGTTGCGCTAATTGCTGGTGTCTTGTGTTACTATGGGAGAATGATGACTCCATTGTTCGTAGTCGAGCGGCTCTTCATGTGCCTTCGTGAACCAAATGTCCCTTTTCCTCTCAATCGTATTCGTTCATGCTCATGCTGGCCTCGGTGGAGTATTCACCTTGCAGCACGTCCAAGAAAGAGCTCGAGATCTGACGACAACAAAAACACCAGATGATTAAGTAGGATTCCTACACCTTACGCACAGCATATCACGCTTACATTGAAAGCTCTCGCAGTCGCAAAAAAACGGTCGACGTCGCTGTCGGACTAGTGCAGCAAACGCGTTAGTTGGCTGGTATGATTACATCCAGACACAATTTCAACTCGCTTTACCTTGTGTCGATGGAACCAGTTAACTTTCGATAAGTAGGCGAAGATGTCTTCAGGTGTTGGCTTGCGTAGGAGTGGAGTCTACACGGGTTGAGTGAAATTGTTTCTCTTAGAAACCGAATCAAGTGGTTGCATAAGGCGTACAGTACCTCAATTATGCTGAAGACAGCCAAGCACGTTTGGAAAAACACTTTCCATCCAAACTCAAAAAACAAATCCAGGAACGCAATAACATAACGATGGGGAAACAGTCGGCATTCTGTGAACAAGGTCAGGATCCAGCTGGGATATGAAAAAGCTCGTTAGCGCGGCAGTGAATATCCACAAAATATACGACAAACTCACCAAGATGCGTAGGTTGAAGGGTGGATATCCCGATCTGACAGGTGGGCATGCAAACGCGGTAGATGCAGTCGTAGCGCTTCATCAAGCTGGAAGTAGCGCAGGTTCACATCTTTCATGTCGGGACGATAGACATCGTCCAGTCTGTACTTTTCTGATAGAGCCAGGAACAGACGAAACGCCATCTCGCTGTTCATCTTGGACTCTTGCACAAGCACCGCCGCCACAGACGTCATTCCCTGGGCACAAAAGAAAGGTGATAATTAGTACGATCCAAGTCGCAATACATCTGTACATTTTTGCAAATGAACCTGGCAGTATCCAATCTGAGGCTTGAGCATCAGGAACACACTCAGCAGCTGATGTGTGTTGGATTTCCAGGCATTCAAGTCGGATGTCGAATACTGTGACTTGGTTAGAAAATTCGACCGCTTGGAGTTGGCAATACGAATTTGTAGCTGCTGAAATGTGCGATCAACATCCTGCACAGCAGCATAATCACTAAGTCTCCTTGTTCTTGCTGTAGCTCTTCAACTACGCCGCCTACCCTGTCGAGAGTTCGTTTCTGCTCCAACTGCGCTCCCTGTAATCGGCGCTGCTTGGATAGATGATGCACGAGCCACTGATAGTCGTCTGCCGTGAGGTCTGTGGGCACCACGAATGACTGCCGCTTGCGCACTAGGAAGAGCCACTTCTCGCCGCGACAGCCGAACGGCAGCATCTTAAAGCGCCAAAGTAACTGTCGGAAGGAGAAGGCGGGCTGGGCACCGCGCACTTGCGGCTGGCAGCTCTTACACAGCACGTGCGGCTCACTACCACATGAGCAGAATTGACAGACCTGTGCGTGGCAGAACTGTAGCCATATTTAGTCACAACGTTATAAATAAAAATCGATTAGAGAAAAGAAATAGCTTGTCAAGACAAAGAAACGGCCGAAAGGACACGAACGCTGCATGGTTTGGCCGGACGGAAGCGGTGGCAGGCGACCTGGCAGCATTGGCAGAATGGCGATGTCTCCATTGCATGTGCGTCTGGCGGGCCAGTGCAAGCAGCGGTGGATGCGGATACGAGCGGCATCGCCATGTCCTTCTTGGCAGTCGATATCTTATTCAATTGTGGCCAATACAAAACCCAAGGTAGTTTTAGACGTTCATTTTTTTCTGTCCACACCTATCATGGAGAATATGAACTCTATTGAAGCATTAAGATACTTCAAGTTGCCTGGTGTTCACTCTACTTCTGGTCGTCATTGCCCTCCATGGCCTCACCATCGTGTTCTGCGGCGTCCTCACCCTCGGCTTCAGCCTCAGCTTCCACTGCACCATCCTCCGTGACCAGACCCTTGTTCCACAGCTGACGACCTGCAAGATATCAGGAGTTTAGATAAGAGCTCGCAGCACGCTATGTTTCCGCGTACCTGTGAGTTTCGCAGAGGCCTCGTCCTTAATGGAGGCTTTCTTCTTGGGCGCCATCTCGGCGTCAAACTTAGCTTTCCAGGCGGCGAATGTCTCGACGGTCACGGGCGTACCTGCAAAGCGCGAGACAGTTAGTAAGTTGCAAGTCATTCCTATCGTAAAAAGTAACTGCATTCCTTACCGTGGAATTCACGTCGGCTCTCCTCAGCTTCTGCGTTGGCCTATATTTTAACATAGTCGTAAAAATCAGCACGTTAATGATTTGCGAACTTTTGGCTTCATATCCGCTTTCACTTCTGCAACCCACCTGCTCTAATTTGTCCGCTTCCACCTTCTCCTCTTTCTTCTTCTTCAACTCCATACGACGCAGCATCTCCTGGTGCTCCGATCCGTCCTGCCCACCGATAAACATAAGATTTATTTCACATCAGTACCTCGGTCGTATTGCATCCAACACCAGCAATCCGCAAAACGTACGTTTCCTTCGCGGTTGTTTTCCACTAAATATTCACGCACTGCCTCCGACAGCGTGTACATCATAGCCATACCCATATTCTCCTCGATCTGCTGGGCCAGCAGCTCCTTGATCTCCTTCACTTGCCTGTCCGCTAAACCTTTCTTCACGATAACCTCAATCTGTGTAATGCAAAACGTGCAGCAATCATCATAACACTAATGGGTTTTCGAGCTCGTCAATGAATCCTGCATCTTTCATCGTTCACAAACCTTCGGCTCCAGGTCAGGGTACGTCTCCGGGATTTCTGCCTTAAGGATCAACGCCACTACATTAAAAATAAAACGATACCGGCATCAAAACCACATAGTAATCGCCAAACAATTCCACCTAATAGTACCACAACGCCAACACAATGACCGCGCAACGCACCGAAGTTGTTCTCGCCGTCCTGGTTGGGTACCACGTGTACCTGGTAGGTAAGCGGCTCGTCGGACAGCTCTACCACATGATTAACAATTGACCGCAATTAGTACACTACATAATCCACGTTAAACTGCAGCAAAAATCCGGCACACACTGGTAAAGTCGTCCATATAGATGGCCTCGAGGGCCTCCACCTCCATGGCCTGCTCCTCCTTGTAATCTGCCAATCAAACGACAGCGAAATCGATATCAGTCTCTCGCCCCTTCCTCAGCTTTATCTTCTGCATGCAAAAACTACGCGTCGAGGCGCTGCGCAGCTCCGGACATTACATTTATCCATTCGTACCAGTCATCTTGAGCCTTGTACGATGGTAAGCAAGAGTGTCCCCTTCCAGGTGATGATTGGCCAAATATCCGATTTATCTCACTTTCATTGGGCATAATTGGTATCAGAACCACGATGGACGAGGACTACAAGCTCGCCAAGGAGGCCTTCGTCTCCGGCCTCCAGGGCACCAGCGCGCGGGAAGTTTTTCTCGTTTTTGCCATCGCACCGGTGCGCAGTAGTTTGCAGCTGGTTACCCGTGGAACAGAGCTACACTACAAAGAATTCACGTTGGGAAATACTAAAACATGGCGTTGTGGCATCGTATCAGGGGAGTCTATGGCTTTATTCGGAGCTTATGCTGCTGCTGGAGGTCGTGGGGATGCGGCAATTGGGTGCCAGTAACTTGGTGAGTGTTAAACCGTAGTGGTGGGGCTTACTGTTGGTTTGTTATGCTTATTGACGAAGTGTTTAACGTGACTGACGTGGCAGAACTTGGTGGCGACGATCTTGGTGGAGTTCGTCGTTACGGTGGTGCCTACGATGATCGGTTTTAGTTACGCTGAGTATGCAGTCCCGCTGCTTGCGGTGGTGTATTCGTTGGCGACGATGTTTAGTGCGTTGTCCCGATTCCATGCCAAGGAATTTATTCGCAAGCACTGCAGGAAGGAGAAGATGAACCAATTGCTCGAGAAGGAGCTGCCATTCCTGACAAATTTCCGCGCACAGATTATGGTCTCTACGTGAGTTTGCTGGAGTATGGCAGCAATGTGATTGGTTTCGTTTCGCTCAACGCTTTTGTGGGGTTCTCGCCGATGCAGGTGCTTCGCGATTTTGGCAGTTGACTTCACGGTTTTTCCTCGGCGCTTCGCCAAGACAGAAAACTATGGTTTCAGTGTGGTAAGCACGTTCTTTTTCAACGACAAGATCACTATCAACTAATTGGATACCTGCCATGCCGTAGATGGACATCGGAGTAGGTGCATTTATCGTGTCATCGGCAATTGTGTCAGCTCCTGCTCGATTAGCCCGTCCTAAGGGTAACACAAAGAGGTACACTGTAAACTACAGTAGGTAGAAGATAACATTGCTAACTTTTTTTGTCGGTGTAGATCTCACGCTGAGTATCCCCATAGTTTCGTGAAGAAGTGCTATACTTTCCTTCGGCCTATTGCGCTTGTACTGGTGTTCGGAGTTGCAAGGTTTCTGACAGTGAAAGGTGTCAACTATCAGGTATGGATGACTGTTCACTGCCATTAAACCTGTCGATTGACCTCACGTGTGGTGATTAGGAACACGTGACTGAGTATGGAGTTCACTGGAACTTCTACTTTACCCTTGCAGGGGTGTATCTTGTGTATTCCTTCCTTCGCGTCTTCGGTAAATGGGCTTCAAGTCCCGTTGTGGCGATTTTGATTGCTTTCGGTACGTATGCCGCTCATAAATGCCAACGTCGAGTAAAGGCTGACTGATAGCAATGCTGCAATTTGGATTTGGTAGTTTACCAGGTGTATCTATCGCATTATGGCGGTGAAGAGTACATCCTTGACGCCCCTCGGGACAATTTGATGAGCCAGAACCGCGAAGGAATCCTTAGTCTAGCGGGTAAGTTACTGTGCGCGTCTTCAAGTTGCCGAACTTGCTGACATTGGGTGTGCTGTCTAGGTTACACCTCGCTCTACATGCTTTCGGTTTACGCTGGCCAGTGCATTTTCGGCTACATGGATTCCAACGTTTCAAAACTTCACCGTAACATGAGGTGGCTTACGATCGCGCTCTTTGTCATCGGGGGACTGGTTTGGGTCTCAACGTTCCTCTCGGTGCGCCTTGTTGCACGTCCGTCCCGTCGAATGGTAAGTGCTCCCTCCTCTGTCGTCCTGATTGATCTCAATATCTTACTCCTCTACCTGCGGTTCTGTTCTTCAGTTGAACTTGTCGTACTTGCTGTGGGTCATGGCCGAGTCTCTCACGTTGCTCGCTCTCTACAGCGGGATTCAAACTGTCTGGTACGTCGTCCGTCCTCTACTGACCAAATGATTGAAGTAACTGACACACATTACGCCGATTTGACAGTATGCTTCCGAGGGCACCGTTGCTATTCCAGGGCATTAATCACAACCAGCTCTTCGTCTTCATTGCGGTAAGCTGCCTGTTTGTTGTTTAAAGTGTCGATAATTCAACGATAACAATGTGGATACTGTATTCCAGGCCAATCTCATGACAGGAGCCGTAAATCTGAGCATGCACACGATCAATACCAGCCCAGCTGTAGCCTCCGGCGTACTGCTAGTGTACATGTTGGCGGTCTGCGTGCTTTCGTCGGTGCTGCAGCAAGCAGGTATCCGTATCAAACTGTAGCCATGTGACCAACAACGTCAAGAAAATAACATAAAACAATATGTTCCGCCGCCGGGTCTATGTAAGATCGTTGGAGCTGCACCACCAAGTAATGACAGCAATTCCTTGTTTCGCAGCGAAGCCTTCCCACAAGAGCGCAACAATAGTAGTCCCATGTCATCTTACCTGAGCGTGGCAGCGATGCCGCTAAGACAGGAGATGCCGGCCAGTATTGGCTACAAAGAGGCGTTACCAAGCCGAGGGCCACACATTTCGAGAGCGATCTTCCAGCAGTGCCACACCAATTGTACATCAACGTATAACATTTCATACCCTGCCAAGATCGTAGTAAGTCATCTTTGATTAAGCCAGAAGTTAGCCTCTATATATCGATAACTCGTTCAAACTATTCAGAGTCGGTTGCTGGTACTGCACTGACAAATGGCCGCTCCACCACCAACGCATGACATCACACTTCGATTCGCGCCCACGCCCGGAAGGACCATCGGAACCTCCGCTGCACCTGCATCATAGCCACTCACTGACGAACTAGAAGCTGTCATGGCCCCCATCGAGACCGAGAAGTCCATCGCCAACGGTGTGTGAAGCTCTCCCTTTGCTCTCGGTCCTCTTGATGTACCACACGAATCACTATGACTGATGCTTTGTCCAATTCTTTCTTCTTCTCAGAGGGCCTACACCAGCGCAAGCCTGCTGTTGCTGCCGCCGCTGCTGCTGACAAGGCTGCTGCCACATACACGTGGCAGGACGTGGCCAAGCACAACACTGCCAAAAGCGCTTGGGTTATCATCCGTGGCATCGTCTACGATGTGACCGGTACGTCCACACTGATTCATTGGTCTGCAGGAGGCTTAGAAAGGGTTATAAATCACTGACAAGCACTTCTATTGTGTACCACCAGAATGGGCGGACCGCCACCCCGGAGGTCGCGAGCTCGTACTGCTGCACGCCGGTCGCGAGTGTACCGATACGTTCGACTCGTACCACCCGTTCTCGAACCGCGCTGACAAGATCCTGGCCAAATACGCCATCGGCAAGCTCGTTGGAGGCTCCGAGTTCCCCACCTACAAGCCTGATACGGGTTTTTACAGGGAATGCTGTGACCGCGTTAACCAGTACTTCAAGGACAACAACCTGGACCCGCGTAGCCCGTACTCGGGTCTGTGGCGTATGCTTATCGTCGCGATCCTTGGTGCTGTGTCCTACGTGGGCATGAACCAGATGCTGTCGGACAACATCTACGCTCACTACGCTTGGGGCGCCCTCTTCGGTGTGTGCCAGGCTCTACCGCTGCTGCACGTGATGCACGATGCCTCGCACGCCGCCATTACGAGCAGCCCTACAGGCTGGAGACTCATCGGACGTCTTGCTATGGACTGGGTGGCCGGCGCTAACATGTTATCGTGGCTCAACCAGCACGTTGTAGGCCACCATATCTACACGAACGTCGCTGGAGCCGACCCTGACCTTCCCGTGGACTTTAAGAGCGACGTGCGTCGCATTGTCTATCGCCAAGTACTGCTTCCGATCTACAAGTTCCAGCACATCTACTTGCCGCCGCTCTACGGTGTGCTGGGCCTCAAGTTCCGTGTCCAGGACATCTTTGAGACGTTTATCTCACTCACCAACGGGCCGCTGCGTGTGAACCCACACTCGGTTGGTGACTGGGTCGAGATGATCATCTCCAAGGCCTTTTGGGCGTTCTACCGCATCTACATCCCGCTGGTTGTGCTGCAAGTTGATTCTGCTCGCTTCTGGGGTGTCTTCTTCCTGGCTGAGTTCGTGACGGGCTGGTACCTGGCCTTCAACTTCCAGGTCAGTCACGTTTCCACGGCTTGCGACTACCCGGGCGGTGATGAAGAGGTCTCGGCTATTGAGGACGAGTGGGCTATCTCTCAGATCAAGTCGTCGGTGGACTACTCGCACGGCTCGTTCCTCACGGCGTTCCTCACGGGTGCACTCAACTATCAGGTGACCCACCACCTCTTCCCCGGTGTCTCGCAGTACCATTACCCTGCTATCGCCCCGATCATTATTGAGGTGTGCAAGAAGTACAAGATTAAGTACACGGTCCTCCCCACGTTCTCGGATGCACTGGCTGGCCACTTTGAACATCTCGTTGTCATGGGCAAGATGGGCAAGCGTGTGAGCGTCCACATGGGCTAAGTCTTTAGCTGGTGGTCAACCTACCGAGGAAAATCCTGGGCCCAATCTGCTGTTGAGCCATTTGGCTCTAGTTGCTGGTAAACGTTGGTGTCGAGCTGGAAGGGTAAGATGCCAGGAGCTGTTGCATTGAGGTCAGTCACAGTAATCCATGCTTTCAGTTTGATCGAGTGTTCTTTGCTATTGCTCTCAGTTGAAGCTAAAGATCTCGACCAGATTGGTTTACTGCACTGCAGACTCTGCAGTGACTGCAGTAGGGTATTGTTGCCAGCGAATGACTGTGTGTGTTGCAGGCTGCGACGCGACAGACCAGAACTCGGCAACAACACCAGCCGACTCAACTCGGAACCAGATGCTTGAGTCATCTATGATAACCATTATCAGGCTTCGATTGTTGCTGTCCGAAGTTTGGAGTCCGACCATTGGCATTGCTCGTGCGGCAACAAGTGTTAGCACGTGCTCTCATCAACGCTCGTGGCATTGACTCAACGTCACGAGTGGGAGCCGTTGTTTTGGCAATCGCGTTGCTATGAAAGTCGAGGCAATTGACAATCTGCAGCACAAGTTTTGTCGCCGTATGGGGCCGATCCCGATCAGCCTTTCCGTGCTCCACAAGTCGTGGGCGCCCAGCTTTGATTTCGTTCCTGATCCCTGTCCTTGCCCGGCAAGCCAGGCCGATCCACCGATAGCCTCTCGTAAACCGCGTTGCCGTTCCGTCCCCACGACATGGAAAGCAGTTGCCGTCACCCTTTCACTGGAGTTGGCAGTCTCCGATTCTCCAAGTCGAGGTCATTGTGCCTTCAAGACAGAAAACAACATGGTCTTCGTAGTCTCATCAAAAATACTCTTCTTGCCTCTCCTGTTGCTCTCAGTCGCTCGACATTTCGCGGACGCACACACATGGCTAGACTGTATTGATACAGATCGATCGAAATTGTACGACCAGAGCGCGTCGTACATTTTTGGTGGTGCAGGTGGAAATGGATTTTGCGATGGCTACGGAGCAGGTTACCCCGGACGTGGTGACAGTAGCATCGGCACTGAATATACTCATAAGATGCTGAAAAACGAGGTCGAGGCGGGTACCCCCGTTTGCCAGGAAGTAGGCCCCAACACTTACTCGGATTGGCGTAAGCGACTTTCCGTTGCAGCGGGACAGACAGCGTATTTTGCCTATTTGCCGAATGGACATATCGTCAAGGACAAGAAGGGCGTTGGAACCCAGCACGGCGTCTATTGGACAGGTCAGGTCGGCACTTCGCTCACATCGACACACGACATGACACAGGAACACTTGGTTGACGGTAAAACAATGGATTATGATGACGGCAAATGCGGCGAGACGGTCGATTACGATGGTGCCCCTAGTGGTCGTGCAGGTGACGGCAAACCGTGTATTGGCTCCTTTACGATTCCGGCGGGCACGGCACCGGGAATCTACAAAATGGTGTGGTATTGGACGTTCTGGCTGGACAACCAAGGCGCGTATAAGGACCAGAACATGGCTAAGGGATACTTTGGTGCGGCGTACTCAACTTGTTTCGAAGTCGAAGTGACCGGTGGCAGCGGCGGTAAGACGACTCAGAAGGCAGCTCCAGCTCCAGCTCCAGCTTCGGTGACCAAAGGTGGACTTCCGGCTCCTGCACCAGCACCGGCACCAGCGCCCGCACCAGCTCCAGCTCCAGCGCCTGCACCCGCACCAGCACCAGCTCCAGCTCCAGCGCCTGCACCTGCACCAGCTCCAGCGCCTGCACCCGCACCAGCACCAGCACCCGCACCAGCACCAGCCCCAGCTCCCGCACCAACTGAAGCTCAAATTGGGGGAGAAGCAGCGCCGATGCCAGCAGCTCCTTCATGCACACGGACGGTATCGGAGGGAGACGCAGCAGTCGGTATCAATATCGCCACCGATGCGAGCTGTAGCTCTGGCGGCTTGGGGTGCATTGACAACATTTGCCGATATTGCAGAGTCACGAACACTGATAAGTCCGCACCATTTGTAGAGTGCGCTTCAATTGCAGCCGCGGCTAAACCAGGAACAGTCGCCCCAGCTTGGACGTAACTGGACATGGCGCAGGCCAGTTGAAGGCCACGGTATCCGCGTTCGTCATGTGGCCCGTGGTATTCCGCCGGCCGCCCCACATGTGCTAGAAGTGATGCGTATAGATAGATGGCTTACCAGACCAGATACAATACATGTACCAGTCCCTGACGTGTGCAACAGCTTTTGCTGTGTTCATTCAATTATTTCGTGGTTGAAATTCTACCATTGCAGACACAGACTCAAATACCACAGGTAGACACGTGCCTTGGTGGCTTGAAGGGCATGCTTGTTCATGTTATTCATACAGCAAAGGCGAAATGTGATCCGCTATGGGAGTGTCCGATCCGAAGCCATGTATGCAGTGCAAAGCAGCTTTCGTCTGCAACAGAGCCAAATGGAGACCTATTCTCAAGTACCAGATGTCGCGACTTTGGTTTGAGCACCTGAGTTTGCCTAATGTCAAGGCCAATCCGGATCAGCTTGTCCCGCAATTGGGCAGTTCACAGTCATTTGACCAGGATTGCAGAGGGAGAAATTCCCAGCTTTTCTTCTGCTCCCCAGCTTTTCTCTGTGCCGTTCCTACAAACCAGACCAGTCCACTCTCAAAAAATGTAGGTGGAGAAGGTCTTTCATCGGCACTCTTTAAATTCTCGAGTCGTGGTTGTATCTCGCTACGCGGCGACACAGGCACTAGCTAGACGGAAGCGATGATCTCCGTTGTAGCGTCAACGACGGCCTTGGTGCCATTGCTACTCTCAATGATGTCGCGCGATACTGAAGCGCACACTTGGATTGACTGCATCGACACAGATAGATCCAAAATTTATGATAAGAGTGCGTCCTACATTTTCGGCGGTGCCGGCGGCAACGGGTTCTGTGAGGGCTACGGCGCAGGTTACCCAGGTCGCGGTGACATCAACATTGGTACTGGATACACTTACAAGATGCTGAAGAACGAGGTCGAGGCTGGAACGCCCGTGTGCCAGAACGTTGGCGCCAACACGTACTCGGACTGGCGGAAGCGAATTTCGGTGGCTCCGGGTCAAACGGCATATTTCGCGTATCTGCCGAACGGCCATATCGTCAAGGACAAGAAGGGTGTCGGCACACAACACGGTGTCTATTGGACAGGTCAGGTTGGCACATCACTCACGTCTACGCTTGATATGAAGCCTGAAAACTTGCTGGACGGACACACCATGAACTACGACGATGGAAACTGTGGCGAGACGGTCGACTACAATGGTGCCCCTAGTGGTCGTGCGGGCGATGGCAAGCCCTGCGTCGGTTCGTTTGTGGTGCCGGCAGAAACTGCCCCGGGCGTCTACAACATGGTCTGGTATTGGACGTTTTGGCTCGACGATCAGGCAGCATACATCGATCAGACGCAGGCCAAGGGATACTTCGGTGCAGCATACTCAACCTGTTTCGAGGTGGAGGTAACGTCAGGTGGAGCCTCAGGCGCTCCCGTTGCCCAAACTAATGCTGCTCCAGCGACACCGCTTCCGACTCCAGCACCGACTCCAGCACCGACTCCGGCACCGACGCCCGCTCCTACTCCAGCACCGACACCCGCTCCTACACCGACGCCGGCACCGACACCAGCCCCGGCGGCTAAGACAGGACCTCAAATTGTTGGCGCTACAGCTCCGCAGATGACGACAGTGGCAGAAACGCATGATTCAGGTGTGGGAACAGTTGCTCCTGGGCCAATTGATAGCAGTGACGGTGAAGATGTTCCGCCCTCAAAGTACGACACGGACGAGGTTGCCACTGTTCACCCGCCCTATGACAGCTCTGCAAGCTCGAACAGCACTTCGGCCTCTGGATCTGATGCCGACGAGGTCGGTCAGGTCGATCAAGAAGAGCCTTCCGCCCCATCAACCCCTGCATCGCAATCGCGATCAGGATCAAATTCTGTGGGAGGAACGTCTGCGACTACGATGGAGAACACGGCCAACTCCGCTAATACCATCGAGCGGTGGGTCGTCTTGGGATTCGCATTGCTTTTCGGAGCGTTACTATGATCCTCTCCTTGTCCGAGCACCATTCAAATGCAGTTTGTTTGTTCAGGGCCCCTGACTTGCCTGGTATCGCTCCTGCTGTGCTGTGAAGGCTGGACCAAAGAACTGGCCACCTTCATGGTTTCCAGCTGGTGATCCTTCAGAGCGAAGTAAAGGCCGGGAATGCCTGGACACAGAAGAGTGCATTCATCACGGAGCCTTCTAGCTTCGCATTTCAATAGATTCGCCATTTTAGCCAACAGAATGTAAAACTAGCGTTGGGGTTATTAAATTACAACTTCTGTCTCCATGGGGTGTCAGCGTGCCGTTGCCTAAGCACCGCTTATCCGTTCATCGGGTCGTATGATACGACTCGTATCATACAGCAGAACAGTAGTATTGTTTCTGCAATAATTACAGTGCTTTTATTCGTCTGAATCAAAAATGTTTGTAACCTTTAACAGATAGGTACATGTAGCAGTTAATTTTTTTTGGCAGATATTGTTTTCCCAATAATGGGCCAAAATACCAATTATTGATCAGCTCTGTATCGCCATCACCATCCATATTAAGTATGGAACATTTAAAGCGAAATGTAATAGAATATTATTATTTTGCAACCTCTTGTAGAATTAAATTAAACAGTTTATTTGGGCTAGAGACACGACTTTGTTAAGCAATGATGCTAACTTAACATTCGCTTGAAGTTATTGTTTATCGTCTCAACCCTCGAATCGTATTGATGTGCGTTTTGCCTGTATAGCGTTTGGTAATAGTGTTTCCAGAAAATACTCGAGAATTGAGCATTGGCGCTGTGTGTGGCCTGTTTGTTTGAGAGCGTTTTTGCGGTGCTGAGGATCGTCGAATTGCAGCTTCGAGAGTTTGAAATCGAAGATCTTGCTGCTGCTTGATCTGCTGGCGTCGGTCGGTGACCACATTACCAAGACCATGGCTTCTTCGCGTACTGGCTTCACTACTGCTAGTAACGCGTGCTCTCCTGTTGGCATTAATGCTGGCGTTGGTAAGAGCCGGAGCTCTCTTGCTGATTGATGAGCTTCGAGAACGGAGCTCGAAGCGCCTCGTACTGCCGTAAGGAGCGGATCGTGGACGTGAAGACGCTATGGATGGGCGAATATTATATCGGAACCCTAGCTGACGGAGTTTTCCCATCATGGCATCGACGGCTTCAGGCGTAGTAGTCTTCAATTCTCCTTCAGATTCTTCAGTTTCAGGTACAATCGGCAGGATGACGCGAAGAATTTCCGTGGCATTGCCACTAACGTCGAAATCGGCGCCAATCGCAAGACCCCGAAGATTAATACCACCATTTAACACATTTTCATCCTCGCAAACACGCTGTACACGTTGATTTCTGAGCAAACCTCCCCTGATCAATTCGATCCCGCGATGTGTTATGCGTTTGTTGCCAGCGAGACTCACAATCTGAACATTAACATGGGATTTCTCCACGAAATCAGCCACGTATTGAGCTCCAAGATCCGAGAGGTTATTTGAGTCGAAGTTGATCTCACGGAATCTCACACCACTCACCGAAATCTTTAGTAAAAGCTGACCCACTTCATCATCGCTCAGATCGCTTTCAGAAAGCAACAGACGGTCATCAGAAGTCCTATAGTTCTCGTTGTGTGTGTTGGTGATGAGCATATCACTGGACATTGGTTGCGTTACGAAAGTCATTTGACGATGATCGTTTTCCAGCTGCTTGTCGGCGTACACATCCACGATTTTCAGGAGGAATTGTCGAGTCCTATAAGAATCCTTCTTTGTCATAGCCCCCTGATCGATGTTGTTATTATCACTATGAGCGTTTTTCAGTCGGTGCTGGAGCTCTACGACCTCGCGCCGTAACATTTGGATCGACGCTTGCTGCGCTGCAGCCTCTGAAGCGGATCGATGTGCCAGTTCGCGAAGTTTATTCATATACTCGGCTAGTTTACCGATGACAAGGGTCTTGAACTTCTTCCTTGCAGCGCTGCATTGGATCACTTCTAGGAACGCATTGGTCTTACTTCGACTCAAGTATGACGCACCACTGGTATCGTTCGAACTGGCGATAAGCGTGACAAGTTGATCAGCTTGATTTTCACTGCCTTCTTCGCGTTGGTTGTCCTTAGGTTTCAAGGCACTGCACGTGACTCGGAATGGAGAAAACTTCTTTGCCTTTGCTCTGGTTGTAGGCTCAGGGTATCCACTTAGAACTTTTGCCCCGGTTTGATCAGCGAGCAATTCAAGTGGATACGGGGCTTCTAGCAAATACTTGTCCCGCGCTAAGTGGAGATACATAGCACCGCTCAATCCGGTTTCATTGTTGACGGTGCCTGTGTCTTTCATCTCTAGAGCCTTGTGCAAAATGTCGTTGGATTCGACTGCGGCAGCCAGCTGGTCCTGCATCGCGTCTAACCTGCGCAACAAGAAGGGGAATGCCTGCATGAGGATGTCTAAACTGCGGCCTTTTTGATCACTTAATAATATTTAAACACACAGAAATGTTAGACGTTAGAACGTTAGTCCGAAAGAGTTATCTTTCATTCTCACCGAGCTTCTTCCGTCGCACGTAATTTATCAGTCAACGATGTAATTCTCGTGGTCAATTTGGCCACTTGACTAGCCATCGTCTGGCCATTTCTGGTTGTAAGAGATATCCTTCCAGAACCAGACCGCTTTTGGGAACTAAGGAGCTGGTTACAGGTCTGCATGAGCTCTGCGTTTGCTCGGTTCATATGCAGCAGTTCTCCCTCCAATTGGCGGATCCGGCGAAGCTGCATCAGCATAACACATCAGTGTTCAACTTCGCCCCGAAAAAAATACCCTGTACGTACCGAATCTTGACTGCCGCCGGCCTTCAGACTCGCCTCAAGTTTGGCTTCCATTGTCCTTATGGCGGCGTTAGTTTGAATTACTTGGTCATGTGCATTGCGTAGTTCCTGCTCCAATTCTTCTTGTCGATCGAGAGCTAGTTGAGCTTCTTGCTGAGTTGCACTCGTAATCTTCTGAAGTTGCTTGAGCTTTTGATTTTTGTTCTCACACTTTTGCTCCAGCTCACGACAGGTGCGCTCCCATTGTTGAATCTTGCCTTCGTACTCAGTAATCAGCTGTACGTGTGCGTCGGTGGTTGATACTTTGTCTTGCAGAACGAGTATCTCCTTTTGCAGCGTCTCAATTGTTTTCTGAGCTGCCTCGTAGCTAGCGGTAAGTGTTTTATGGGAGTTGGACAGCTCTGAATGCTTTGCTTCCACACTGTCGAGTACTTGATTGAGCAGTGTCACCTGCTCTGTTAGCTTCCTGTGTTCACCTTGCAACTCTGTATGCGCTCGACGAAGTTCCTCCTGACTCTGGAGCTCCTTTTCCAATAGTTGTGACATCTAAACGCTCATTAAATTGTTAGCACAGAAGAAATCAAACGTAGATTCTCCGTTTCGGACCTTTTGATTCTTGGTCACAAGCTCCGCGATACGAAGTTCTTTCTCTTTGCGCTCTGTGAGATGATATCCATTGCCAATCTCTTGGTCTAGTCGTCGAAATGAGGCTTCCAACTCGAGTTTTTCGTCGCGGGCGTGCGCCACCTCACGCTTCCACTGTGCAATTTCTTGCTGAAGTCGCTCATTTTCGAGCTAGGAGTAACAATATGCATCAGCAAATGATATTCGGTATATGTGAGGAGCAGCTATACTTTACCTGCAAATGTCTTCTGGATTCTTCTTCTTCCTCTGCATTATTGGTGCTCCGATTTCTGCCACGTCTTTTACTGAGTCTGCGTCGAGTTGAAGTCTTTGCCACCATGTGGGGCTTTCGCGGGGATATTCTTGACACTTCCCTGCAATGTAGTTGTCGGTAGGTATTGAAAAATGAGGATTGTATTCAAGCCTTGAGCTTCCACTCAATCGAACCTTGGGACTGTAGCGGCAGGTTCACCCTCAACGAGAAGATGCTTGTCTCGGTTCCAGTGCGGACCATGTTTATTCGCCTCGCGAAGAGCTTCTTCCTCTAGAAGATCTAAGCTTGAGACCAGATTGTTCTGGTTCCCCCATGGGTATTCCACTGTGTCCATGGCTTATCTTCCGCAGCAGCGAACCGAAGAAAGAGCACAACAACTTGTCATTTTTGACCCCTTTAACGCTAGACGCCGCACTATTTGCAGCGAGAAACGGATTTACCAATTCGATCCGACAGATTACGGGTTCTTGCTTAGTTTTGACATGTACAAGTCGGCGTTGGACCCTTCAGGGGCGCTGGAGTTTGCCTTCGACCCACTACGGGCGCTCCATGCTCACGAGGATTCACGTTTGCAATGGCCCGAGTATCCATACAAGCAGGTGACGATCGATCGTGTACGAACGAAAGCTGGTCAGTCCTCAATTGATGGCAACGAATTATCCGAGATAGCAGCAGCGGGGGCGTTGTTAATGGCCCGTGGTCAAGAGACTGGAGCTCTACTTCAAATTGAGCAGTACGATCGAGAAAATGAAAACGATCAAACCGGGTGGAAGGAGCTGGAACGGCGATTCCTTGAAGAACGAGCAGCATTTCGACAGGCCAAGAGAGTTTATTCGAAGTGAAAAGGCCAAAGTGGTGAGCATTTTAGACGCTCAAGCTGCAGGCGAGAGAGCGCAACAGGAACAAGATGAACTCGCTGCATGGGGAGCTAGACAAATTGTAAAACGATACGAAGACGGCAACAAATATGATGGAGATGGCGTCACGGAGAATGGTGTGTCGATTCCTCACGGCTATGGTACGCTGTGGGTGCCCGAAGAAAAATACACCACAACTGTAGGGCGGGCTGCGGATATAAAGCGAGTGATTCGGTACGTTGGCGAGTGGAAAAATGGCTTGATGTATGGCAACGGCACGTACTTTTGGGCTTCGGGCGAGTCGTGGAAAGGGAATTTTATCCGTGATGAAATGCAGGGTAAAGGTGTTTACACTAGCAGCGAAGGAGACTCAGACGAGCCCAATAGTAGTCGAGATACTGGACGTGATGGAAAGAAAACCGAGCAGGAATTGCGACCAAATCAACGAATTCGCTACTTTGATGCAGGTCAACATGTATGTTGGGGCGATGAGCTGGTGTGTGGCTGTCGCGTTCGGCTCTTTAACAACCGACATTTCGGTGACCCGCTCGTGTCAGTAGTGAAACGATCTAATGTGGGACTGGAGGTGGAAACGGAGGCGGTGGTTGTCCGCTATGACCCGCAAACAGACCGCCATCTTGTTCGCATGGTTGAGACTGAAAAAACGCGGTGGATCTCGCTCTCTAACTCGAATTTCCGAGTCTTGGCTTCTCGACCGATAGCACGCTTCCTAGATGAGTAAAAAAAACAATGGAGATCATGGATGTCTAGATATTCACAAGGTAAACTGCATTTTTACGCACTGACAAAACATACACAATCAAATTCTGTGAGCCTTTCATGGAGGCCTACAGGAGAGCAATCAGTAGCAGCAGCACTACAGTAAGATCGCTCGATCTCCCAGACATCGAGTTATCACTCAGAGTTTCTACGGTCTCATTGTCCCAAGAAGCATGCGATCCCTTACTCCATTCTGAACCCACGGTAGCATTGTCAAAATGAACTTCGCTGAATACTCCCGAGCCACTGCTTGAATTCGCTGCATGCACCCCTGCCAGACTCTCGTCGCCAGTTTTCAGTCCTGAGAACGTTGAGGTGCCGGATTTGTAGAATCCCGTCGTGGTTGTTGTTTCAACGCTTGTGTTGAGCATTGATGCAGTGCTAATGACATTTCCACTTGACGTCACCTCCACCTCAAAGCACGTCGAGTACGCTGCACCAAAATATCCACGAGCTTGAGACTGATCCACGTATGAAGCCTCATTGTCCAGCCAAAACGTCCAGTACCAAACCATGCTGTAGATTCCTGGAGCAGTACCTGTCGGAACAGCAAAGGATCCGATACAGGGCCATCCGTTCCCCGCTCGACCACTGGGGTTACCTTCGTAGTTGTACGTTTCGCCACAGTTCCCATCGTCGTAGTCCATCGTGTGTCCATTGATTAACTTATCCTCTGTCATCTCCAGCGTCGATGTAAGGGACGTATCCACCTTGCCCGTCCAATAGACACCATGCTGCGTTCCGATCGCCTTCTTGTCCTTAACGATATGCCCATTGGGCAAGTACGCGAAGTACACCGGCACACCTGCCTTAACCGAGATCCGCTTGCGCCAGTTCGTGTTGGTATATGTATCGGCATCCACAGTTTCACATACAGCTGTGCCAGCTTCCACCTCGTTCTCCAGCATCTTAAATGTGTATTCCGTCCCGATGTTGGTGTCACCGCGACCGGGATAACCCGCTCCGTAACCATCGCAAAACCCGTTGCCAGCGGAGCCACCGAAGATGTAGGATGCGCTCTTGTTGTAAACCTTGGTTCGGTCGGTGTCAAAGCAGTCGATCCAAGTGTGGGCATCCACAAACGGCAGAAACAGCAGAGTCAAGGATACGATGAAGATCATCGTTCTCATTACAATCGATCTCGCCTGGTTGTTGCAGTGCAAAACGCGAGGTGGCCAGCAGCATCAAAGGCGGGTTTAAGCCAAAATTTAGCAAAAAGGAGAGACTCGAGCTGCTTGGTTCTCTACATGAGCCAGCTGATAGGCGGTAGTGCACCATTCAACGAACTTGGCTGCTCGTCCGATAATTATATTTCCAGGTGGACATTTTTGAGTTCAAGTGGACAACCAGTGGACACAGCATCCGGATATACACAGAGCATTATCCGGTACTACTTTCTACTAAGTACGAGTTCTTTCCTTACAAATTCCAATATGTACGAATAATCAGAGGGGCAGGAAGAAAGTCGGAAGCCAGCAATAGCAACGAGGTCTCTTCTGATTCCGACATGGAGGAACCGGTGGCGATCCGCTTCTCGCAGGACCTGATGCCCTCACAGTCCCGTCGCTCGTCCCTGTCTGTGCGCCACCGCCACCGCAGCTCCAGTAGCAGCAGCCTCAGCGTCTCGGCCTGTAGCAACAGCAGCGCAGTCAGCAGCTACCCAACGAACACCAATGCAGCGACGTCTCGATGCTGGCACTTGAGTCCTGATCAGTCTTACGAGGACTACGAGGTTCGACCTAGTCTAGCCACAACCAGAATTATTATTTAGAGCTGCAGATCCTTCAAGTTGAAGACGAAAAGTCGTATATTGACAACTGTTGTCCTCCTGCAGGTAGTATTCACAGAGGACAAGTTGGGATTGACACTCAAGAGTCAGGAGCAGGTGGACCCATCAGGCCGTAGAATCCCCGTGACCATCGTAAAGTCCACAATATTCAGCGTCGGGCAAGTCTCGCACCAGATCCGCGTACGTGACGACATTATTGCTGGAACAGGAGGAAATAAATGCTAAAAACTCGGATCTTATTGATATTTTGCAGGAGGGTGATGTGTTGCAGTCGGTAAATGGAGAAAGTATCGTTAACTTGGAGTTTCAGGACGTGCTTCGTATCCTCAAGATCGCTCCGAGACCAATACGACTGCGGTTTCGTACCAGATATACACTGCGAGGCATTCGACGAGCATGGTCGGTGTCAGATGACCAGCAGGAGGTGTCGTCCAGACGATCGAGTAACAGCAGCATTGATAGCGATCTTCGTGTACCAATTGCTGCGGGGCCTTTCATTTTTCCTGAACGTCCTGGACTGGAAGAGGATCGAGACGACTCGGACAGTCAAGATGCAGTCATGTCCGAGAGCTTTGGCGACGCTGATAGTGCGCGATCGACTGAAAACAGCTCGGTGATTACAGAATTTACAGATACAGAACTGACATCGGCTCGGCAATCGTCGCGGTTAGCTGCGTTCTTACGACCGTTTCGGCGTGGCGATGGCTTCGATGGAGGCCGATTGGAGCTTCGTATGGGCATCGTGCCGGCATCGCCGCGTACAGAGATTTCACTCGAGTCGCCTTCAAAGGTGCGTGTTGGCCGGATTATTATAGTGTCGTGAAATAATCATCTCATTGTCGTACAATTTTGTTGATATAGGCTGCGATCCATGTGCGCTGGCGTGTGCATTCCAATGCGATATCGTATCATCTACAATTCTCTCGAGACTGGACTATGAAGGTTTGGAAGAATTGGTCAGGTCGGCCTCGACGATCAAGTGAAAGTGAACGCGAACTGGTTACGACGATCTTTGGTCTCGACTACTCGAAAAGCTACGTGGTGCGTGTGCGCTATGAGTTTAATGGTAGTCACGGTCCTGGCGAGTGGAGCTCACCAAGCGCACCAATCACAACCATCAGTCACGTAGACGCCATGCATCATCGGATCGCACAGCCACGAACACGAGGGTGAACGACAGGGTCGATATTAAAACTACAGCCACGAAGAATTCCGGTCCTGTGGCATATTTTTCGCCATCCTGCTGGTGGTGACATAGTATTCGGTTGGAGAACTCATTATTGTCCAGAACATGTTTGTTAACTGTACTGCGTTGCACGAGCCATGAATGACATGGTGGCAAGTTGCCTTCAGGTTGCCAGTGGCTACCTAGTCTACGGGTTTAGCAAAATGTGTGACATGCTACAATTCACCCACGTTATCAGATTTGCCAGGGTTTAACAAACTCCGTCTCGTCTGCTTACTGCTTTGCTGCCATTGGCCAGCTCCTTTCTGTTCCTCATCCTTTTCATCCAATCAGAACTTTTTCACTTATCCAAAAGCCAGCTCTGTTTTACAAACGTTATTTATTCGCCACCATGCTGGAAGGCGCGCTCAAGTCGTGGATCGTGTACTTCCTGGGCCAGTATGTGGAGAGCCAAACGGTAAACGTGTCCGCTAAGCTGTGGCAGTCGTCAGAGCGGCTCAAGCTCGAAAATCTGACGCTCAGGTCCAGCGTCGTGCCCAGTTGGCTGCCGTTTCGACTCAAGACGGGCTTTATCGGATTATTCGAGGCGGACTTGCCCATCTCGGCCATTTTCGGCAGTGCTTCGGCCAAAATCAAGTTTCAGGACGTTCTACTGGTCCTAGAACCTCTAAAACATGACGAAGAAGAGCTGCAGGACGAGATTTCGTCTCTAGTGACCTTAAAAATGAACAAACTCGAGCAGGACCTGCGGGACCGATGGAACGGACCCCAAGTACCTGAATACACAGTACCTCACGAGAGCGAAGGATACTTTGGCACTGATGGCTGGATAGGACGCACTATGACCAAGCTTATCGACAACCTGCAGGTTGATATTAGGAACTTACACATCCGAGTGGAAGGAGTGTGGTTTCCTACAGGTCCAATGAGAAGTCCTCCGACATCTAGGACCAGTAGTAAGGATAAGAACAGGTCGGACGGAGTAAAATTTGCTGCAGGATTCACACTGGGGGCGCTCTCGGCAGTCACGACGCCCAGTAATTGGCGAGTTGGAGGCTTCGACGACCAGAAAGAGGAATCTCCACAGGAGAAGAACCACTTAGTGTTCAAGCTGATTAATGCTATTGATCTGTCGGCGTATGTGGACCCGAATGCGCTGCATTTTATCCATTCCAGAGTCCATCCGAAGGTGCTACAGTCGACCTTGTCGAGGTTAAAGGAGATGGGGTCAAGATCAGCCAAGGCGGACTGGTGGAATGCTGAAGAAAGCGTACATGCACACAGGTTTTTGGTAGCGCCGATTAATGTGGCGTTGAAATTGACGATGAACACAGCGGCGCATCATTCACAGACGGAGGATCCGCGGTATAACGCGGTGTTTCACTTGTCGAGGATATGGATGACGATGGATGAGGAGCAATTGTCGGTGCTGAAATTGATTATTGACTCGTTCTCTGGACATGAAAAATGGAGAGTAATGGTAGCAGAACAGGTGAAGGCGTCGGAGCGACACACAGTGGGTAACGAGGCCAAGGTGGCCGAGCTGGCGGAGAATTATTTATTACTATGGAAACAGGTGATGGCGATGAAAAGCGAAGGACTGGATGCTCTGAAGAAGAGCGAGGCATGGAGGAATGCTACGAGGATAGAACAACAGCTACCGTACGAGGTGGTAGTGTCGATACGGAATCGTCTTGGACTTGATGATATTGCAGGCGCAGAAAGGATAGTACCGTACCCTAATGCTTTGTATGGTCTTGGCGATGCTATGGGCATCCCGCTCCCAGAGATCAGTGTGCCATTTCCTGAGGGCCCAACAGGACTCCTGTTCGATATACTGGCGTCAGGTGATGTGGCTATCAAGCGGTGTGCCGAGAAGAGTCCTGCTGCGGTGAAGGATAGCGTGAGGCCTGGATTGTTGCTGATCAAAGTGGACGACCGACCGCTGCGGTCAGTTTTTAAGTTCAAGTCCGGTTTTGATTTGCAGCTGGCGATCGACTCGATGCCTGGAACGAAGGTGCTAACGTTTCGTCACCCATCCGTGATGCCACTCGAGGTCACTCCTTCCCGTGCAGTCGCCAAAGTCTCGTTTACGTCGGACCAACTCAAGTTCTGCCTTGTTCGAGCCTTCCAGAAGCGAGTGATCGCAGAAGTGATGCTGGACCATCCTGCGGTCTATATTAACGGTTTTGGGCCAAGTTTGTTCTCGTACCACTTCTACGACATCAAAGTTGAGGACTTTTACATTCAAAGTATGTCACGAGAAGCAGATGAAGGCAATCATTGCATCGCGTCCAGTATCAGCAAACCTGTGGATGGTTTTATTGACGAAAGCGAACAGAGTCCTGCTATTCGATTCAGTATGAATTATCTCTACGAGGCACACCCTGACGCTCGTCCTGGCAAGATCGATACGTATGGATCGAAAATTTCGCTGGCAATTGGTAACTCTATCGCAGTTTTCGACGAGCCAAAGATGACTGCACTACTTGGTGAATGGCAAGATTGGCTTGGCGCTATTTCGAGTAACTACTCTAATGGCATGCCCTCGTCCAACATCTCTCGGATGGATGTTGATTTGTCTGTAGTGCCACCTTCAATGAACTCTCAACTAGTATCATCGTACGCATCGACCAGCCCCTCTAATAGTGTCGATGGCAACTTCCCACCTGCGGTTGTTATCAGCTACTCGTATGAAGTTAAGGTTGACCTGTTGCGTTTATTCGTCAGTGCTCCCGAAGCCCCTGCTGCACCTGTGGCGCTAACCAACGAGCCTTCCTATCGAGCCTTACTGAAGCAACTTGTGGGCGATGAACCTAGCGGACCACCAGCTATTCCAGATTGGGCCAGAGCTGCACATGCTATTGTAGTGATGCAACGGTTTATTCGAGGAGCCATAGTGCGAAAGCGGAAAATGGTGCGCTTGGCACTAGCGAGGAACCGCTGGGTATACTACGAAGGGGGCGAGATGATGGGATGGCTGTACAGCAGAGATGACTCGCTCGCGTTCCGACGATGGCGGCGTTCGTGGTGCCATCTTGACGACGAGGGCAACTTCTCCATGCACAGCAATGGCTCAGGCGCAGATGTGCTGGATGAGTTTAGTCTGCTGGGTTGCAAGGTTATCATGCTGCCTTATGCTACTGGAGGGCCTTGGGACTCGACAAAGGGCAAATTATGCGAAGTTCTGGAGATCACGACTCGGTCTGGGATTCTTCGAAAGGTGCTGAGCTCGGATAGTCTGATGGAGTTGAAAAAGTGGAAGCACAGTATTGAAAGCAGTGCTCGGAATGCAGCCAAGAGATCATCCAGTGAAGATGTCGAAGAGGAAGAAGCCTTGTACGAGTCAGCACGTGAAGACGACAACTACCCTTTGGAAGACGAGGACGTGCAGTTTCGCAACGTGGAGCAGCGGAAAGGAGCGGCACTGGATGAGCTGCTACTGGGAGGATTCTCCGGCATCTATCGACCGACTGCGACACTGAAGAAAGAGCAGTCTTCGTGGTACTCGCTGAGTATAACCAACGTGACGTTCCTGGTTGATGTGCACCGCGTATCGGAGGCTGATTGCTCCGCGTTCGCGTTGTACCTCGGCTTGAAAGACTTCACAGTTCTAGACCATCGACAGTCATCGGAGTACGGTGTACTGCACGTCGGCGACAAGTTTTTGAGCCTGAAAAACGGCGAGTTGACACCTGGAAAGATGCGAGCGGACCATCTGAACAAAGGCCCCTTCCTCGCGCTGCGTATGTCATACCGTGGAGCACGTGCTGGATCAGATTGCTTCGTGCTACAAAGCGGACTCCACGCAGACCTCACGATATCGGGTTGGGTGATGCCGCTCACTCTGACTCAAGTTTTCTTCGAGATAATCGACGTTTTGGATGTGCTGTGGGCTTCTGACAGTGATGTAACAGAGAGTGGAGGTCGTGCTTATGCTCCTGAACCAGTGAGCGCTACTCCGTGGAAGGAGGTGCCGGAGCTTGGGATTCAGATTCGTGCTCCCATCCTGGAAGCGTACCTTGAAGATTCTCACTGTGTAGCGAAGCTGACGATCGAGGACAGCTCGTGTTCGTACCGCGCAGACCCGGGGGTAGAAAACTTCAAGCTACATCTTGGACCTACTGCGTTGTTCGTGTTGACTGAAGATGTCGCACTTCGGCTCGTGCAAGTGGACAAGTTTTGGCTCAGCTACGATCTCCGACTACATCGACAGACTGACGCGCCTGTGGGTGGGTGCGACTTGTGTGCTGATGAGTCAGCGAAGAAGCCTGTATGCCATCGCTCTGTCAGCATTTCGATCGGTCAGGTCAAACTCGAAGCAGATCGACGGCTAGAGCTGCTTTTCGCGCTGTTGGAGGCGTTAACACACAGCGAAGTCTCGGCTGAGGCCGATGGAGACGCTGAATTTGACAGTGCTAACGAAGAGAAAGCCATGGACAGCGATGGTTTCGACAGAAGAGACTACGATGTCAGCTTCCTCGCAGGAGAACAGATCTCTCAAACGGAGCGATTCTCGTCAATGCAGTTCAATCTCCAAGACCAGGATTCGATCGATTTAAGACCAATGTACGCGACGGGGTTTGGTCGGCCGTACGCGTCTCCGTCTGGACGTAGTCGAATGTCCACTGCGACTTCTGCTGGGTTAAATTACGGACTGCAAGACACGAGCCAGGAGCGATCTAAGCGAAAGGCAAAGGTGTCTGCTTTCATCCCGTTGCTGAACTACCAGATGCTTGTTGGGATTAAGAGCGAGTCTTTAGAACGACAAACCTCAGCAAGGAGTATCTTCCGTACGCGTTTACGGATGGGGCGAATTCATGACCGCTTATCCATCACGTGCTACTCGGTGGTGTTCGAAGTGATTAAGAGAAGCTTGTCCGTGGTCTCGTTGGATACCTACATCCCAGTTATGAACTTTTCTGTCAGTGATATGAAGATGCAGTGCATGACACGAACGGAGTTTTCGACGGACCACGCAGTGGATGCGAGTGTGGAAATATCAGCTCGTTACTACAACACTTCATTGGCAGACTGGGAACCCTTCATCGAGCCTTGGCGAGCGTATGCGAAGGCAAGAAGTGACGGTGGCGAGGACGGAACCACCATGCAGTTGAGTGCATTGCAGCGACTCAATGTGAACTGCACGGACTCGCTAATCCGATTGCTGTCCAGTATCGCTAAGAACCGTCGTAAGCAAGACTTTATTGTGGAGAAACGGACACTCGCTGCTGTCGCTGCTGATGGAGAAGCCAAGAAGGAAGACGGGCGGGTGTGCGTACTTAACAATCTCGGCGTCCCTATCCGGCTAGCCAATCTTAACACGTCGCACGCAGGAACACTTCACGTTGACGTTAGAGACGGATGGTCCTTCCCTGGATACTCACGATTCCATAACGTTAGAGTCTCCGTCGTATTGTTGCCGTGGTGGCATCCACGTGAGATGCAGACCGTGGAGAATTTCCGCCATAAGTTTTCACTTCCTTACGGTGGAGCGCAGTCAGGTGTGACGCCAATTCTGAGGATCGATGTGCTGACAACGGACGAAGGCAAACGCAACTACGTGTTTGATCATGTCACGAACAAGTACGTGGAAGTTGAAGAAGACGATGACGACGATTTCTTCGACGTGCCCGCTGCACAGCGAATTACACCGCCGAATACACAGCAATGTGTGAATCGAGGAGACAGTACAAACACAACCACTTCTCAACGGACAAGGTGGTCTTCCGTTGGATCAGCAGAGATTAATCTTGCTGGCAATGTCATGGCGTCTCTAGATCCCAATCGGATGAAGCTGAATCGATGGTACCGTCTTCATGATTTACGCGGCAATGTCACGGGCGAGATCTTTGTCGGTCTTCACTTTGTACCAGACGTGAACAACTCAGTGCACCGCAGCAGGATAAACGAACCTCAGCAAGTGAAAGACGGCCAATTCCTGGTGTTCGATCCTCTGAAAATCGTTACAGCGAACACAAGTGACCCCGAGGACCAATGCAAGGACCACGTCATGCTCTCGGATGGTCTACGTGGAAGTTACATCCCGCCATTAGCTTTGGAAGTCATTATCGGATCGTCGCGAATGAGCTTGATGTGCCCTCTCCGTCGCGCTGGAAAGTTCCTCATTCAAGGCGAAAAAGTGCTGGCTGAAGTCAAGGTGGCACAGCGAGACGAGTCACGTCGCGTATTGCTTCTGAGCTCTCCTGTTCAGCTGAAAAATGGTTTGAATTTTGGAGAACTTGCGCTAGATATGTTGCTTATTAGCTGACGTTTCCTCTGGTATTTTGTGCTTAGATACAAGCATTGATATGGAGCTATGGACCTGTCGAACACGCTTAGCCCCTGGCGAGGTAAGGATAGGTCATTGGGCGAGGAGCATATCATGTCTTGACGTTCATTTACCTTGTATGACTAGGGTGGACCCTTGCCAAGAACAGGAAAATTGATGACGCTGACTACGCGTAACAAGATGTCGGTGCCGATTAGTGCAATGTTCGGAGAAGAGAAAGACTCCATTGTTGTGAAGGTGGATGGATGCAGACCAACAGTTGTGGCAGATCTGAATAAACTAGCAGCAGGCTCCACGATCCTGACGCTGGAAGCTGAAGACCTTGAAGGATTGGGTTATTGCCTGTACGTGAACATAACGTCGCACATGCGTAAGGTGTATCGAGAAGAGCATCAGGGAATGATAACGCGCGGAAACACGAGTCAAGACGGTGAGTTGCAGACATATGCGACCAAGTACCAGATATCGCTGCACTCCTGTCTAATTTTCGAGAATACTCTCCCGATTCGAGTGCAGTACAAGATCGTGGCCAGTGGATTATTAGAGGAAGTGGTCCGAACAGGTACACTTTCCCCCGGTGAAGAAGTTCCTATCCACGATTTCCAGTTGGACGCCCAGTTGATGCTTCGATTGCCTGAAATGGATTCAATCTGGAGCCGTCCCATTAACCTTGGTGACTGCATCTATCGAGAAGGCATGGACAAATCAATCAAGTCGATGTTGGGTGCAATTGGTGCATGGGATCCAATCGTAGAGTTCCTCCCGTCTCCTCAGAGCCCTGGTATGGAGTTCAAGGAGGGGGATATCGCCTCAAACAAGGTCGTGACTCGTATCGACTACACGGCTGCAGATGACGGGAGTCCGCGCATTGTATTGTACTGTTCTTTGTGGGTGTACAACCAGTCACATGTGCAAACTCTACTGTTCCGTTGTGCGGATAATCCGGATGCAACTGCTTTGGTCGTGCCTCAACTGGTTCCTCAGCGTCCCGTGCCACGTTTGATGGATTGTCCTGGTCAAGCCTTCGAGATCGGTACCATTATCGACACGGAGGTATCTCGGTGGTCCGACAAGATCCATTCGACTGTGGTGGGTGTCCAAGAGCCTATCAGCCTGAAGTTTGGCAGCAAATTGGGTCCGAGAACCCGCAATGAACTAGGGATATCCATTCAACGACCTCTGGGTCAGTTTCATCGCACGACGCAAGTAATTGTCACTTCACACTTCGTGTTCGTCAACAAGACCCACGCAGCATTCAAGGTCTCGCAGTACATGAGAACAAGTGACCGAGTTGTGGAGCTTCCTGCCATGTCAAAGAAAGGAATCCCGGCTACACATCATTTCGATTTTGATGCCACAACCAGCTTAGCCAATCGACGAGTGTACTTGCGAATGGACCACCATGGAGCAGAATGGAGCGGCCCATTTGTTGTGGACGAGGAGAACGAGTTTTCTTTGAAACTCAAAGGATTAGTGATGGATTCCTGGAGAGACGGAAGCGGCAATACGTACCAGCACGAGGGTTTCCGACGTAGCGCCGTGGAAATGCATCGTATCAAAATCCGGATCAGCAACATGGGACCTAGTATGGTTGTTACGCTATTACGAGACGACCCGCCGATGTATATGATCCGCAACGAGTCGAGTTCAGACGTCTATGTGAGCCAAGTACATTGCTCTGAAGAAACTGTGGTGATTCGTAGCCGCGAGTTTGTTCCCTTCGCGTGGGTGAAGCCGGATGGACCTTGGTAAATGCTAGGAGTGCTTCATATTGAGTTGGTTCTTTCTGACAGGTTTGTACTTTTGCATAGGCGAGTGGCTTGTCGGACAGGGAGTATCGTGGGTCGGGTCAAAATGGTCTCGCGAAATTATGGCGTCTATGACTTTGCGAACTTGGATCGAGAGCGTAACATCGACGCTTTGCGCTACCGAATGTTCGGCAGCAAATCGAAAACTATCACGGGCGATATTGTCATGGATCGCGCGTCACGTGTACTGGTTTTCCGCGACCATGACAAGGATAAACCGCCCAGTTACATTCTCGAAGTGAAGATTATCGCGGCGCGACTTCGTAAAGAGTTTTCACTCAAGCCAGATTCAACTGCAGAATTGATTGCAGAAACGGACAACCATGGTGTAAGAACGACTAACCTTATGGTACTGTGATGTTACGCGCTAACATTTATGCTTTCTCAACAGGCAAAAGCGACCGAGTCTAAGGAGCTGAAGACTGCACACGTGTATCGATTCGACTCTGACCTCGAGTTTGCGTGTGATTCGCGACCCAAAAAGCTGACGTTAAATTTCTACGAGAGTCAAGGCGATCAAGAGGGAATACTGCGCGACATGTCCTCTATTGGTATCGACGATGAAAGCTACTTCAATAGCAATCGCCCCAATAGACGTGGAGATAGTTCTGCAGAGCTTAGACTTAATGCAACGGAGTATGATGAATCTGGGAGTCCGAGGACTGGAGAGGACTCCGCGTCGTTCGAGCTGATGCACACTCCCCCTCAGCGGTGTCGCCCCGTATCAGGCAATATCTCGGACAGTACGTTGTCTCGAAACCAGGCGTTCTATCGCAACGACAGTGATCTCTCGTATGCTGAGGGGATGATCCAGCTCAGCGACATCGAGCGAGTGAGCGATTCTTACGCTTCTTCTGAACAGTCTGATCGTTCTGATCATCGTAATATGGAGCGCGAGTATGGCGCGGCTGGGACTGTGGAGATCAAGATCCCGAAGAAAGCCTGGACACGTATGGGTGTGGGCGCTAAGCGTTCCATTGCTCTGTCGTACAACACAGCAGAGCAAGCGCGTCGATCGCTTGGACGGGTGGAAGGCCATTGGTGGGAAATGAGGGAACCGGAAAGCGGTGACTTGGTTGGCGAAGTGCTAGTGGCGCTCAAGTTTCGTACTTCGGTAAGAGAACACATCCAACCGACTGGTATTTACAACATGAGTGCGATTATCCCGAGTATCGGCCTATCGTTTCTTCACAACGCGAACTCCAGTATGGTGGAAGTGGCGTATCTTTCGATGCAGCGTCTCGGATTGCTGTATTCCTGCGCTGGTGGCAGCAGCGAGGTGGTCTTCTCACTTGGCAACCTGCAAATGGACAACCAGATGGAACGTGAGGTTGTTCTAGGTCCTAAGGTGCACCAAGTTAAGGAAGGAGTATCGGTGCGACTGCGAGATCGCTGGAGGAGCTTCATGAACTACCGGTATCGCGGTATCTTCGAGGAGTTAGACACCAACAGCTTGAGTGTCATTCAGTTCCGAATGCTGTGGAACTCAAGCTGCCACGCGGGCGAGTTTACACACTACGAGCTGATTGAACTTATCATGCAGGAGCTTGAGGTGTCGACAGATGAGAAGTTCGTGGTCAATTTGATTAGTGTTTTCCAAGGCTTGGAGGGGCTGACAAGCCACCACACCTTCGAAGAAATCGTCAACACGCAGCTGGACTATGCAGGCGTTCTTAACAGTGCTATCATCCCTGCTGTGGGTTCAGACGAAAGAAGTGGCGTTGGTGGAGCGGCTACAAGTGCTACGGGAGCGGAACCCAGCGGCGTGTACATCGAAGAGCTGTCAATTGAAGCAATCCGCATCAAGTTTACGATGGAACTTCACGGCGGACGGTACATCAAGACACTTGGTCCTTCCGGTCGACGACTGGCTGTTTATCTTCCCGAGTCTAACGTAAAGGACTTCAGATTGTATCTGACGAAGCTTTCGTTCACGCATCTTTACGAGCCTCAAGCCAGTGTGGTGGAGAAGGTAACACGACGATACTCTCAGCAGGCTGTGATTCTCGTTCTCAGAGGCTTACACACGGTGTCTGTGTACGCGAATCCGTTCCGTATTGTCTATCGATTGGGACATGGTGTCGTGGAGCTCGTACGCTTACCTGCACGTGGCTTGGCCTCCGGTAGTCCACTTGAACTCATTAGTGGCGCGTATCTTGGTGTACGATCGTTGGCAATGAACACAATCAGTGCCAGCTACGAGATTGTAGCGGGAGCGACGGGGATTTTCGGCGCTATATTGACTCCATTTGTACCTGAAAGTCGACGCAGAGCTTTTGAAGAGGATTTGGTTGCGTTCCAACGTGCTGTAATCGAAGAAGTGGATGCTTTCGATGCAGCTGAAGAGCGGACGATGACCAAGTTGATCGTGCGGAAACCTCGTGAGTTCGATCCGAGTGGAGTGGGGCTGCTTACTGTGTATGGACCAGGCTCGGTGCCGCTGGAAGAACAGGAACGCATTGACCATAAGGCCGTTGTGCTTTTGCAACTATGGTGGCGTCGACGACGACGAGCCAAGTTGCTACTCGCTGAGGCGCGACGACTTCGTCCTGAAGTAGACGATGAAGGTCGATCTAACCAGTGTGCCGTGCAGTGAGGATGGTCAACGTGTTCTATGGAACTCCGTTTGCTAACTGCTTGTATAGTAGTGACAGGGTCGAGTACCGCAGCGCTTTCATCATTTTTGTTATTTATTATCAGTGCAATGCTGAACAACTTTTTACTACAGTACTTCGATGTATTCTTCTTCTCGAGTGATTGAAATTTACCTAATCAAGATACTTCAGAAAACCCAGCAGACTTGAGAACGCAAGCCAGGAAGGAAGCAAATGATGAAGTTGTCGTGCCTTATCGTTGGGGGTCTTAGCACTAAGTTCCAAGTCGAAGTCGCAGGGGACAAGACTGTGGAGGATCTCCGACTGGTGATCAAGCAGACAAACATCGGATGACATCGATCTTCATAAGAAACTGCTATTTGCTGTCAAGATGACGGACACCAAAGAGTGGCTTCTCGGTAATGCGTCTCAAGTAGCTGAGCTACGACAGCTGGAAATTTGTTCATTGAACGATCTTCTGAAGGTAACGGCATAACCACGCATGTACTGGATATCGAAGACAAGATAGGGCGTCTATTTTCTTCCGTCAAGCCCGAACAAATCCATGTCCTCGTCGTCTCTTTAGTTCGGCGCGGAAGGAAACGTGACATCGAGGAGCTGCTCGGGGGTGTAACTCATCTACTTCCGGTGATCGATTATGACGGCATCCTAATTCCCGCAGATGAAATCCATGAGAATGACCCGCTGTAGATGCCGTTCTGGGACTGTGCCCGCTTTACCGCTGTGGAACCAACGTGATTGAATTCCCCGAAGACAGTAGCTTCCCGGGCAACAGAAAACACTCTCCATTTACATTCGCAGTTGTTATCCAAAATTACTGGCGAAAGTATTGGATCTTACGGACAATTTGGGAACGCATCGTGGGGTGCTTCTAGAAAGTCCAGGGATTGGCAAACTACCGAAAGCCCTCCACAAGATACTAGCCAAGAAGACGACTTTCTACTTTGCAGATGGCGTTCAGCCTTAAAAACAGTGCTTGGCTTCTACGACGAGATCAGGTCCGAGCGAATTCTACATCAAATTGTTGACGACCTATCTAGTCCGGTGCGCTACGCTTTCGCGTCAGACGCGTGGAACTTAATGCCACGGACTGGTTGTTTCGTCAAGACAAGCCACATCTTCTCAACTATTAATATTTGAATCAGCAAAGCGATCGTCCTCTTCATTCGGCTCTGCTAGAAGGCTATGTCCATCAGATGTTGGCTCAAGATGGAACATTTCGAGTTCGCCGTCGTTGTGCCGCGGTGGTGCAGGAGGAACAATTTGAGCTATCAGCGACAAGAAATGAACTCGACAAAATCTGCGTATTATCGAACGGATTTCTTGCCCAGCTCAACCATCGATGCCTTCGTTTGGCCAATACTGTTCTTTCAGAGCATGTTGACCGAGAAACGTCCTCTAGAGCGGAAGGATGTCGAGCATTGTGGCGCTTCTGCAGATGCGATGTTATTTTTTTTTCTCACCACACCAGAGCTTTTTGACAGCGTACAAGTTCAACCGTACGCGAGCACAAACAGCAATGAGGCTGGTCAGGATAAGGCGGGGTAAGTCAGTTCGCGAATTACACGATAATTGCTGAGGATCGATCTATAGGCACACGTGAAAGCTTTCCCGTTGAAGCTGCATATCAATTTATTGATAATAGGCAACGGATGAAGCAATTGAAGACACCATTCTTATTAATGCCATCGCTGCGAAAAGTTAAACTTTAGTTTTCCTTTTTCTCGACATTTCGCGAATACCAATTCCGGTAACGATAGTGTCGCCATCAGAGAGGGGGCAGACCGCTGTGGTTTGATGTACTGTGCTGTGAATCTACATGTTCAATGTAACAAAATCAAGCATCTCGGGCTGGCACGAAGTGGTTATTCAATTCTCTAAGCGATGTTGTGTTATGCTTTACTCCTCCATTCCACACGAATATGGCGTAAAATTTAATCTACACTTTCGTGGGAACGCGGTGTCCGATTCTGAAGTACGCTTCCTTGGATTAAAGGTTGGTGTTCACGGGAGCAAAGCACTCGTGCATCGAATATGGCTACTTTTCCACAGTTCAACCACACATTGAAGCACGACGTCATGCGATCCTCGATGTGGTACAGCCGGGATCCCATAAGTAATAACCATTATTTTAGTAAGGCTTTAGTCAACTGTCGCTTTGACAGTTCCATTTTCCAGTCGCAAACGTCCGCTTCATTTCGCAATTCGCTGGCTATCCCACAGCCCGATAAAATGCGTGGTTTTCGGGTAAAGTACGATCGGTGGCTACGGGATTCTCCACTGCTGACGAAAGGCGTGACGTCGGCCATTCTCTTCGGTCTCGGCGACCGAATCGCGCAACGGATCGAGACTGGCGACGCGGACCAACGCGATGCCGATGACTGTCACGGACTGCAACGGACAGCACGTATGATGGTGTGGGGTGGACTCCTATTCGCCCCCATCGGCCACGCGTGGTACAATTTTTTGGAGAAGGCCGTTCGCGGCAAGGGCACGGCTACAGTCGTCAAGAAAATCGCCGCGGACCAACTCGTTTTCTCCCCACCGCTATCACTAGCATTCTTCACTTATGCTGGCGTAACTGAGGGTAAACCATTGCCCGAAACAGTGGAGACTGCAGTGGTCAAATTGCCACCGACACTCGCAGTGAACTGGACCGTGTGGCCGCTGGTGCATGTGTGCACCTTCGGCTTTGTGCCATTGCAGTACCGCATTTTGTTTATCAACGTGGTAAATATCGGCTGGTCTACCTTCTTGTCCCGAATGGCAAGCAGCGATGGAAAAGTCTCGAATGCTCAGAAGCTGGAGGAGTTCCTCGTACAGCAGATGGAGGATTCGGAGGAAACAGCGACAGCATGAATGGTTTTTTGAGAAATGGGAATCTTGTTGACGAAAAGGTAATTAACCCTGAAATAAATGAGTTTAACCAATTATAAATAGGCTCATTGTTAAACGAAAATAGTCCATTTGCAATCTGTACCGCACATTTGCCAACATTTGCCAATATGCGGCGCATCGGACAGCTCTACCACTACTGGCTGCATGAAGCCCCGCTAGTGACCAAAGCATTAACTGCTGCCACTCTATCGGGCGTCGGAGATAGAATTGCACAGCGTATCGAGGCCAGCAACGCTCCAGCCACCGATGTTGACCACGAAACCAGTCGCGCGGGCAACGACGAGCTTGTGAGTCAAAGTACAGCACGGACGCTGCGTATGATGGTGTGGGGAGGGTTATTCACTGCCCCCATCATGCACACGTGGTTCCACCTCATTGAGCGTGCAATTCCCGGCACAGGCAAGGTTGCGGTGGCCAAGAAAGTAGCAGCGGACATGGTGATCGTGGCGCCAGCCATGGCTCTGGGCTTTTTCACAGTGACTAAGAGCATGGAGGGCGAACGACTCAGCGATGCGTTTGAAATCGCAAAGACCAAGTTGTATCCTACGATGACCATGAACTACAAAGTGTGGCCCGTGGCCAATCTCATGGTGTTCACTCTCATTCCGTTCCAATACCGCACACCTTTCGTCAACTGTGTGAGTTTGGGTTGGTCGACGTACTTGTCCGGAATGGCCAGCAAGAAGATAACGGAGGACCAGGAGGTAGGAAATGCCGTGACGGCGTAGATTTTACTTAGTTTCAATGGATTAAAAGCAATTTTGCAGCTTTTTTTTTTACTTGGCCTTACGTTTGGTTTACAGTGCGATGGTACTGGACGGCACTGACGGCTTTGGGGCACCAGATCCCCACGGCATCGTTAGCTTTAGCGGCTCGTGGCTGGCCATTTCAGACAAGAACGTCGACCACACGAGACTGACACAGTGTGTGAGTGGCGTGCGGTAATGCAGTGGCACCAGCCCAAAAATGACCGCGTTTGCTGCCGGCCACAGCATATAATCGGCCAGCAACGTCGGAGGTAACTTGGCCTTGGCGACTTCAAAAGACTCATGCAGTGGCTCGCCCTCCATGCACTTGGTAGTCGTGTAAAAGGCCAGCGACGTTCCTGGTGCGATGATCATCATGTCTGCGGCGACCTTCTTGGCCACGACGAGTTTGCCGGTGCCAGGGATCACTCGCTCGATCACATGGAACCAAGTGTGCATGATCGGAGCTGCAAATAGCCCGCCCCAGACCATCATTCGTAGTGTACGAGCTGTGCTGGTACTTACGAGCTCGGAGCTTTCTTGCTTCTGATGCGGTTCACGATCGCTCGACAACTCGTCGAAAACACTCTCCTTCGTCTTGGCCTCGAGTCTCTGTGCGATCTGATCTCCTGTGCCGAAAAGCGTGGCCGCCGTCACGATCTTGGTTAGCAGTGGAGCTTCATGCAGCCAGAAGTGATAGAGTTCACCAATACGCCGCATTTCAACTCGACTGCTGGACTCCTTAAACGAGAGTGAGGATGAGTCGTCCCATGCAAGCCTGTCGACGGTTAAGATGGATTCATGGGCCAACCAAGTCGAAGCGTGGTGTCGATGTGGAGGACGAGGCCAAGTGAGAAACGACTATCCGGCACCTTACTAGTACTAAGTTTTCTTAGCGGTACAAATAGCGACAATGCCTAACGCATTTGTTGCATAGAAAAAGTAAATTTGTAAGATGGTGCTCGATATTTGTTAGGAATCTAGGCATGAGAAACGATTGATTTCTTGCTCTCGTGATCTTTAGAAGCTTCTGATACTGTCCACGTGAACGAAGGCAAGAACGACGGTGTTTGGATAGGATGAGTTGCCGTGTAGGAGAGGAAGGAGGCCCAGCCGAGATGGATGCAGTTTGCGAACAGAAGACGATACTCGAGTGGCATAACGCCGTACGTGATTGAGTTGGCTGCAGGCCACAGCATGTAGTTAGCCATGAGCGTCATGGGTTGCTTCTCGATTGCATCTTCAAAAGCGTCTTGCAGCGTCCTGCCTGCCATGAGGCCAATACTCGTATAGAACCAAATGGGCATTTGCGGTGCCACAAAGACCATGTCGGCTACAACTTTCTTAGCTGCAGCGAGTTTTCCTGAGCCAACGAAGACCCTCTCCATCATGTTGTACCAGGTGTGCATCATGGGCGTCATGATCATTCCTCCCCAAACCATCATGCGGATGGTTTTCGCTGCGCTCTCGCTGATGAGATGACCCTCTTTGACAACATTGTCCTTCGCTATTTCCTCGAGTTCATCGTCACTTTTGCCGATCTTCTCCACGCGCTGAGCAATTCGATCTCCAAGTCCAAAGAGCACGGACGACGTCACCATCTTGGTCAAAAGTGGTTGGCGATGCAACCACTCGTCGTATACAAGTCGAAAGCTGCGCATGCTTCCGTCTCTCTAGTTCGAAGTGTTACGCTTGAGTTGTGCTGGAGCAAGCAAGTTGATAAGTGACGCCAGCCAAGCATGCGTTGTTGGGTGAGGGAATGAGGATCGTTCCCTTTGGAGCTTTCAACGAGGATCCTATCCTAGTGTCTCAATAGTGAAGCATTGACGCTAACCCCGCCTCAATGCCGCGAGTTCTTGTTCAGCCGCGGCATACAAGTACGCGTTAGTCTATAAACGTCGATCCAAACGCGCTGTTTGAGTCAGATAATCTTCTTCTTCATCTCGGCAACAGCAGAGTCAACCTGTATCATCATTTCGTGGCGTACTCGATAAGTTCTCGATCGTTTTGAACGCTGCCGTCGGTCTTGTCAATCCAGTCGACTCCCCCGCAGACTCAGTGGACTCCACTGTGGAGAGCTGTTCACCACATCAAGAGCTTTTGGCGCGTTTTTGTAACAACTGGTTTGACATGTGAAGCACAGGACTTCGCTGTCACAATCGTGGGGTGACTGCGAACGGCATCGGTGGAGGAATCGCTGCGGACATGCGGCGTCTGGGTCTACTGTACGATGGCTGGTTGCGTCGGTCGCCCATGGTAACCAAGAGCGTCACTTCGGCAGTGCTCTTTGGACTAGGAGACCGAGTTGCGCAGAGGATGGAGAAGTCTGGCAAACAGGAGGACGATGATCCACGTGGCGAGGAAAGCGGAGACGACGGAGCAATCGTAAGTGAAAGCACAGCTCGAACCATGCGAATGATGATCTGGGGGAGTGTTCTCTTCACTCCCGTTGCACACACGTGGATAAACTTCATTGAACGCACGGTCGGCAGTCAAGGGAAGGTCGTGGTTTTCAAGAAGATGCTGCTGGACGCGCTTGTTTTCGCTCCAAGCATCAACACGCTCTTCTTCACGTCGACGCAGATGATGCAGGGGAAATCGATTGGCCACGGTGTGGATTTTGCAGCAGACCGATTGCCACAGACGCTCAAAGCGAACTACATGATCTGGCCGGTTGCGAATATCATTAACTACAGCTACGTGCCGCTGCAGTACCGCATCTTGTTCATTAACTGCGTCAACCTCGTCTGGACAACAGTACTCTCAACCATTTCAAGCCGACCTGCAGCCGCTACTGTGAAGGAGAAGGGAGAGGTGAAGACTGTTATGCCTTCAGGAGAGGAAGCGATAGAGTGCTGAGTATGTACACCAAGCATCCGTCGACAAAAAACTTTTGGACCAATTTCTTGTAAATAATACATGTAACTCGATCTGACGTGGAGCAAAACCAACTTATCCAGGTATCGTAGTGCTTGCCCCGATGCTTCTTGGCGAGAACGAAGCGGGTGACTTCGGTGGAGACCAGATGGAGATGCAAAGGCACCGTGATTTGACTGTCACAACGTCGACGCGTAGTGATCCATAGAGGCGGCGCGTAATACTAAGTGCAAGCACTCATCAAGTGTACGTGGCGCTCGATAGTCGCAAAGTCTTGTCGTGGTTCCCCCTCCAACTCATTCTCAAACGTGCTTCCAGCTTCATAGTATCAAGATCAATCACCATGTTCTACGAGCCCGGCAAGACCGAACACAACCTGCCGCATGACCCATTCAAGGCTTGTGTTATCCCTCGTCCTATCGGTTGGATCTCCACCGTCTCGGCCACGGGCGAGGCCAACCTCGCGCCGTACTCGCAGTTCAACAACCTGACCTTCGATCCTCCCTACGTCATGTTCAGTGCTAACCAGACGCCATCGGGCAAGCAGAAAGACACGACTGTGAACACGGAGACCACCGGCAAGTTCTGCTGGAACCTGGCCACGTGGGATCTGCGTGAGGCTGTCAACATCACGGCCGAGCAGGTGGCACCCGGCGTGGACGAATTCGAACGCGCCGGCCTGAAGAAGGAGATGTCTAAGCGCATTGACGGCGTCCCCATGGTGGCCGACAGCCCCGTTAAGTTCGAGTGCGAGTACTACACCACGCTGCGTCTACCTGGCAACCCGCCCATGGGCTCGGTGGACGTTATCATCGGCAAGGTCGTGGCTGTGCATATCAAGGACGAAGTGCTGACGGACGGCATTTTGGACGTCAAGAAGACCAAGCCCATTGCACGTTGCGGCTACTACCAGTACACGGTGGTGACGGAGACGTTCGAGATGATCATCCCCACCAACAACCAGGTGGGCGAGGATGTGTTGGGAGGCCTCGAGGGCAGCACCCGTAAGCACAGAGAAATCACTCAGCGCGAACACCAGGACGAGACGGAGAAGCCGTGAATGCAACAGTGATAACAGCGCTGTGCCGTAATGTTTGCTCGATGATAAATAGAGTTCATGCTGTATAGAACTCTTGAACGTTGCATTTTTTGCAGTAATTCTACAGTCGACAAAATCGACAAACATAATTTCATTCGCGATAGTTGGATTGACAGTCTAAAATGAGATCACGTGTCGGGCGACTCTTAAGATATGAAAAAAAAATACATGTACATTTGTTATTGACTTAGTTGGTCTGCCTACAGAGTTGACGATCTGCTGGAGTATGGGAAACTATAAACAACGGATTCAGTTCGTTTCATGATAACAGCGTTAGACCGTGACCACCAGCTTGTCGCTGCTGATAGCGACGCCCACGAGTGCGTCTTTGGAGATGACGACGGTGTTGTCGTTGGCAAGGATGTAGTCATCCGTCGAGGTGGTCGACGCAGCGTACAGCGTGCCCTCAGTCGAGGCGTAGTAGGTCGTTCCCTTGACAAGCGAACTGGAGACGTCGACAGTGCCCGACAGCGCAACATCGACGTCGGAGCCGTCCACGTTGGACACAACACCCACCGGCTTGCCGAACGACTCCACCAATGCCACACGCTGGTTTTGAGCGCCGGCCCACAGACCTGCATAGCCGATTAGAGCACCGGTCTCCGTTGCCACTACGTCCAGGACGATTGATCCGCCAGCATTCGGGTCGGCTGAGGCCAGAGAGAAGTCTGCGTTGGCCACAGGGAGCACCGGAGACTCCTCCGATAGTGTCAAGTCCGACGAGTACGATAGCACCTTAATGCTCGGCTTGCCGGAGTTGGCCGGGTTCAGGAAACCCACGGCCAGACGGTTGTTGGTCAGCACGCGAACGACCGGCGTTGGGTAGAAACCGAAAGCAGAGCCAAAGTCAATTGCACCCACAGACTCATCGACCACGTAGCTGCTACGGAATGTGGGCGAACCTTTGATAGTGGAAAACTCAACCAGCGACACGGTCAGTGCGTAGTTGTTGGCCGTGTCGAAGTAGCTCAGTGCGATCACCGTCTCTGAGATCTTGGCCGAGTCGATGTAGTATGCAGGACTCACAGTCGTATCGCACACCTCACCTGTTTCAGTCAGTGTGTTATCCGAGAGGCTGGCGGTGAACAGGCACAGACCCACGTTGCCTACAGAGGAGGACGTGGTGTCATTGCTCGACGTCGTGGACGCCTCCACGTACCAGGGCACCGTGACTGTGTTGCTTGAGTTGAACACTGATTGCGGCGTGCCATACTGCGTGAACGTGGCACCGTTGGCATTGCCGAACTCGAGATATTCCGAGAACGAGATAGACCCGTCGTTCGAGACGGTGCCGACGACGATACGCTGGTAGTAAGGAGTGTTTAGGTACGATTCGTAGTACACTAGGGCGAAGCTCGTGTCAGACACGCGGGTGATGAAGGTACTCGTAGACGTATTGGTCGCCTCAACAGTCTGACTCTGTTGCACGGCGATGGAGCCGTCATTGATCGTGACAGGCGTCACGTACGTAGTAACACTGAGCCCGTCTGAGCTCGTGACGGTTGTAAGAGCAATGGCCAACGAGTCTGAAAGCGTGGCCAGACCCTTAACGGTTGATCCAGTGAAGACGTTGCCACTGTCGGCGTCGGCGATGCTCACGGTTTTGCTGTCCGCATCGGTCGTGGCGACTGTGACGGTGCAATTGATGTCGGGCGACTTGCCGGTCTGGTACGAAACGATGTTGGAGGCGTACGCCGTCTCGGACGTGCCGAGCGGTGCGAACTTAATGTAGGCCATGAATTGGTCATCGGATGGCAGCGAGGCCGCGGCCAGGTACGCGGTGGTGCCGGCACCGGCCGTGAGCTGGCCGCCCGTCGTGTAACTCACGGCTTGGCCCTCCGAGGCTGAGTTGGCATTGGTGCTTGAAAGCGTCGAGGCCGAGATGGTGCTCGTGACCGAGTCGCCATTGTTGCTACGGTCAACGAAGTGCAGAATGTAGAGCGCGATGACGTTGAGCAGTAGGAAGAGCGAGACGCTACCCCAGATGAGGTTCTGACGTTTCTGGTGCGACTGAGGAGCTGGTGACATGTAGTCGGCTCTGGGCGTGAACAAGCCGTCAGCGTTGGGCTCGTTGTCCTTGCCGCCCATGCAGAGAGAGAGAAAGAAAGAAAGAGGGTGTTGCGCTCGAGGATGCGAATGCTTGAGTGGCAAGATTGGCTCGAGTTCACATGAAAAAAAAAAAGGTGGAAGGAAAGCTCTATGGTTGCAAATGAGCGACTTTGTCAAGCGACTTTTGCAGGTGCAGGTTATCAGCACAGAACGTGCCTACTGCGGATATGATTGGCTGACTGGATCCAAGTTGAAGTGGCCCGTCGGTTACCTACGGACAGCAAGAGATGCTCCGTTGAAAACCGACACACATATCTATTGTAAGTCACTTGGAGAATCCTAACTTTAGTGCACAAGTGAGCGCTGGTTTATTGTCGTTCACAACAATCGACAGTTGTGGACTATTCGATGGAAAAACGATCCGCAATATCGCTGTGTAGACACTGTAGACACACGCACTGGGCAGATCTCGCCTTCGCTAAAGATGGAGAACGTTGCGTTTCGTTGCAATAGTATCACGTTATCCTGTGATATTTGTCGGGAACATGCCACAGTGCCTCCGTCGCTGCCTCCAAAACTCGGAGTTTCCTCCCCACTTGCGCACCAACGAATAAATTTGCTAAACGTAGCTACTTTATGCCTCATAAATTATGAGCATTGTTTTCCGCTCGGTAGTTCTAGGCGTAGATGTGATTCGCGTGATGTGAAGATCACTTATCATCGGTCAGGGTGGCGTGGAGGCTTAGCATTGGATACCTTCGAATTGAGAATAATGCGTCCGGAACCTACCTTCAGAGCGCTGAACTGTCAGGACGCCTTTTGCTGAGGGATTCTTGACCGCAAGAATAACGCTGCGTCGCCGCGTACAGCACTTTTGGATCGCAATAACAATAACAGCAATCACGAATGCATGCAAGCACGAACCAAATACATGTACTAGTACATTTCAGTGTGATGGCTCCAGCGTAGCGTTGTTTAAACCCTTTGCTACGTGTTCGTGATAATTGATAGGCCTCCCGCTACAAAGGTACAGTTTCCGTCGACGCTGGTATTTCGACCGTATCGAACGAAGGGAGAGCCATTGTCTCCATGGATGTAGGGATCTCCATACTATTAAACGACGGAAGCGCCATAGTCTCCGTTGATGTGGGGATCTCCACTGTACTATGAGAAGTAGGAGCCACAGCTGTGTCAAAGGCTGGAAGAGCAACAGTCTCAAACGAAGTCGGGATTTCAAAGTTGCGAGCGCGCTTCGGCTTCTTTGCGTTTGTCTTAGAAGCTTCAGCTTTCGAGTCGGTGGAGCTGACAGCCTTAACTCCTTGATTCGCTTCCGTGTCCACGAGCAGCTTCGTCAAGTCAATACTCTCAACAAACGCATCCACGACATTCTTGGCTAACTGACCCTCTGCAACTGTGAGAAATACACCAGGCTCAGGCTCTTTCTGTCCTTCCTCACTTGCTTTTTCAGCAATTAGTGCACTGTGTCCGCCGTCCGTCAGCTCAGGGAGAAAACCGTAGACGTGTTTCTCGGGTTGGAACTGCTCGAAGTACGCCGTCACATTCTCTTTACAGTGTTCGAGACTGTAGAAACCGTCCTCTGGCAAGCGGTTAAAGATACCTCCAAGCACTTTCACGCCATAACTCTCAAAGAACGTCGCGTTCAGGTTGAACGAGTCCACGGCGTCGCCCACCCCTTTCTTGCCAACTAGCACAACTGGTGCCTCCAACTTCTTGGCTACATGAGCATTAGAGACGCCGCAAATGGACCCCACAGCAGGGTATCCAACACCATCCACGACCACGACCTTCTTGCCTCTCCCTACTTCGTCCACCTTTTGTTTGGCCTTCTCTAGCAACTGAGCCGACGTGTCGGTCTCACCCTTCAGGAACTCCCGTGTGAATCCCTTATAGAACAAAATAGGGCCCACTTCACAGCATGTGATGCCCTGTTGGCGACAGAATTTGGTCACTAACTGCGGTTTCTCGCACTGCGTAGCCGGCTTAATGTACGCGATGTCACCGGCAGCGTAGCCACTGCGCAGCAGCGCGCCCACCAGGCCCAGACATACCGTGGATTTGCCGACCTGAGCTCGGTCTCCACTGATGAACAACCGCAGCGGTGGCGTCTCTTGAGTAGCGGGAGCGGGCGCCGCAGTGTATCGGGATTCGAGAAGCTGCTGCTTCATCCACTGCATTAGCGCTGTCTTACCAAAGACTATGAACTCTTGCTGGTCCGTCGAGATGCGCGCAAATAGCTCGCCCTGCTCGTACTCGTTCTCTTGGTCGGGCAGCGAATTCTGTCGATCGTTCACTTGGACGGGGTTGTTCTTGAGCTCTTGCGTGACTAGTGCCTCCACCTCCGCAGCGCTCGCACGGGTCTCACTGTGCAGTGCCAAACCAGAGCCATAGAGAGCACTGAAGCCGCGCAAAAAGGCTAGCACCTCGGCCAGCTCGGCGTCGCCTTGTCGCCCGAAGATCACACAGCGTACAAGCGAAGCCATGGAGTCCGTCATGATGAGCGAAGCTGCGTTTGACGGGGAAATGACTGGGCAAATAACATGGACTTGATTGGTGGAAAATGTGTTCGATTGACCATTGCATGTCATGATTTTTATAAAGCTAATAATGGCATAAATTTCACCCGATACGGTATATTAACACCCTCATTGATACTGCTGCGCAGCACCTTCCCCCTTCGTTCATTTCGGCCGGGTGGAAGTCGAGCGCGAGGACGGATGGGGGTCCGTTTGCCAGAAGTTTTGCAAATGAACGAGAATCGGCACCATTCAGCAGGAATGTTTTCCTTTGTGTCTTAACTGGTTTATCCAGTGTGTTATTGTGTAACCCATTGGAAAAGCCAAAATCTGCAAGCGAGTTGGAAGATTATCAGCATTGACAGCGACTGTGCTGTTGTCTGGCTTGGTTTATCCGAAACGAGCTAGATGTAGATAAAGAACACGGGTAGCATGTTTCGGTTCTTCAGTATGTACATGCACAGAAAAAAATCACGAATATTGCGTGCTAAAGCGAAGCTATTCGATCCGTCACCGCTTGATCTCGTTCTCTTCTTCATTGGTGACACCAACTAAAATTTGTGTCGACTTCGAAAAGCGTCATTTATCTACAGCAACACGGTCACAAAGCTAGCATTGATCACGGCATTTCTTGCAAACGCGGATGTGTTGGATGATTTCTTGCCGTTGGCGACAGCGAGTTGTATAATAGAGAACCGATCCCACAGTCGTGACATGAAAGCACGCAAGCTCCCTGAGTTATTTCGCGCTGAGAGATCTTCTCGAATGCAAAAAGTGTCGTAAACGTCACTTTGACCACAGTCATGCGACTTAGAATTGGTAAAAATGATTGGCGTCCTTAAAAACCTGAAGCTTGCAAGAGCCTGAAGCTACAAGAATCCGAAGAAGCTGAAGCCTGAATAACAAACAAATCGAGCTGTTGCGGTAGTACTAAAGTATCCCGACGACCCTTCGAAGATATTATAGTCTTCAACCGCCGGTGCAAAACATGTACACCGAACCGTTTCGGACCAAATCAGAAGCTGTGAAACGGAGCACTTACAAACACCAAGTGTCAGCGTACCGTAAGCGTCACAACGTAATCACAAAATGGTCCAAGCACCCAACGATAAAAAACAATCTTGGCCATTTAGTGACCGAGCTCAGCACGATCGTCGAGCTGTGGTAATACCTGTGGTCGCCCAGCTTACGTCCAGGATTCACTCGCCCGCACACTGTGCGGCGCACAGGGATCCAAGATCCACTGGGATTGGCCGAATCTATTAAAATCCCATCATGGTTGACCTTTTTTTGGCTCATTTTTGTGATCCATTTCCGGACTCAGATACACCTAACCTGCTTCAGACTACCGGTAGCAAACCTAGCATCCAATATCAAAAATCACAGCACACAGTCACATTTGTATTAACTAATGTGAAACTATTAAATTTTCAGTATTTCAGATCATCCGATTTAAGGGTCACGATGTCCGTTTTCATTTGCTTTCTCAGGTGCAAACGACGGTTGCAAAGGTCAACTCGACTGTGTCTCGTGCACTCACAATCGAAAAACTTGGCGAAACGGAAGCAACAAACGTCGCCGACGCGCGGGTCCTGCGAGGATACAAAGCAGCGAGCGACGGTGCGTATCCCAATGCCGTGCATCCTCGCTTACAACCTTTAGCTAACAGTTCACAACTTTGCAGACACAGCACAACTCTCTGACCAAATATCCACTTGAGACAATGCCGCTCTACCGTCGCGGCCCAGGATTCAGCTTCTCTGGACCCGCAGGGCTGGACTTCGATGGGAACCACGCATGGCCGCACTCGTACGGACCGCCGGTCGACTCTGTGCGCTCCCTGGAGCTGGATCTACGGCTCTTCTCGGCCTACTTCTTGGTGGCCGAGTCTCTAGCCACCTTCGTGGGCTACCGCATCGCGCAACACTGTATTCGTGGCTGCCGTGTGTACTTCTTGTCACCTTCGCAGCGCATGTGGATCGGTTTCTTTTACTGTTGGTTAAAAATCCGATTGGTAAGATGTGTGTGTCAATTGTGCGCTGGAAAGTGGTGATGCTAACTCACGGCATGGGTTATTAATCTTGCAGATCGACTATGCGTTCCACGGCACGGCATATTACACGATGTCGTTACTTATTATGGTTGTGTACTTTGTGTACGCACTACTGGCCTTTGGCTTCCACTTCGGACCATTGCAGTTCCTCTTTTTCGACTACATCCCACGCAGCAAGATGACAAAGAGCTTGATCTACAAAATGGCACTGCTGTGCAAGGAAGTCTCAGCGCGTATTGAGTTCTACGTGTTGCAGCAGCTCATCTGCCGTCCACCACTGGAAACTCGCGATAGAAACGCTATGACCTCGTCGCCATTCGCCACACACCCGTTGGAGCATCAAACCTCGCACAAAGCTGCTGGATTCTCTCGAGTCACATCGTTTTTCGGACGGGAGGTGGACGTCAACATTGAGCTCTGGAACAGCTCAATGTGTCAACAATGGGCCATGACACTGAGCTCCGCTGCACGCTCTACTGCATCCCGCGTTCGGAGCAAGTGTGGCGACTCCACTGTACTTACAAACAGCGCCTTCGAGTGTCGCTTCATGTTCGTCATGCAACACGATGGCTTGTTGCTAGGCTTCTTCATGACGACTCCTACTGCGACACTAATGGTCAAGTTTAAGGACGGGAAAGCCATGCCATTTGAGCTGCTACTACGGTTTAACTGCAGCTCTCGCTCGGCGGTATCAACTACGTCTCCGATATTTCTATACGCTGAGAGTCCAAAGTTGGTGGGAAGAGCAACAGTGGCTCAAAAGAATGCCGTTTATCGTCTTCTACTTCAACTCAACAGTGTTCATGGCAATACGGCCGATGTGCCTCTACGCGCTCTACGCACCAAGAACTTTGTGGACGCTGGTGTTGGCCAAGTGGTGAAGAAGAAATCACGCGCGAATGGCTCATTTAGCGGTCTGGACGGGTATTAACAAGCAGGGCATCGTGCTCGCACTTATTTATATAGTAGATTAACCAAGCATATTACCAAGTCTTTTGTTCATTGTGTACATCTAGCAGCAATTGCTGCGATATCTACTTAGCAAAACTGAGGTGGAGGAGGGACGGTGGGCACCATACCCAACGTGAACTCCGCTTGCTGGAATTGCTCTGCGTTCCATGTGTCGTCGCGAGAATCAGGCGACGGGCCAATGATCTTTGGTGCTGGTGGAGGTGTCGGTGTAGTTGAGGTTGTTGTAGATGCTCCAAACGTCAACGTTGACGATGAACTACTCGTTGCTGGCTTCCCAAACCCTCCAAATCCACTGGTAGTGCTTGTTGACGTCGCCGGTGCTCCGAACGGACTACTCGACGGTGCCACAGAAGCTCCAAACGGAGACGAGGTGACAGTGCTGGAGGAAGTGGACGCACTAAATGGAGTGGCGCTGGACGTACCGAAGCCTGACGATGATCCACCGAATGTTGTGGATGTTGAGCTGTTTGTTGATGCAGCGCCGAAAGGATTGGCACTACCTGTCGTTCCTGACGAGCCTCCGAATGGTGAGCTTGAAGGTGCTCCAAATGGTGACGACGTAGGAGCGGCACCACCACCAAACGGTGACGACGGTGTCACAGCACCGAAAGGAGACGTTGCCGGTTTTGCTCCACCAACGAATCCCCCAAACGATGAGGGTGTAGTCGATGCACCCCCACCAAACGGAGAAGAAGACGGTGTCGCAGCTGCCCCTCCAAAAGCAGTCGTAGAGGGTGCTCCAAACGGACTAGCTGCAGGTGTAGATGGCTTACCGAATGGAGATGCAGTAGGTGCAGCAGCACCTCCTCCAAACGGGTTCGCCGCAGCTGTACCGCCAAAAGCTGAGCCTCCTCCTGATCCTAGCGTCGAAGGAGCACCAAATGCTGTAGTCGAGCCACCGCCAAATGGGCTAGCAGTAGCTCCGCCAAAGGCAGTATTCCCTCCACCGAATGGACTCGCTGCCGGTGTAGCAGGCTTCCCAAACGGTGATGCTGACGGTGTAGCACCCCCACCACCAAACGGGCTAGCAGTAGCTGCACCCCCTCCAAACGGAGATGCTGCTGGAGTCGCCGCTCCAAATGGACTTGCGGCAGCTCCTCCTCCAAACGGGTTCGTAGATCCACCCTGTCCACCAAAACCTCCTGTTCCAGGCAATGACTCACCAGCAAACAGCTTCTGCGCCGACTGGTGGTTCTCCAGCAACGATACTACGCGTTGTCGTTGATTCTGCTGCTCCGCCGCTAGCGCCTGCAGCTTCTGCGTGGATTGCATGCAATTGCCTGATGTCTTCAATTCTTGATAAGCTTCCCACCGAGCTTCTTCGGCACTGATATCACCGGCCACAATACTCGGTAGCTACAAAACAACAAGCAATTAGGTCTAACACATGAATACAATAAGCATTATTTGAAACGTACGCCTTTGGCGACTGCGAAGCCTGAAAGTGGCCAAATGGGTGGGTTTTTGAGCTCCTCAATAGCCAGCGCACGCCCGGACTCCGTCATTGTGACGCCCTGGACACCCGAAGTTGCGCTGCCATTGTTCCCGAACGGAGACGGCGACTGTGAGCCAAATCCACCGTTATTCCCGTTGTTGCGGTTGTTGTTGCCGCCAAACGCCTCGTGTGAGAAGCGACAGTTGTTGCCGTTGCGGCATGTGCCCTGCAGGAAGAACTTGCACGGCTTCACGTAGCCGCCTGGCCGCCCCATTATCACCACTGCTCAAAGTGTGCATGTGTTTAAGCGGATGGCGTTTGATTTGCTGAAAATAAAATGAAAACTATTTCAGCCAACCATGTGTAGCTTGGCTCTCGTTTTGATTTCGGTAATATCTGATGAGGCAGGAAGTTACGATCGGGGGCTTGCTGCTGCTGGCTTCGGTTGCCACAACATGCGTGTACGAGTCTTCACTTGTGCGTAGTGTCAAGAGCTTCGAGGAGGGTCGATCTTTAGTGATTTCGCTGTCCAAACCGCAAGTTTCGACGAGTAACGATGCCCGATTGATTCAGTTTTCGGGTTTGATCACCACCACAGCGTCGGATGGTGATTCCCAATGGAAAAGGCGCGATACGGACGAGCTGCAGCTCCGACAAAGTCCGTTTGTGCTGGATCCGGTATTCGGCATTGCCGTGAAGGGCGTGAGACTGCATCGCCACGTGGAAATGCTTCAGTGGGTGGAGACGTCGCACACGTCGACGAGTAGCACACCCGAGGACGAGGACCGCCGGTTTGATGATGATCGGGAGCGGATCTACATGTACGACTTGCGGTGGAGAGAAGAGGAGATAGATAGCAGTGCTTTCAATGATATCAGCTACCGAAATCCTCCGTTGGAAGCTTGGACGTACAAGTCGCTGGTTGTCAAGGCGAAGGACCTCGTTGTGGGTGAATTCTCACTGCCCGACGAGCTGGTGGATCAAATTGAACGTCGAGATGGTGTACACTTGGATACTGCAAGTCGTCGAGTGATGGCACATTTACTGGATCAGCGACAAGGAACGTCATGGGAAGACGGGAGTGCACTCGTTAATGTCACGGTTGAGGATGACATGTTCTACTTGCGCAACGAGATGAGAGAGCCTGTTCTTGGGGACATGCGTGTGTATTTTGAAGTGACACCCAATTATCCCGTGACGGTGTGTGCGAAGCAGAAAGGGAATGAGTTGATGCCGTTTAAGACTTCCACTGGAGACTCTCTATTCCTATTAGAAGATGGGATCATGACTGCGGATGAACTGTTTGACAAGAAGACACATGCAGAGGTGTGAATTGGCAAATAGTGACCCGTACATGATATTACGTACTCATTATTAATGCGCTATGCTTTATAGGTGCGGAAGAACCGTTTTTCCGGCTGTTTGCTGCCGTGCTGGGCTTCATGGGCTTCCTGGTTCTACGCAGACCCCTTATCGAGCGCTTTGGATCGCTTGTGGCTGGCATTCAACAGCACCTACTAGCAAGCAGCATGAGCGTTGCGCTCACGTTTTCAATCGTTGGACTCAATTGGGTTCTGTACAGGTGAGTTATATCCAGCCTCTGAATTTTTCATCGCCAACGACGAGCTGTTTGTTTTGTTATGCAGACCCCTATGGGCTCTCGTGCTATGGCTCGGAGGCTGGGCGCCTCCGTTATGTCTCTACTTGTTCTTCCGCTCCAAGCTCGAGCTGAAAAATCAATGAATGCAGCCTTAGTTGAAGGTTAAAGTTGAAGCCATCTTTGCAAAACCAGTACATATCAATCCGATACCGGTATTTTCATAAGCCAATCAGATCGTCGCTATGCCGACTCCAGTCGTTTATCGGAGCTGTTGGCTGTCATCGCCATCACTTCGGCTTCCTGCTCCTCTGCACAGACACAGACACGGTAATCATGGAGGTGGACTCGATGGCCGGCCAGGACATGGTCATCAATGCACAGACGATCGCGCAGCAGGCGCAGGAATCCGCCGAACAGATGGACGTGGAGACCGAGGATGGCATGGTGCGCCCCAACTTTCCCGCTCTCAGCGCCCAGCAGCAGTCTGGAGGCAAGAACGACTTTCGTCGTGTGCGTGTGCCTGCTCACCGCTATACTCCGCTTAAGAACGACTGGCCCAACATCATGAAGCCCATCGTGGAGCACCTGAAGCTGCAGATCCGTATGAACACAAAGACGCGCTGTATCGAGCTCAAGAACTCGCCGCACACGACGGACGCTGGCGCGCTACAGAAGGCCGCTGACTTTGTGCAAGCCTACATGATGGGCTTCGAAGTGCAGGACGCCGTGGCTCTGCTGCGTCTCGAGGACCTTTTCATTGACACATTCGAAGTGAACGATGTCAAGATGCTCAAGGGCGACCACTTGAGCCGCGCCATCGGTCGTGTGGCTGGGCAGGACGGTAAGACCAAGTACGCCGTGGAGAACGCTACCCGTACGCGTATCGTACTGGCCGACCAGAAGATTCACATCCTCGGTTCATTTGCCAACATCAAGCTCGCCCGTGACGCCATTTGTTCGCTTATCATGGGCGCGCCGCCCGGCAAGGTGTACAACAAGATGCGCAATGTAGCTAGTAGAATGAACGAGCGATTTTAAATTTCTCAAGACGAGATTTCCACGTGCGAACACAGCGAGTTTGGCATGGAAACCACGGGGAGAGACGAGTGTAAACTCGCTCGGGGTGTCCCCACTTAAATATATTCACTTTGGTTTTGTCTTCTCCTGTATCGAAGCGTTCATCTGCATGAGGTTTATGTGTCACTTCCGTGCGTACAACAAGACGTCTGACATGCCGCTGCTTGGGTGTACGTCTACGTAGCGTTCTGTGTACGGCAACCTCCGTCAACGCCGCCTGGGAAGTTGATACTGAGAAGCGGTATACCGGCGCATTTAAAGCCTTTGCCGTCAGTAACTACGCGCGATACCGTCGCTTGTTACCCTGATTGGCATCCAAAATTCGATGCAGCTCCCCCGTAATCGGTTCAATGCTCTTGTCTGCTTCGAAGCAGTCGAAAAGCTCCAAGTCCACACCAGGCATTTCACTATAAAAGGCCAAAATCTGCAAACCATGTCAGCACTTGCCTCCATCTTATACCTCAGTTTTTAAAACGCACCATATGAGCAGAGCCGTAACAGGAAAACATGCCCTGTGCGCCTCTGACATGCACCACCTGCGGGTCAATCTGGTTCAACGTCGCCGCTGCATTCACAACACCTTATCAGTCTTCCCCCGCCTAAAATAACCGTCACTGTTAAATACTGCGTACCGAACTGCAGCGCGGCGTCCTTGAGGTTGATAATCGTGCGAGTAAACTCGTCCGTATTCACTTCCGTCGTCTCTGATTGTGCTCTACACCAGTCAAACGTTGTCAGTCTCGCCATTCTGAGCCCCTCATGTCTCCTTAAATGACGCACATCATATCTCCGCTGTCGCCATCCAGTAAACAGACGTAGCTGGTGCCAGGGTATACGGCCTTGATGCGTTCGAACTGCTCCTGGAAGAGCATCCGTCTCTGCAGGTCTCCGCGTCTTCGCGACAGGCAGCGACACCACAGACTCATGCGCCTCTCCAACTGGAGACCAAAGCGCAGAGCGACGAGAGGCTGGAAATCGCCCCGCGTCACGCAGCACTCGCCTTAGTCTCTCTAGCGGACTTCCTCGTCTGCTTCCTAGAGGACCCCAACGCCAATAATGGACGTTCGTCGAATCGCAAGATGGGTCGAAAATTTTCAGAACCCTTACAGTGGGTTAAACAGCATCTTCAACAGGTGTTTCTACATCAATTATATCGACTTATAAGTTATTACAGTCTTTGTCTCTCACTGCAGAAGAAAGTGACTTATAAAATCCTGGATGGTACTAGATAACAGAAGCCTATCAACCGTCACAAAACGGCTGACTTTATGAAAAGACAATTGATCCTTTTGACTGTGAAGCAACACCGAGACTGCGTAACTGACAAGATGCATAATCTTTTAGTCCTTAGACCCTAGGTTTCTTCCACTTCGAAGACGTTCCAGTGGTATCTGTCTTGGCTTTATTCATCTTGTTCTGCTGCTTGTTGTGCCGTTTCTTCATCTTGACGGCATCACGGCGTTTGCGCTTGTAGTCCAGTGTAAGTTTCTTCCGACGTTCAGGCCAATCTGCTACCTCTTGACCGCCGACAAACGTCCTACCGAAAGCTAGAAAGTCCTCCAGACTCTTCTTGGCACGTTTCTTGGTCAACTCTGCCTTCATCTCCCCGTCATCTTCATCATCACTCGCCTCGCTGTCTGTAGCCATAGCCTCATCATCGTGGTCTTCTGTGAGGTGGAAACCTGGGGAGAAGGCCCAATCACCTGCAGTCGCTACAGGTTCCTCTTGCTCGTCTTCAAGCAATTGCTCACCCATAGCCGCGAGAGGTTTATCCTCACCAACTGGGAAGGAGAAGAGCGAACTCATCTTGAATGGAGCTTCTGAGCCCGTATCAGCAGCAGTAGAACCAAACTTAAACACACCATCGAGCGCAGCTTCGCCTTCCTCGCCATCTTCCGAGTTTTTACGTACACGAGAGAAGAGATTGCTCAGATCGCCAGTAGTCGAGAAGAATCGATCACCACCGGTCGGGATCTCCTTCTCCTCGCGTTTAGGTGGCGCAGCAACTTCTTCTTCCTTCTGTACGCTCGATGCTGTCGTTGTCATGGGGATCTCGAACTCTCGACACGCGTGAGCGTCACGTGGGTCGTAGCGCTTCAATTCTCCCATCCAGGCAGCCTCCTTCAATGGGTCCTTGGGAGCGCGCTGTTCCTGCAGTCTGCGCTGCAAACGGGTCACATCCACATCAGGGAACAGTTTGGATACCACACGCAATGCTGCTTCCTCTTCTTCGCGCATCTCATGCGCATGACGAGCAGCTTCCTCTGGGTTCTCCTCTTCTAAAAAGTTCTGCAGCTCCGTAATCGCTTCCTCATCCATTTCATGCTCCTCATCGTCAACTTCATTGCCGCCATATTCGTTGGCTTCTTCTTCCAAGAAACGCGCATCCAGACGGAAACGCGCGTCGCCTCCGAAGCGCTTCTGCATCTCAAACAGCTTCTTACCTTTCTCACCGACAAACTCAGGTCTCAGTGCAAACGCCGCCTGTGCTTCTGCGTCAATATCAGCCGAGACTTCAGCATCGTCCGTAAACTCGAATGTGTTGCGTCCTCCACGCTCATCGTCCGCTTCGTCGTCACTGGAATCCATCCAGTTGGAGATCACGCCGTCATGTTCTTCCTGTTCCTCGGGCTCCTGTTCATTGCCACTATCATCAAACGTGATTTTCTTGTTGCCCATTGCCTCACCAATAGGCGGAATCACCACTTTCTCCTCCTTTTTCCGCTGCTGTTTAGCTTCCAATGCCGCCAAGCGACGAGCATTCACCTCCTCCTTCGTCAAAGGCTTCTTCTCCTGTTCATTCTCCTCAATCGCATTCTCCTCCTCCATTTGCCTCACAAAAGCCTCCACGTCGTCCTCTCCAAGCACATCTTCAGCTGCTACGTCATCCTCTGAGCCACTCTCCTCAGCTGCACCTTCACTCTCCTCCTCGGACGACTCCGTGTCCGTCTCCTCCTGCTTAACCTGTTCTACCTGCTTAACTGGTTCCACCACTTCGTCCACCTCTGGGAATCTCGTCTTCTTCCTGCCTTTAAACTTAACCCCAAGTTTCAGAGGCAGCAGCTCTTCAGTTGGCGTGTTAATCTGTTGCTGTTGCTCTCGGTGTCTGTCTTCCGCCAGCTTTTTCTTCTGCTCCTCCTCTTCCCACTCTTGCTGCAATTTCAGCTGGAAATGAGGCTTAGCTGGCTGTACTTTAAGCATGGATCCGCGCCACTTGGTACGGTTAAAAGTCTTCTGCAGCTTCTCGCTCTGCGCTTCAGCGTCCGCACCCTGTAGCGTCAGATAAGCGAATCCACGCGAACTTCCTGGTGGCGGCAAGAAAGTTCCCATCGGTTTAGGTTTCGGAAGCTCCACGTCCGCCAATCTGCAGTCCGCTCCATTGTTAACGAACCGGCCGAAACGTTCACGCAGCTCCTGGTTCTTAGCGTCCGTAGGCAGGCCACCCACGTACACACGCACAGACGTAGCCATCCTCGTGTACGCTATATTGACTGGTCCGCCACAGACACACAATTTGACCAATCACAGCAATAATTGAAAAAGATGATAACTTTCGGTGAAAATCTGTATCGAAATATTTGTATAAACTGCTAAAGGTTATTACATTAGTCACTCTTCGAAATAGTGACTTGACAGATGCTCCGTTTCATTCGTGTTGAAGTTTTTCCACCGCAAGTCGGATGAAACCGATCAGCGCTCCATAAGTCTATCACACGCACGTAACCTCACTGCGACTAGTCATTTGGCAGGATCCCAGTCGGGACGTTCCCTTGGAAGCACAAACAACTCCTGGCGCTCGTCCGGATTGGTGAACGGGAGGTTGTACGTCAACGACACGATCTCTAAGCGGGGTAGTCGGAGGTAGCCTACACGGAATAATAGAAAGCAGTTACGTTAGTTCACTGAACCAAACGCGTTGCGTCAACACAAATCAGCAGTGTGCAACATGTAACAAACCTGTCTTCGTAGGCACCAAACACAACTGGAACACTTGCTCGTCGAAAGGAAGTAAGTCCTCCGTGGCATTCGTACGACCAGAGATGAAGAACGCTCCCTCTGCATCCACCGGCTTGACACGCAGACTGTGGAAAACCGCCTCGTTGTTCCTTACCTTCACATCCATGTAGACGACGACACCTTCAACACCAAACGATGGGGTCTCCACGCTGAAAGTGAGTGGGGCGTCCACGAACGAAACCATCGGGATCTCCAGCCACGTACTAACGACATCGTTGTGAGAACCATCCGGAGTACTGATAATCGTCGACGATTCGCGTCTCCAAAGCACCTTGACGCGACCTAGTGTCACAAATTTAGACGCTAACTTCGGTACTAACCGCAGGCAGAAACACCGTGAATCACCGTCGTTGAAGGTCGCACAAACGTCGTCACTGTCACTGGATACCGGACCAAATCCCGACACAGCCAAGTCTTCAATCGTGTTGGTCTCACGCGCTTCGAACTCCAGTGCAAGCACCTTCAAAGACTCTCCAGACGTGCAAGTGACGCTGCCTTGGAAGCTCACCGAGTTCCCCACACATCCGTACGTTCCCTTCGGCATTTGTGCAGCGCCAGGCACGCCACCTCCGCTGAGGAAGTCGTGAATTAAACCTCCTTGGATGTCGAACGGATCGTGACAGACCAACTCGAACCGTTCATCAAAACTCACCGCGACTCCAGCTTTTGTCGTGTACGCGACGGAGACAATCAAAGTCACGGGAGTCGCTCTCGTTGAGCGAACAATAACCCGCAGCGTCTCCTCAGTTTCCGGGTCTTTGTTGGGCAACGAGTTAAGATCCCGAGGTTGTAGGTTTGTATCCAAAGGCACGGGTTTTAACACGCCTGAGTGCTCTGTGAAGAAGAACGCATCGTTTGGCGATACCGACGCCGGTGGGGGTTCACACGCAGCTTGGAATGTCACGTTCTCCAACTTATCTTCATTGGCAGACAACTTGAACGCAAGCTCGCGGAAATCCCCAGTCAACAGTGGCTCGTGTGACAGCATCATCAGTGTAGCCTTCGCTCGAGGCTGCAGAATCATCAACGACGAGCCCCGAAGATGTGCGGTGCCGTCCTCTTGAATCGACTCTGGTGTGTCTGTTTGGCCGGGGCGAGGGCCCTCGACAAGTGAGAACATCGACTTTCTCCTCGAGAAACTCGGAGATGCAGAGCCATTGCCCATGGCCGGCACACGTCCATTAATAAGATACGGCTGTGGCGTCTCCCGCTGCTCTACAGACACTCGTCCCACTAGCAGGCTGAAAATCAAGAACTCTTCCTCTGGTGCTGCACTATCAGCACTGACACCATTAGCCTTTGCACTGTGGTCTCCGCTCAAATAGAACCGCACTTCCTGGATCGATAGCATCTGTCGTCCATCCAGCACATGCAACGGAACGCGGAGTTCTTTAGCCACTTTGTGAGTAAATTCCAGCGACGTGAACAGCTTCCCATCGACGGAAGTCAATGATCCAGACTCCACGTCGGTTTGATGGTAGATGACGGTACGGTACCGCTCGTCGTTAAACACCAACTCTATCTTCGCCACCACAAGCGGCGACGGGAAATGTGATCGCAACTCTAACTCGAGCGTCGCATCTTCCTTCACACAAGCAGAGGCACGGTCGAATTGTGCTGCTAACGTGAACACCGGGCGCGATCGATCGAGTGCGACTTCATGGCCGTTCCCAAGCGCCGAGTTCTCGGTAAATGGCGCTCCAAGTGCTGCTGGGTTTCTCCACGCTGTTATGAACGAATCCTGGATACGACCACGCTCTTTAGGTGACACAAACTCCTCCACAACGGGCGATAATAACTGCAGCGAATAGTCCAAATAGGCCGCAGTATCTCCTTGACGGAAGGTGCAGATCAGTAATTGTTTCAGAATCTGAGCCGTTTGAGCCCAGCAGTTCTCAATTGCAAACGTTGCTTTCGCCTTCTGTAGTTCTGCTCGTGAGCGTTCGTACTCGCCTGATGCAAGCCGTTCTGTGCCCAAATGAACAAGCAGTCGGCTTTTCATCCGACTGCGGGGGGCATTGTGGTCAGCAACATACATCGTTAGATGCTGGATCGCGTGCTCCAAGAGAACAATAGACCGCTTCGCATGCGACACAGTCCTCTCCATTGCATGGCGGTACTTGACCAGTGCTGCTATTGACGGGTCTTGTGACGCCGAGTTCGCTTCAGATACCACTGGATCGCCTCCAACGTAAACAGAAGGCACCACGACAAAGTCACGTTCTGATAAAACCTCGCCATTAGGAGTTGATGAAGGCACAACTGTAGTAACCGTGAGTCCAAGTTTTGCAGCCGCCTTCCTCCGAAACATAGCGTACTTCGCTGCAATGGAGTAATATAAATACGGCTCCTTATACACATCTGAATCCAAGCCAGTGCTGGGCAGTGAGCCTCGAATGGACGTAGCTTCGGCCAGTAATTGAGCAAAGACATGGTACTGTCGAGAAACCCACTCCCAGTGCTCGTAGGCTCGGTCCGCCACAATAATAGCGCGCGAATATACGCCCATGTGGCGTTGTAGTTGGTCCACGGCACCCTTGATATTGTTTGACGAGAAGATCAAGTGGTAGCAAAGCTTAAAGTTCACAAACTCCGCCATCGTCATGACCTGCGTGTACGCGATTCCATCGACCGATTCGTTCTCGTTCAGTGGCAGCGCGATGATGGCCCGATACGATGCTTCGTAGTGTTGCAACACCTTGGTCGTATAGCGTCGAAACTCATAGTAATGCGCGATCTTGAAGCTCAATCTCGCATGCAGTGCCTGGTAGCCAGGTGTCTTCGCCAGTGCCTTCTTATACCGTTTCACCCGCTTCGACTGGGCCTTGTAGTACTCGAGCGCCATGTTGCGCATCGACGACTCCAACTTGACCAGCATAGCGGATCCACGCACGAGATCTCTGGATCTTAAGAGTACCAGCCCCTTGGTATCAGTGTCCAGTCTCCTTCTAAGGTTCGTCAATCTCTCCTCCGTCGTGTTCATTGGTGCTACCCCGGCATCGTCCACTTGCTGCAGTAGAATCAGCATCACGCGACATTCTCTAGCTGATAAAATCCAATTAAATACCTCTACTTTGAACAAAAATTTCAATAAAACCCACCTGATAATGTACGTTTGAGTTTCTCGACCTCCTCTCGGAGCGCCGTCTCCCTCTGCTGCCAATCTGGCGGGCTCCAGCGTGGATCAAACTCGTCAAATAGCAGCACGACTGCCGGTAGCAGCTCGTGGTGCTTCTTAAGCCATCGCGCTTTGAGTATGCCTTGCACACGGTATCCCTCGAAGTCGCGCTGCGTCTGGTTGGGAAACGTCCCGTGCTTTTCGCGCAGTTCCTTCTTCACGGGGAAGCGGTGCTCGCGGGGCAGCGACGTGAAGTGTAGCTTGGGCACGAACTCCTCGTTGGCAACGCGCACCAGTGGCAGCACTTTGTTCTGCAGCTCGCGCGAGCCCAGTGCCGCGATCAGCGGGTACGGCGTCTCCTTGACTTCGGTGCCGAAGCTCTCCATGGGGTCCGCTGAGCTTTTTGCCTCCCCTTTGGAAGACTGAGTCAAGCACACTGGTTATGTACCGGTAGATCATTGAGTTTTAGCCAATCAGATGTAGATTGTCAAAAGTTGAAGTCGAGAAGATTAACCGGTATACCGAAAATACCGAAGATTGGAGCCGCTCAGTCGGTTTTTACGGTGAAGATCATGCTTCGTCAATGCTGCTTGCGGCAGTTGTGCCGTCCTGTGACTTTATCTGCGCGTTTGATGCCGTCTACGACATCATGGACGTTTCAGCGGCAATATGCGTCGAGTGCATCGACTTCAGCTGGCCCAGCAAAGCCCAAGAAAAAGTATCTAAACGATCCAAGCCTCCGTGTTCGTATCGTGCCCATGCTACAAGACAACTATGGTGCATCAGCGACATTTATAATTTGCATTGTGAAACGCATTATACTTATCATTGAATGTATTCGCTACTTGCAGGTTATGTGGTGGTGGACGAGGCTAACCACACAACATTCGCAATAGATCCGGCAGAACCCAGCAAGATCTTGCCGGTGTTGAAGGAGGAGGAAACCACGAGGAATCGCGAATTCCTCGGCGTGTTGACCACACACAAGCACGCGTACGTCCTGACAGGGGATTTTATGCGGGATAATTGACGGAGACTCACTATTGCTGTTGGTGCCTTCTGTAGAGACCACGCTGGTGGCAACGAGGAGATCGCGAAAATGTATCCTGGAGTCATGATCGCCGGGCCGGAGCACGAGCTGATCCCAGCAAGGAACCGTCCTGTGAGGGGTGGGGAGAAGTTCAAGATTGGTGCAGCAAAAGTGAAGGTATTGAATGTGTCATGCCACACGAAGGCACACGTGGCTTACGTCATCACGGGAGATGCTGAAACTCCACCTCTGCTGTTCCCTGGTGACACGCTGTTTATTGGAGGCTGTGGACGCTTCTTTGAAGGTACAGCTGAGGACATGTACAGAGCACTGTACGAGGTAATTCTCACCCTACCGAAGGACACAAAAGTGTACTGCGGTCACGAGTACACCATGTCGAATCTGCGTTTCGCGCTCAGTGTGGACCCATCCAACCAGGCCCTGCGCGACAAGATTGCGTCCGTTCGTATCCGTCGATCGAAGAACTTGCCTAGTGTGCCGTCCTCGCTGCGAGAAGAAATGCTCTACAATCCGTTCTTGCGTGTGCACAACGAAACAATCCGTAATGCTGTCGGCGGCACAGACCCCATCAGCGTTCTCGAGAACCTTCGTCGGCGCAAGGACTCCTTTGAATGAAGAAGAGATGAAAAATGCATCCATAAGCTGAAAAAGACAAATCGGTTTACATTGTCGCTCTATCATCTGCAAACTTTAGATAATTTGCTCAGAATTTCAGAGCTGCAAGCGCACGGCGGCGCAATGGATGGGGCTTACCGAGACAAACAGTGCAGATGTCGCTGAACGCTTGGTACGAAGCACGCATCTCTTGCTGCAGCTCGTCTCGGTCTAGATTCTCAGGGAGCGGGGTGGTCGGATGCAATAGCATGCGGCGCAGGGACTCAGCGTAGTCAAAGTGAGCAAGCGCGAGTGGCAAGTGGTTACGCCACGATACAAGCTGAAGAGCCTGCAGTAGCTGTTTGCGGAGTTCGTAAGCTTGGACGACGTTGCCTAGCTTGATGTGAGCATCAGAGAGCAGACGTGCAACTGCAATTGCTATGCCGTGGCTGGGGTAGAAAGGGATCATTTGACCACGAACAACAACGCCCTTCGTAAGGTCTGCGAGCTGAGTTACAACGTCCGCGTACTTGAATAGGTTTAGGCTCTGCTTTGCCTTAGCCACCTTTGTTCTCGCCGTAAGGACAGCCGAGGCGACAGCAGTTACCGAAACATCTAGCTGACAGTCCGGGCACACGAGTTTATCCTCCACTTGAGCGAGCAAGCAGTCTTTATCTACAGGAGCCTTGACAGAGCAGCGCAGACAGCGGAAGCCTTCCAAGTATCTGTCGACCGACTCACTCAGCGGCGTCGAGCAACGTTCACATTGGCAGTCAAAGTGCTTTGTATCGCGTAGCTCCTTCTGACGCTCACTGCGCTCTTTGTCGATATCAATATAACTCAGTGTGATTTCCTCGCCCTCCTTGATATCTCGCAATGCGCGCACCTCCATGATGCTTTCTCCTGCATTCGACCACGTGCAGTTTGGCTGGCAGCTGTGGTTAATCAGTCCACAGATCGGGAACAAACCCACCGCCGCCACTAAATGCTTCTCGTCCAATGCATCTAGCGAGTACGAGTTCTCGTTGATCTGCGCGGCAATGACGAGAATCTCGTCCACTGGCAGATGACACTCGTCCGATAAGTCTTCCAGGATCTTCTTGGCGCCAGCACGCACGTGGTCAGCCCACGGCCCTGCTTCTTTGTCCAGTACATGCACGAGATCCTTTACATTGGCATAACTACTTCTTACGTTGCCCTCCTCGTCCATGTGCAGCTTGCCGTCCGAGGCGTCCTGCGAACGTGAGACCAAGATGCGGATCAAAAGCCGCAGTAGATCCACGTCCACGGACGTCTTGGACGCTACCAGATCCACCTCTTCTAGTGCCTCGCATTCTTTTTCGTGCACGTCTTGTAGCTTCTCCTGGCACGCCTCGCTGCAGAAAAAAACCTTGGAGCAGTCGTCGCAGCAAATGTCGGCGTCAGCAGTGCGTAGACACACAGCGCAGAGCGCCGCACGGTTGGCGGACAGCACCACATTGCCGTATGCACGGTCACGCAGCACGCTCTCGCCCGTCTTAACGTCGCGTGTGGCGCGAAGGAGTCGACCCCGCGTTGCATCGCGGTCCACACACCACAAGTACTGTTGCTCTGCCATGGTTTTCAATGTAGTGGTAGTCGACATGAGAGCTTTGGTTTTTACCTTAAACTGAATATCATAAGACCCAACCAAAAAACTGTTGTAAGCTAGAATAACTTGAGCACGGTACTACCCATTATGTCCTTAGCCGATTTTACCACTATAGCGAGGTCATCAAAACGATTAATCAGCTGTGTTCTTATCCCTTTCGTCACTAAATTCTTGTAGATTCCGCATCAGGGAAAAAGTCACCATGTTCAAGAGGCTGTCGGAGCGCTTCCCCGCGGCGGCCACGCGGCTAGAGGCGTATACTGGCGTAGGCAGCCACGACGACAAGACAACTTCTCCTTCCTCGGACGCCGACACGGCCGGATCGCCGTCTCCAGCTCAGGAATCCGACGCCACGGCTCCAAGTCCGCCCCCACCTACACTCTTCGGCGAGGATATGTCCCCGAAGAGTGATGATCACCAATCGTCAACTCTAAAGGCAACTTTGACCGAGCGCTTCAACTCGGAGTCCGTGTCTGCAGCGGCTTCCACTATGATGGGCTTCATGCAGAAGGCCAAGGTGGTGGCAGCCACAGCGGCCAAAGAGGGCGCCGTGAAGGCGCGTAAGGCTCTGGACGCCGCCGACATGGACGCACTACAGCGCCGACTCAGCTACGCGCTGGATCGCTCCACAGGCGAGGTGAATTTGGAGCTGCTGAACTTCTCTTACGTTACAGAAAACCTCGTGGCTATGGGCTTCCCCAATATGAATCTAGGCACGAACCGCACGCTACTGAAGGACAATCCTATTGATCTGGTGGCCATGTACCTCAATGACAAGCACGGGGGCCACTATATGATCTGGAACTTGAGTGAGGAGACGTACGACTACTCGTACTTCGACAATCAGGTGCTGGAGTTCAACTTCCCAGGCCATCCGGCGCCTCCACTTGGTCTGGTGTTCAAGATCTGTTCGTCCATTGAGAGCTGGCTCCAGGCCGACGAGAAGAACCTCGCAGCAGTGCATTGTCTAACAGGAAAAGGACGGACAGGCACTGTACTCGCCTGTTACTTGGCGTGGGTGGGACAGTTCCCAAATGCCATGGAGAGCTTGGAATATGTCGCAGAACAACGACAAACGTCGGTCGAGAAACTTACAATTCCGTCGCAACGCAGGTATATTTTTTATGAGTTTTATGTTTTTTTCTTATGGATTGATTTTATTATTTTTGTGCAGATACATTCAGTATTTTAATAATGTGATGGACGGTGTGAAGCCGCGATCGTCGCCGTTGCTGCTGCGTCGTGTGATTATCAATACAATTCCTGTGTTTGGAGAGCGACGAGTGCTGGAGCAGGCGAAGAAAGACTCATCTACGGATGACGGATCGGAGACGGTTGGAGTGGAAGGCGAGGCGTTGACATCTGCTCCGACTGAGGAAACAGAGGAGGAAGACATGATTGAAACCATCGAAGAGGGCTGCTGCCCGTATCTGCAGATCTTCAAGGGAGGAAAGTTGGTTTTCACTACAACGTGGCAAGATATGGAGGACGGACACGGGATTCAGTGGGCCAGCACAGGAGACGGCTCAGTGTCGTTCAACGTGAACTGCATGCTGCAGGGAGACATTTTGATCCGCTGTCGCCATCTGACGGATGCTGGAGAACGCGTTTCGATGTTCCGTGGTGCATTCCATACAGGTTACATCCCGCAAGGCATTTTGAGGTATGTTGGCATCACTTTGGCAACATAAGTGCTCGTTCATAATGTGTTTGATTGATCGCAGGTTGACCAAGGCCCAGTTGGACGGCGCTTGCAGTGACCCCCGCTTCGACCAGGATTTCTTTGTCGACTTGATATTTGCAGACGTTGAAACTGAAGGGAAAACTTCAACTGCGGATGCCAGTGATGAGTCCGTCAATACTAGTACCCCCAAGAGTGAAGGTGTTTCGTTGAACGAGGAGGATCGCCAAGCGTACGAAGACATGCTTCACCGGGATGAAGCCTTTTGGCAGGATATTGAGGACAGGAAGAAGAGACTTCAAAAGCAACGTGAGGAACAGTTGAAGAAGAAGAAAGCGGAGGCGGAAGCGAAGGCTGCCGCTGAAGCTGCTGCAAAGGCTGAGGCTAAGGCGAAGGCTGAGGCGGAAGCCGAAGCTGCGAGAAAGGCACAAGCTGCGCAGAAACAAAATTCGTTCAGCATTAGTGGTGCAGATGAAGACACAGTCGGTGCGAAGAAGGTTAACCGCAAGGGTAGTTGGAATGAGGAGAAGGACAAGCAACTCATGAGCGAACTTGAGTCTTTAACGAGTGGAGCGTTGGCCAAGGCCGCCGAAGATGTTGGGGAGGAAAAGGCTGCAGTATCTACGGGTGGAAACATTGACTCAACTGACTTGTCGAAAGAGTTTGATGAGATGAAGAATCTGGAGAAGGAGTTGGGTCTTCAGTCGTTCTCTAGCGACTTGGCAAGTCTTCCGGACGGTAAGATCGACCCTCAGCTGGAGCTTCTTGATGCTGAGCTAAAGGGTCTTGAAGGTTTATCCCCAAAGGCTGGCGATGATACCGACGACGTGATGAATTTCGGAGCTGATGATTTTGAGGAGTTAGAAGAGTATTTGAGTGGCCTCTCGACTAAGTGAGGGCAGTCATGTCCACGCTGTAGCTCCCCAACATTTAAAGTCCCCTCGTAGTGGATATAATATACTGATCTTGCGTGTGAAAATCGAAGAGTGTGATAACAAGGTGGTAAGCTTGGACACATATACGCTATTCGTATTGTTACTTGCCACTTACTACACACTTACACATGTACATGAACGTCATCTAAGAACATGTATTATTACTAAGTTCAGTATTTATGGCAATGCGACTGCTTTCTGCTTTTAAGTCTGCTGAATTGAGCTTAGCAGGACTCACTCGTTTGTGAAGAATAGGGGCGACACACATTCGCGCAAAGTGCCGAGCGTGCTAAGAGCAGCAGCCACATTCACATTTGTATTGATCCTAGCTCGATATACCCTAGTGGTGTCATGATATAGTCGAAGATGAACATTTGGGTGATGGCGTCGTTCTTAGCGACGAGATGTTTTAAGTGTTCACTTTTCCTTCTTCCATGAGAGCTCCAAGTCGGACGATGGTTCCTTCTTTAAAGGATGCCGTGACCGAGTTAAAAAAAAAAAAAAAGCGTAGCTGATCGCAAATCACTGCTTGTTGATTTATTAGTCTGTTCCAAAACTATGTCCAAATTTGGGGCCCACATACAAACCCAAGTCATTACATGTATAACGTCTTTTCTTGCTCTTATTTCGTACTTAAACGGGTCAGTATACGGAAATGTAAACGCTGGGCGATTTGGGGGAGATTCATTCAAAGAACCGCCCATGACAATTTTGAGTAGAACTCACAATATTATGTTGCGAAGAAAATACATGGCAAAGAAAACGAAAATTTGCTCTCTGGAATGAAAATGGATTTTACTTACTGAATACTGCACCCGATTCAGTAAAGCCAATCAGTTTTGCAAGGGGGCAGTGCAGGGTTACTACAAGTATCCTGAGTTGATCACTGTCGTTCAAAGGGTTATTGGGTCTATTAACACAGACTCAATGGGTACTGTCACCGTGCTTAAAAGTAAAAGATTTGAGTAGGAACAGCATAATGCAGCTTGTTCTGGCGATACTCATGAATGAGTTCCGTATTTTGGCCAAGCTGTTTAGCACGTATTTCGACTTACGCTTTGTTTTCGTTTCGACCTTTTGATCCGGTGTGCGGTATCAGTATCACTCTGAACACGACATACTCTGTCCTGTCCACTTAGAGGAATATTTTCGTTAACTTTCCAATCCAGAAACGTACACCATCCTGTAGACGGAAATTAAGGCGATCCTCCCTTTGTTTAGGAAAATTAGCATTCTTTGTGTTAAGCAAATACACCCAAGCAGAAAAAAGTGCAAAATTCGTAGAACTGGGAGTTTTCTGTTAAGCAGTAATTTTGTGAGGTACGGGTAATTGAACATGACAATAGTAACTCAGTACGATTTAAAAAAAGGCAATGATCCGCGATCAGCTAAGTTACAAATCAAGTATTTACTCTCGGATAGATCATGCATTCATCTCAGCTCTGAACTGTCTAGGAACGGATGCCTTTGTTCTCAGCAGCTATCATCATTTTTCCATTCTACTGTTCAATTGAGGTGCTCGGGATTGCAACGCCAAGCAACGTGGAAAACGATGCCCTTACAGTTAAATGTGTCGGTAATATGAGTAGAGCTTTATCGATTTGATGGAATAAGCGCATGTGGAGCTCGGATTAATCTGTTTTACTGATCAAGAGTGCGTGCAATTCCTCCCCTGCGTCAGGCGAATCCATGTAATACAAAGAAACGTTACGTGCATCGATCAATTTGCGGCGATTATAACGGGAGTAGCAAGGATGGGCGAGCCATGAGTAGTGCCCGTAAAGTCTGTAAATCGATCGGATGAACCATTCATCCAATCGATTTACGATTCGTTGGGCTCCTCAATAATGGAACATGTATTCCAAGTCGTTCATCGACTTTACACTGCCTCAGACGTGTGTAAACCTGAGGGTCTTGCGCAAACTTCAGCCCGTAGCTATAATAGAGAACGGCTGTCCCAGCAGCTCTCTAGCCTAGAGTCTAGGATCATCACCGATAGGTCGCCATAGCCAGCAAGAATCCACGCGATGTTGAAAACTTGTCCAGTGCTACCACAGATCTCGTTAAGCGCGAACACAGCTGTCGAAACAGAGTTGTTTGGCCTATCCTACACGAGAAGCCTCCCTTCGGTTCCAGCCCATTAATCAAATTTCTGGTTCGTGCCCACACAAGCAACAAATGTATCACCTCTACTTCACATCTCCGAGTTGAAAATGAAATCACCATTACGACCTCAAGACGATCAAAAGCCAGATACTACTCAGAAGCAACTTATCAACGCCTGTCCTGTGCTTGAAGAAAGGTCTCGAGCACGCGGGAAACCTCGTGGCTACAAAGTATCTCTGACTCAGAGTCTGAGTGCCCGACATGAAATCCTCATGTTGAGAGCACAAGTGGAAGTATTAGAGAAACGCCTTCACGATCTGGACGCTAAATGGACCAAGCAATTACCGGATGAATACACGCTGGAAGCAGCATTGCGTTCAGCCTGCGAAAAGTTCGAGTTAGCTCAGAGCAAAGCTATACACAACCAGGTTCACGATATGGTTATACAAGAGCAGATTACCTTTGCAACGCTCCAGACTGCCATTCTTCGCGCCCCGCTGCACTCGAATGGACCAGAGATCTTTAACGCGCTTCATTTTGACACTCGTCTTGAGTCAGCGGGAGAAGATGTTGAAGGCCCACAACGAACGTGCACTGGCAACGTTACCATCGGTCTTGAATCGGTTTACACAAAAAGTTGACAGAGTTTTGGCTAAGGAATCGGTGTTACCAATTTCCCAGATCGACGTGACAGGCGGAGAGGATCGCACGCTGGTTACCAGCGTGTTCATTTCGGAAATACCTCACACTTCGGTGGAGGATGTATACGCAGGTGTTCTTTCGTATTTTGAGTCAATGTCTACGTCCATGAAGCTCCACTGTGATATCAACGTGAAACGAACAAGACTAAACCGTGATGATGCATCCCCTTCATACTGGAAATCAGTCTTTGAGAACGAGGTTGGGTTACCTGCAGTAGTAAACCACGTCATGTGCTCGGAACTCACATCATCACATGGCATTGCTCACCTCGATTCAGTCATCGATTCGCTGCACCCAAGTAGCTCAAACGAGTATGATATCAATGGCCTCACCCTAACTCCGCAGAAGGAGTCTTCCACGGGGAGAACTGTATCCGTGATGCTGCGGTGTGTTGTCGTGTATCGCTTCAATATGCATCCAGACAACCCTTCTCTTCAGAGGAAGTTCGAGAAGATTCGCCCAATTTTGAATGGAGACCTTATCACTACTGCGATATGCAGCTACATTAAAAAAAAAAATGCTGCAGCAGGACAAACTCCAGACTCTATCCAATGTTGAATTATCCCAAGACACTGGCTACACTTCTACCAAGAGCTCTAAGCGTTAATACGACCTGATTGATCGTCTCAAAGTAAATGATAACAAATATTTACTGTTAACGAAGTCCTTCTCGAACATGGTTAACGGTCGCTCTTAGTAGGCTGTATTAAGTCACAAACGATAGTCGGCTGCATCTTCAGTGACTTGACAAGTCCACCTGGGCGAGCCATGGCGAGACATCCGGCACCATGTGGAACACATTGAACTGGCTTAGTATCTCCATACCGTCCTCGTTGGTAATGTGTATCATGCCGGAAGTCGGATGTAAACATCCGCGGATTTCCACCGGATGGCAGTGACATCATAAAACTCGGATGATGGCCATGCAAGGAAAAGCTTGTTTTAAGAGCTTGCAATCTGCATCACAATTATCTCTGGGCATTCGAAGGTTTCTTTCCGCAAATGCTTGAAACAATACGTCGTTTGCGATTTCCAGGGAGTATTATACTGATATGAGAGTACGAACCTTCATCTGGTCTCGTTATTGATAATAAATGGCCTTCTACTTCAATTTTTTTGATTTTATGTGTGTGTGAGTGTGCGTTTCTCTCTAAAGAAGCCTTGTACATGTAACATGTATTCACGACTTGATGTACGGTCCTTGTTACTGTATTAACGTTTGTTGACTCGTAATCAATCCCCAGTCGGCTTTGATTTTTGTGTCATCCGTTTTGCTGGACATCAGGAGCTGAAAACAGACTCGAAACAGCTGAATAGTGACAAACGCCGCGTGCCCGTCCTACTTATTCTTACCTTTCGTCAAGACATCCACAACACTTCTTGATTCTCGATCGGTGTTCACGGAGATTTGCCACCGTCACACCGGAATTCGAACTCGTGCCCCACCAGCTCAGCCTACCTCTTTTTCGAATGAGCTCCTTCACGTGTCAAGACTATTCCAGTCCAGACACAACGGCCCCCATCACCAAGAAACGGCGTCCGAGCCCTCCAACAAACGATACCAATGCCAATATCATAGAAAAAGAGAACCGACCGCGTGGAAGCCTTCGTGGAAAGAAGGCAAAGCCCAGTGCCAGAGACGAAATCGGTATGCTGAAGGCGCAAGTAACTTCCCTGGAAGAACAGCTTCGTCATCTGCGTACCAAGTGGTCCAGGTATTTACCCGACGAACGCACGTTGACTATAGCTCAGCACTCTGCCCACATGAAGTATGAAATACGGCAAACGTTGACCGAGCAAAAACAGTTGCAGGAATTATTTCAGCAGCAACAAATTGCGTTCGCTAAGCTACAGTCGATTGTCCTTCGAGCGCCCGTGTACTCAAATGGAGACAAAATATTCAAGGCGCTGCATTTCGACACCCGACTCGGACACGATCCTGAGGATCGACGTAATACTCTAAAAGCCCACAACGAACGTTCACTAGCAACAATACCATCGATAATGGACCAATTGACGCAGTCGACAGTCGACAAACTACTACAATACCAAGGCAAGGATGCCATCAAGACACCCGTATTACCGATCTCTCATATCGACGTCACAGGCTGCGCAGACTACACATTGGTCACCAGTGTCTTCATGTCCGAAATTCCACATCCCTCGCTACAAGATGTGTACGCAGGCGTTCTAGCGTTTTTCGGCTCGATCTCATTGTCTTTAAAGCATCACTTTGGCATGAATGCGACGCAAACAAAACTCAACAGCGAAGAATCTCCAGTTTACTGGCGAATGGGCTATGAAAACGCTGGCGGATTGCCTGCAACGGCGAACCAAGTTATGTGCTCGGAGCTGACTACGACTCATGCCACCGTTCACCTCGATACCATCACTGATGATCCATTGCACCCAAGTAACTCAATCGAGTTTGGCAACTGCGGACTCACCCTTACGCCGCGAATTGAGTCCGCAACAGACAAAACTGTGTCCGTGATGTTGAGATGGGCAGTCGTGTATCGCTACGATATACTTCCAGATCACCCTATACTCCAGAAACACGTAGAGATGATCCGACCCATTTTGAACGGAGATCTCATCACAGCATCACTGTGCAACTACATTCAAAAGCTACTACGTGAACGTAGTGTAACGTAAAAAAAATCGATAAATGTTTCGTGAACAGTCGGATACGGATCCTAACATTTGCCAAGTCCTTTAAGCTAAAGCTTACAAGGGGTATCACTACGATGGCATCTCCATTTAATTCTGCAGTGATGCCAGGTAAACTCTAAAAGCTGCTAACAAATTTCAGCTGGTTGAGACTTACGCGCTTATAGTATGGCAGGATCCATTCGTGGAAGTGATCAGATTTGGCATGACGCATCGCAATGTCGGTTGGCACACGCAAGGTGACGTCGAACAGATCCAAGATCAGTATATCCACAAGAACGTCTTCAAGATTCGTGGAGCCATTGCAGCTACCAACTATTTAAGAGTTCCAAGGGATGCTGTAAAGGGGACACATGGACTGGGCCTGACAGGGCGATACGCTTATCTCCAAGTTCGGCGGATTGGAGATTTGCCGATGACGATTCATCTCGATTTCGTCACGAATAAGAAAACAGCGCTACGTTTTACTCTGAGTTCCATCTACCAGCTTTTTCGGAGCACGGGGACGGTGCTGAGGGTACCACTAAGGTTTGTTGACTGTGTCGATGTCGAGGGATAGTAGAGTGCTGTAACGGCGACGTCTTGCTATGTAGTTTCGATACCCGATGGACCGTGGTCGTGGTGGATATGGTGCGCTTACTGGAGCTTCATTCTTTCAATCAATATGCACGAGAGACCTATCGCCACCTCAAGGTAATATTTGAAGTCAAGGTCGAAGTACCAGCCATAGTTTACTAATATTGTTGTACGTTCTGCTCTAGACCATCACATTGTGTGCTTCAATGAATGTGCGAAACTTCTTCGTGTCTCCAACGCTGTACACGCCAACGGTTCGTTTGTATTGTTGTCCAAATATTACGGACAAGAGCTTGTTTAACCTCACGTGTTTACAGACTTTACCCAGCTCTCTTCGTTTTCCTGGCGACTTTGGCGACCAGTACGGTTGGGTTATATTACCAGACGGCGGTTCTTCAGTTGATCACGAAATTCATCAGCACTGTAAGCAGGAGGATCTACGTATCGCTGCAACGCCCACACCAGTCCAAGTGCGCCGAAACTTGAATGGATCAGCATGTTCTATTAACAATGAGGGTGAAGCAGAAGAGTATTCGTCAATAAACGAAGCCCAGGTCGAAGTTATCACAAAATTGTCACCACGAACGAGAGACGCAAACATTCGAAGAGACAGAAACGACATTTTGTCAAAGGTTGGTTCCGACAATGCAGCAATTCTAGGAATTTTTACTTAGGGTTTTATTGTTATTTTTTCGTAGGCAGACCAAATTTTACGCGACGCCGGTGTCTTTGTCAACGCGGAGTCAGCAAACAATCGCGAGTCCATCGACGCCGGATATCAATCACCACTCAGTTCACCTACTATGAAATTCGCGTCAGGCATGAAACAAGGACTACGAACTCGAATCGTTTCATCTTCCACTAAAGCTGAGTGGCCAGATCCAATACTGGAGCTTGATCGTATCATCGGGTTTTCAAACAACTTCGCTCACATGCTGCTTTGGGCCCCTGACGGCTCAGCGTGTATTTACACAAGTGCCTCGACAATAATTTATCGAGAATTTTGCGATGAACGCAGGACCAAGAATGCAACTAATGGAGCAGATGAGAACATCCGAAGTACTGAAGCAGTGAAAGGATCGACAGAGGCGAGTGGATCAGCTACTACAACCAGAGAATATTTCTTATACGGCCACTGCGCTGCAATTTGCGCTCTCGCAGTCACAAATGACGGAAGTCTTCTGGCATCCGCAGAAGTACCAAAAGAGTCGAATCAAAATGGCATTAGACTGTGGAATCTCACAAATCATGACTGTATCACCGTCATCAAGGCTCAACCAAAGGGAGTTCATGCACTGTGTTTCTCTCCGTTATCAAAAAGTCGCCTTCTGCTGTGCGTTGTGGGTCGCGATGAGTGTTTTCGTACTCAAATTTTCATCTGGGATTGCTCTTCTCTTCAACGTGGAAAGCTGGATCCTCTATCCACAGCGGTTAGTCTCATGGCAAGACAAACGTCAGATTTTCCTATTGATCGCATCTCTTTCTCCCCTTACGAGCATCGAGATCAATTCCATCTCGTATCCTGTGGACGAGAGAATATCCGATACTGGCGCGTCAACCCGAACACCGGTCACCTCACAGGTTGTCCGGTAATTCTCAACGAGTATTCACGTGGAACAGTATTCACAGATATCGGCTTCGACACAATTGTCGATTCACACCCGTCCAATATCCACCGAGTGCGTCCACTGTACGTATCATCCAGCGTAGGTACTTTACTGGTGATCGACTACGACTCGAAACAGGTTATCTGTGTATACCAGCTCCATGATGCCAGTATCAATTGTCTGTCTGTAAACGAAGGTTTTTGCGTCACTGGATCGGACGAATGTTTTCTTCGCGTTTGGCCATTGGATTTCACGGATTTCTTCTTGGAAGCTCAGCATGAAGCAGGTGTGAGTTGCTTGGATGTATCGAGTGACGGGATGAAAGTTCTTGTCGGTAGTCGCAACAACGCGGTCGGTGTGTTGGATATCGCGAGTCAACATTACGCAACTTTACTGCGCTCTCATACGAAAAAGGTAACTGCAATGGCAGCTGCACCTTGGGGGTCTCCATTGGCCTCACTACTCTTGGAAGATACAGGGGTTGGTACAGAGAGCGAGTTGGTAACAGCTTCTGAAGATGGTACGTTGCGTGTTTGGGATACTTCGTCGGGACACCAGCTTTACGAGTTTGACATCCAACTAGAACGCGTAGTGAGTCTGGCGGCTTCCCCTGTCAATAGCGGCATTGTCGCTGTAGGCTTTGCGTCAGGATACACGCGTATCTTCGACGTACATCGAACATCCCAGGCGACTGACAATGATGAGGTGCTGTCAAGTATGTTACACGAGTTTCGACAACACCAGAGTTCGATTCGACACATTGCGTTTGATACGGATGCTCAGCATCTTTTTACTTCGGGGAGTGGGAAGCAATTGTGTCTGTATGATGCTCGACAGCAAGATTATTTACCTCTAAAGATGCTGCTCGCAGACTTTGATCACGAAGATGGTCGGTTTGAGGTTAGTTTTGACAAGAAATGGCTGGCTTTGGTCAGTAGTGATCGTCAGAGTATCGCGATGCTGGATCCTTGTTCGCTGCGTGTGATATCCACAGTCCGGCCTCCCAACCAAGGACAAGAAGAGACATTGAAGCTTGCACGCTTTTCAAACCATTCGTCCGAGTTGCTCGTGCTATCAGCGAGTGACCGTCTTCACATTTTCTCGTTACCTGGAAGAGAATACGTACAATCGATGCCATTACTTGGCCAAGATGGCATCAGCGCTTTAGTGATGAGTGCTAACGCTAAATACATGGCGACTGGAGGAGCGGATGGATCCCTCCGAGTGTGGAATTGGGACGAAAGAGGACGAATCGGTCGAATGCACCAGTCATTCCTTGGACATGCGGGGAAAGTTAACGAGTTGGCGTTCACAAAAGACGGGAAAGGCCTGGTCGCTTCAGGTGAGTCGAGTGCGATATGCATCTGGCAATTCCACGGCGATTCCTCGCCAATGTCACCAAGAGAAAAGAGTGGACCCTTAGACAGAAAGTGTTTTAATCTGGCTGGACTGGAAGAGAGTGATGATATGAACGTTGACCACGATGGGCACATGCATGGAGATTCAAGCAGTACGAATGGAACATCGTCCAAGACAAATTTCAGATTGAGTCTGGAAGACGATGCTCTCACGCTCAATTCAGGAAGTGAAACTGTACAACGTGGAAGATTTGATAGTGTACTGAGTAATGGTGCGGATCTCCAGGACATCGATATTCCAACAACTGTCGTGGAAACCATGACTGTCTGTGGCGAACTTAGTCTTTCTAATGCGGTCGGTGGGTTTAACCCTTCCAAATTTATTTGGTCGTACTCGACGGGTAAACTACTTAGCGCCGCTGGTTCTGTCTTGGTTGTGGAGGATTTGGCTTCGGGAGAACAACAATTTCATGGCGATTTCAGTAGCAACAAGACCGATTCTTTGGATGAAATTGTTGTGGTGCAATTGTCACCAAGTGGTGAAAATATGGCGATGATCTCGTCTCGATTTGATGTTGTCGTGATTCGATCACTTACCCGCACTGATGAAGACAATACATCGACCAAGAACGTGATTTCATCACAACAGGATGATCCAATTCTGATCACCCTCCTACCGGATACTCGAGCTGTCACTTGTCTGGCGTTTGCCCAATGTGCCGGCTACGGGACTAGCGATCAACGTATCTGTATGGCTTGCAAAATTGGGAAAATGCCACAGAATGTGGTTGTCGTTGCTAGCACAACTCAAAAATGTATCATCTGGTCCAGTTTGAACAGCAGCGGAATCCAACAAGCAGAGATTCGACAAATTTTAGCTACTTCAGATTCCCAGTTCCTCCTGCTCCACATATCGGATGACCACAGCGGAGCTCGTACACTTAGTATTCATCGAGATGAAGCAACCGGCGCTTCTTGTAAAGTACCAGAAGCCACGACCGAATCATTGATTGGCATCTTCCCCACTCAAGTCCAGCTCATCAGTCTGTTCAACACAAAAGGCAGAACTGATCGACTGCGCTATCTCGTAGGCATCGACAACGATCGATACTGCTACTTCTACGATCTTCATCGCAACACATTTATCGCATCAACTCAACTTTTATTGTTACCATCCAAGTCAAAAAGTGGCAACAACCAGGTGGACGACAATGGTAAACGTGTAAGTACTTCTCGAAAACTAGTCGAGTTCTTGGAATGGGTTACTACCGCTGGGAAATCCTTACTTATTTCAGGCTCCACAACTGAAAACGTGCTATACGTTCACGGCCTACCAATGTTATCTACGAAACATTCAGCTCGTATACAAGTGGACTGGCAACGGATGGCTCGAGCTGGAGTGTCTCTCTTGTGTAAGATTTCGTTAAGTGGAGGTGGTTTATTGCGCAGCCTCTCGGTCGATCCTGCACGAGACGTCGGCATTGCAACCACCGACGATGGCACGACTCTTCTCGCTCACTTCGATGCATCATCAACAACAAGAGTAATACGAGAGGCGGCAGTTGGTAACCCATTTGTTGCTGCTAGTGCGTCTTGGGCACTCGAAGGGGCCGTAATGTTGTCAATCTCACAAAATGACAATGCGATTCGCGTTTGGCTACCCGAGCTAGCGAAGGAAATTGCTACTTTTCAAGTTGACTCTGCGGTTTGTACATCTTTCGCTGTCAATCCGTTCTCTTCTCTTCATGACATTCCCCAATCGATGGTCATGGCAGGATACAGTGACCGATCGTTTCGTATCTTTGATCTTTGTGAAATGCGATTACTATCGCGGTTTGAGCTCACCTCATCTTCTGGAAAGGCTTCGCGATACGAAGGATCCTTTATCGACCGGATTGTGTTTGTTGGACCATTCAACGCTCTCGTTGTGACAAAAGACAATTGTGTGTTGCTCGTTGACATTTCCAACGCATTAGAAGGCACTGAAGAAGCTCAATCCACTCGACAATCTAACGTACGGACACCTCCAAAGCGATCAATCTCTCGACCAGCCAAGAAATCGCTTCAAGAAAGACCGAGAACGAGGCTGAAGTTAAGCATTCCAGGAGGTCGTAAAACTGATCGTGAGGTGGTGTACCGAGAGTTAGTTCTGCTCCCGTCGAGTTACATTCGACGAAAGCGCCTGCCAGGTCTTGCAAAAAGCGAGCAAGTACATGTGGAAGTAGGAGCTATCGAAGTGAAGGAATCAAGGGAAGCAAATATCCACCCGTTCCTCATCGTGGTGAAATACACTGGCCCAGCCAGATATGGGGACGGGAGATGTATGGTCAAAGTATTCGCAGACCCAGCCACCAATGTTTCGAACGAGGAGGAGATAGCACCAACGGACGAGTGGAGGCTGAACATTCGACCATGTCTCGATCAGAGCGTTGCTACGTTCATGGAAATTGAATCGGGGTCTGTTCAAGTGTTGTATGCATACAAGACTCAACACACCGATCACAGTTCTTCTGGCCGTTGTCAGTGGGGTCTGGAGCTCCGTGACTGCGTGCAACAATGTGCCATCCAGCGGTTCCGCTTCACCACCTCACTGTCCAACCCTGTTATGCTACGCAGCATTAACGCGATGTTACTAAATGAATCTGAAGCTGCAGAGTTGCTGTTAGTTGATGCAGAGGGGAGAATGGCAGTGTTCGAAGTCGCGAATCGTCGTCTCCACCCAGTTAACGCGCAGACTTCCCAGCGTCTGCAGTTAAAACCCTGTAGCATCGTCAAACGTGCCGTTCTCCTCACGTCACCTACTCAGTTAGCCGTAGCCAGCCTCAACTTTCACTAAGCAGAATCCCAACTTTAGAGCCAAGTCTCAATTAACTTCAACTAGCAACCTGCACTTGTAATGTTCAGAGCGTCATGTCTAGTTCTTGATCTCGCCGCAGTCCTCAATAACAACAGCCGCGCGGGTGGCGCCGGACTGGCTGCCCTGCTCCTCCATGGCCTTGAGCACGTCGTGTCCCTCCGTCACCTGGCCAAACACCACGTGGGCCTGGTCCAGCCACGGGCAGTCCACAGTGGTCAGGAAGAACTGCGATCCATTGGTGTTGGGACCCGCGTTAGCCATGGAAAGCACGCCCGCGCCCTCGTGCTTGAGTGCGAACTTCTCGTCCGCGAACTTCTCGCCGTAAATGGATTCGCCGCCCGTCCCGTTGCCGCGGGTGAAGTCGCCGCCCTGGCACATGAAGTTGGGGATGATGCGGTGGAACTTGCTGCCCTTGTAGTGCAGCGGCTTGCCCGACGCGCCCACGCCCGCCTCACCCGTGCACAGCTGGCGGAAGTTCTCGGCGGTCTTGGGCACAACATCCGCGCGCAGCTCGAAAATCAGACGACCACTGGGCTGTCCGCCGATCGAAATGTCGAAGAACACGTTCGGGTTCTGGTCACGCGCAGAGCTGAACAGCGCCACCGACGCAGGGGACAGCTGCTTGCGCGCCACGGACAGCGCCGGTCGGGTCAGCATCTTCATCAACATGGTTATCGCGAGAGGATCTCAAGGAGTGAAGGTCGAAGTCTGTGGCAATGGCTGCACCTCTGAAACAGCATAATGAAACGGATATCACAGGTTATTGACATGGTTGTATAAGATCTACATATCGCAAACGACTGACAGGAGAATGTCGAGCGAATGTCGAGCGAATGTCGCGAGATTGGAAAGTTATAGGTGATGTTTATACGAGGGAGCACACGATTTTGAACTGCTGGCAATTTACAGCTTGGATTACGAGTGAGATTCTGTGTTCGTGGGTGAAGTCACGGAGCCAAGCGCTGGTGAATAGCGCATTTGCTCCGAGTTTCGCAAGCATGAAAAGAATTTTACACACTGTAACACAATCGACTTCATGGGTTTGGAAGCGTAGAACGCGGTTGGTATCAACCTTTCAGTTACTGGGCTGTGGCGATCACCCGACTGGAGGCAGATGACAGTGTGCGAGATGCGAATGACAGCACTATTGGCAATGATGATGGAAATTAGTGCATTACGGCTTATGCTCGGACATCAGTAAGCTGCCTGCAGCAGCTATGTCAGCTCGGCAGTTACCACGTCTAGATCCCAGCGACATCATTATCATGATCGTTGGCCATCTCTGGCGTGCAACTTGGACTGAGTTGCCATCGCACATGCTCAAACTTTGGTACGCTCGTGTGCAAAGGTTTACCAAAAACTGGGGAAATGATATTTGGAACTTGCTTGGATATGCATTGGAGGACCACCCAGCTGTGTTACTCGTTATTAGGGGACCTATTCTAAAACCACTTCACTCCTAGAAGCAGCCAATATCGAATTCTGGCATTACCAGGTCGACTTAGTGCTACCAACGTCGTAGCCGTATCATCTTGTGACGATAGTTAACTTGGAAATGCGCTCACACCAGCGTTTGATAGAGGTACTGGTCGTACACCTTCGCCCACTCGCAGTCACCCTCGTCCTCGACCCAGCACTTGTGGCTAACATTCTCGGCTGTGTGCAGGAACAGCCCGCCGCGCTTGTCCAGTGTCTGCAAACCGAAAGTGTCCGAGGTATACTCCAGAGTGTCCTTCATGTCCACCACGGTGAGATTATTGTACAGGGTCTCGATTTCCTCGATCGTGTCCACCTCCGAGTAGCGGCCGAAGATGGAGCTCTGCCACGGCATGATAATGTCATCCGCTGGTGAGGCGAAGAAGTGGGCTTGCTCGACTTTGAGGAAGTTAGCCTTACGGCGGTGCTGGTCGGAGATGCACTGGTCGTCACCAGGCAGACAAGGGTTCACATTGTTGTACACTGGAAGGAAGAAGTTGGCGGTGGAGAAACTGCCGAATTGTGGCCACCGGTTGACGGTGAACTGCGAGTACGTGTACTGGGCGTCGGGGTTTTCGATGGTGTATAGAACGTATTCCTTTTGCAGCTTTCCGTAATAGTCCTCAGGACTGTAGACGCTGTAATTATACGCGGTTTCTGGAAGAATCGCCCTGAAGAACGCACCACCGTCGGCGATGGACTTCTCAACCCGCTCTGGACCGATGAATTGACCGTTCTGTAGGCCACCCAGACTGATGTAGCGCTGGACCTTGTGGTCATCCATTTCCTCCATCACAGCACGAGAAATGGGGCCACCCTGAGAGTGTCCGATAAAGATGTATCCATCGTCGAACACCGAGTTGTTGGCAACCAGCTCACGCACCGCCTTGACAGCAGCTGGCACTTGAGTCAGGAGCGATCGAATCGAGCACTCGCCGTCACAGAACGAGAGTGATGCCACTGTACGACCCTCAGCGGTGAGGTTGGCTACAAAGTTGTCGCCATCCTTGTAGGTCCTAGTGACGCCGTGGAAGAAGATCACCGGTAGGTCGGATGCAGCCGAGGAAACGTTCACTAGAGCGAGCGCGCAGGACACGAGCGGGAGAAGGAAGTTTCGGCCGAACATCGTGGAGATTGGTGACTTGAGAGTTTCTTGGTGAAATTTGAACTGGGGAACTTGCTCAATAGTGAGATTCGTTTCAAACTGCTGGTAGCGAAACCCTTTCACCTGTTTGCAGATAGAAGCGCAGCAGATCGATTGGGGGTACGTTCTTTTGTCGTCTATCGGAGCTTCCTCATCATCGACGCTATCCTGGTGGATCGAGAGGCGCACGCCAACAATCGAAATTGCAATCGATACCGCGCCTACGAGTTGGCGAGCCAATTGGTTGAAGTGATGATGCACTGTATAAGCGCAAGATCAGCAAGAGCACAAAGTAAGATGTTTGGGCCCAGAAAGGATGGTATGTCAATGGATTTCCAGATTTGATGAAGTTTTCGCCAAGACGTCTTGGGTATGTATCTACGAAGCATTTCCCACTACTTCATGGAAGCATAACCTCGCTTTTGAACTTGCTTCTTATTCAATTTGCGTGGTGGTATTATTGACACATATCTATAATACAGTTTTAGAATCCAGTCTAAGGTGTGGTAAATTGGTACCAGCAGAAACAAAGCAAACGGGCACAGGAGTCACAGGGAAAATGTGCAAGGTTAGTGCATGTTTAGTCACGCTACCCGCGAGCTGTTCGGTTGTGACTCCGCTGGATGGATCTACAAATTGTAGTACATGTCTTACGGTACCATATTGCGTAATAAAAGAATCTAAGTTGTGCAACAGCAAAAATGAAAAGATGGTCTCCAAAAAAAAACAAGTTGTCTCAAACTATCATTTTAATGATATCCAATCTCAAACTATCATTTTAATGATATCCAACTTGAAGATAGTGTGAGACTATCTTCTTGAATTCAAGTCTCCAAGAAGCTCAGCTAACGGCACAATGAAGAACTTCATAGACCTAGTTCCCGACCCTCATGACGAAGTTTCGCAAAAGGTGATCAACCTTCGGCAGCGTTTTCGCTCTAACAGACGCACAATAACCACGTCGGTCCACCAATATTCGCGGCAGGAGAACAATGTAATTCAGCAGCACAAAAGACGTTCAGTATACCAAGATAACAGTCCATCGATCGATCTGCAAGGGCGTAGCCTTTTTACGCGAAGCCGAGTTGCTCTCGATGTTCGAAGTTACGGGTGGAAGTTCGTCAGAGCTGATCAGACGTTATGTGATGTTGATCCTCAGAAGTATCTTTACGAATTGATTCGAGGTAAACATCTGTCGGATTCGGCAATTCAGGCTGAGAAGGAGCATTATTTGCAGCAATCGCTGGTACTGCAGCAGAACAAGTTTTCCGTAACTACGAAAAGTTTGGATTCTTTTGACTATAACTACGTCCAGTCAGTTGCGAAATCTCTGAACCGAACGAAGATCAAGGGACCTATGGTAGTGAAAGCATTCTTCGGACAGACGCGATTCCAGATAAACAGCCTCGACACCAATCGTGAATTCCGCTTGAGCGAGCTGCCTAATTTAAAATCGAGCTGGTCAAACGTCTGCAATGATAAAGATCCTACCATACGCGCACTTGTTGGTGAGCTGAATGGTGGTGGAGCGTCGGAAATCACTACACTAAGACTAGCCGTTCGCTGCTGCTTAACAACACAAAATGGCCCTCGATATGCAAAGATTTCGTTCCTTCGGAAAGAAGGTAAATGGGTTTACGAGAGGGCCTGCGCTTTGATAAGTAAATATGGGTGCCACGATATATTCTTGAGAAATCACACCTGCTTCCGCGTGAAGATTTTCTCTCACGTATCAACGCCGGGCAAAACCTGGTGGAGCACAATTCACAAGTCGTTTTGCTTTCATGAGGCCAGCGATGGAGACCCGTTCGCCACAAAAGTCACGCTAGAAGCGTGTCCACGCGAAAACGTTCGAATTGATAATGTCAGTATAAAGGAAACAAGTGGCACGGTAAAGTTTCGTGGGCTATACTTCCAGCTATCGAAGAAGCAAGACAGTATTTCGCTGCAAGCGGCACCACCTCGAAACAAGCTTCAGAAGAAGCGAGCGGGTGACTGCTTCGAGTTTTTGGTGACGAGGCTAGTACAAATTCTGGATAATGCCTAAAGATGATAAGAAATCTGGCCACATCGGTTTGCTTTTCATTACAGGACTGGCGGTATACCCTTATATTCCCCCAGAATAAAAGTGCAATCACCTCTTGGCATCACGATCTCAAGACTTCGAAAGTGCTTTCATAAATTTGCATACGACAGCCACGGAACTCCTTGAATTTCTTATTTCCCACACTCAATCACCACATTACAGTAAAGTATTCTTCTCCAGCCCTCGCTCAAATAACTCTATAACGCGACGGTCGTCTCAATGCCAAAAACGTTGCCAATCCACACAGCACTCCCGTAAAATGACTTTCACGCGGTGCACTGTTGGGCTGCCAAAATGGACGTTCACGCTCATCCCGCGTCAAAAATATGGCGCTGAAAAGCCACAGTGGCCATCTCATCCATCTTCTCGTCAGCGCCACCCTTGATGGCGGGTACAGCAGTGCATTCAGGGTCACAACGGCGTCCACCGCACAAGATGCGCCCCCGGGCAGTTGCAACCTCGGAAATACCGGGTCGTCGGTCACCTCTCTCCCAATTGCCAACGACACCGTATTGGCGAGTGTTCCACTGCCAGCATATAGAGCAATGAACGGTGCATTACCCAGTGTTCGACATACGTGACGACCCGAGATGACGAGCCACAGAACGTTTAACAGAGCGAAATTTGCTGTAGGCGTGTATAGTGTCGACGTGATGAGAGTGTAAGCTCGACCGTGCTGCACTTGGCTGCGCGAGGTCTCAAAATTTCTGGTAATGAAGGCAGCGCTCTCGAACGAGCTCGCCATGGGGCTCGAGCACACTTGGATACCGCCTATAGTCACCAGGAGGGCCAGGAGAGCGCTGGTGGATTCCGTTGAGGGTTCTGGGGGAAGAGGAGGACGAAGAGCGCGCTGCTGGTGGGTGGTGCGGCGAACGGAGCGAGGATAGCGCCCGTTGTGTGTGGAGAGATGCCATCGCTGGCGTCGCTGGGTCAGCAAGCGGCTTGGGAGCATTCTTTGCGCGATTCACTGACGGAAACTGCGACGTGTGTAGGTTCGCCTTAAGTTCGCATTGAAACATTGCAAAATAATAACGATAAGCTTGCAACACCCATGGTGATGAATGGGAGGGTGTGGTGAGCTATCGGCTTTATAGGCACCGATGGAAACGGCGAGTAAGTTGACATTGACGCTAAAGAAACTGTAAGAACACACGCCTGTCTCCAAGTGACTTTGATAGTCGAAACTACAGTACACTAGCAAAGTCGTTGTTTGGTTTTGATACAATCAAGATAGAGCTAGATTGCCGGCAAAATAGAGAAATAAAGTTCATTAACTACAATGCTTCCAAGCACGTTTATAAGCATGCATCGCATTGCGACCAACCATTTCCGGTGAGTTGTTGTTAGATAAGGTTTCCATGAAATGGCTATTATCCAGTAGTGGATGCAGAGCGTGTACCAGGCCACTGAAACTTTCGCTGATACTGCAAACAGGATCAAATCTGCTAGAGTATCAACTTCAATGTCCGGTTCAAGAGTTCAGCGCTGGCTTCCCGGTGATAATGTGGTGCTCGCCCGGCGGGCCTCGCTGATGCAATCCGCCGGGCCGGATTATCCGGTGGATTGACACTCCTGAAGCCGTCATAACCTCAAGTCTGAGAGACTATGCAGCGAGATCGCGAATATGAGCTTGCTGGGCAATTTTAATACAATCCATTTTTTTTTTTTTTTTTTAGTATTTTTGCTTACCTCCGCAATTTTTACGTGCACCTCTTTTCACCAATATATTTAATATAACAGTTTACCCTCCATATTTGATAAGAGACAATCCGTGGGTATCAAATGGCAACACTCGCCGATTATTCGGTTAAAGAGCACGTCGCTAACGCGCGATATAGGCGCCGCCAGCACCAGTTGAGTCCGCAGCACAGCATGGCTACGAGCGTCTCCTCCTCCGCGGCTCGCATCGCCGACCGTATGCGCAGTTTTAAGAAAGGAATTGACGCGGATGAGACCCGACGGAGACGTGAGGACACCACCATTCAGATCCGCAAGAACCGGCGCGAAGAGCGTCTCAACCAACGAAGACGCATGATCTCCATGGTACAAACATATAGAGACACTGTTAACAACTCACAGATATAATTGCTCTACGTACTAACCAGGAATGCCACTAGGAACACAACAATATAATGGAGACGCCGATGCAGACGACAAGTACCAGCCTCGACGAGCCCATGCGCTCCCTTAACGGCGTCAGTGTACGCTTTACCTTACTGTAAACAAAACATTACTGTGCTGTTTACTGACGATTAATAATTGGATGTTTTAGGTGTCGGATTTGCCAAAGATTGCGGCAATGATCCAGTCCCTGGACCCGATGGAGCAGTCAAACGCAGTATCAAAGTTGAGGAGACTGTTGTCGCTTGGTACGTGGTATGTGCAGTGCTGTGGAGATCTGGGGCTGAAGGTTTTCTCATGCTGGATGGTGCTTTGAGCAGAGACCAACCCGCCAATTCAGGAGGTTATCAACCTAGGTGTCGTCCCGCTACTTGTGGAATTTCTGAAGCAGCACGATCGACCAGAGATGCAATTTGAGGCGGCATGGGCACTAACGAATATCGCGTCGGGTACCACCGAACACACTGAGGAAGTGATCCGATGTGGCGCCGTGGAGCTGCTGTGTACACTGCTACTTTCTACGAATGAAGACGTCTGCGAGCAAGCGGTGTGGGCGCTGGGAAATATTTCTGGTGATTCGCCGCAATGCCGTGACTTGGTGCTGAATGCAGGCGCGATGATGCCGTTACTGGCAGTACTGCGCAGGAATTCAGGAAAGCTCACGATTCTTCGGAACGCAACGTGGACGCTGTCGAATTTGTGCCGAGGCAAACCCAGACCAGATTTTGATCTTGTTAGACCCGCACTGGATCTGCTTCCGCATTTGATTCATTCGCGGGATGAGGAAGTTGTTACGGATGCATGTTGGACGCTTTCGTATCTCTCGGACGGCACAACGTCGAATATTCAGGCCGTTATTGATGCTGGAGTATGCAGTCGGATAGTGGACCTAGTGGGCCATACAGTGCCTTCCATCCAGACGCCAACGCTGCGTACAATCGGCAATATTTTGACTGGAACTGATCAACAGACGCAGTTGATGCTGGATCTGGTGGTGCTGCCGAGGCTTGTACCGCTGCTCAAGCATGATAAGAAGATTATCCGCAAGGAAGCTTGCTGGGCGATTTCTAATATCACGGCAGGTAGTCAGAGTCAGATTCAGGAAGTGATTGACGCCAATGTGATCCCGCCGCTGTTATTTCAGCTCATGTCAGCCGAGTTCGACGTCCAGAAAGAAGCAGCTTGGGCGATAACGAATGCTACGAGCGGAGGTTCCACTGAGCAGATCAAATATTTAGTACAGCAAGGTACGGCACACTTGGTGGCTAGCGTCTAACATGCAACTAATTATTCTGTATGACGATGTTTACAGGATGCATCCCTCCGTTAGTTAAGCTACTGGACGTTCAAGACCCGCGTGTGATTAACGTAGCACTAGACGCTCTGGAGAACATTCTTCTGGCTGGAGAGGCAGATACGTCGTTGACGGATACGGAGAATCGCATGGCGCGATACATTGAAGAAGCTGACGGCATCGAGCTGATCCAGAACCTGCAGTATCATCAACAAGAAGGTACGTTTCCTCAATATGGTGGAAATTTACATCAGCGCATGCCTAATGGGTTTAAATGCAGATATATATGAGAAGTCTGTGCGTATTATCCGCGACTACTTCGACGGAGAAGACGAGGACGACTTTGACATCGCACCGGATATGGACTATGGTGCGCACCAATTTTCATTTGGAGTTGGTGAAGCCGCAAGTGCAGGCGGTGGTAATATCCGATTTAACTTTTAGGCCGTAGTGTTAGTTGGAGAGTGTACTTGACGTGCAGTATAAAAAAATAAAAAAAGCAATTGACTCCTGCTCTGGGGTTGCAAAAAAAAAAATCTGCCTTCATGTTTTATAGGGATCAAAAGCCAGAAGTTGGATTCGCTCAGCTCAACTTGGTCGCGGTAGAACGCTATATTAGACGAGCCTCCCTCCTATTCCGCGCCGTACGTTGGGACCACCAGGATGTGCCACTGGTGTAGCCAACAGCATGCCCTGTGAATACAATAAATGCCCCCCCAAAAAAAGTCAGTGAGCAGTTCCATTCCGACTCAGATTTGTGTCTTGGCCTCACCAGAACATCCAAAGGCAGAGGCCGGTCATGAAGGCCAGCAGCGTGAAGATTCTGTAGTAGACACATTTACACATTATTAATGACGCGGACTGGGACTTTTGGGGGCCGAAACGACCGACGTACGACGAATTCTCGCGGCTCATTTTGCCTGTGACGCCCATGCCGATGCCAGCGAAGCACGCCAGCAGCGTCAGCACCAGATACGTGATGGAGCCGCTCAGCAGTGGTGCAGGGACTTCCATTGTTGCGCGCGAGTCAAAACGATGCACACTGCCGTGACGGAGCTGCGCGCTGTCTTGTCCAGCTTGCCTTCTGCTTCTAATAATGGAGCTTGAGGGAGCGTGGTAGTAAATGTGTTGTTTTGATTGTATCAAGTTATTTCGTAAAACGCAAAAAATAGGTTTCATCAATCAGATTCATTGGAAACGTCACTCCGAATCTTTTTATGGAAATACTTGGTGTGGCGTACGCAATGGTACACAAGTTGAACGCATCGAATGACCGTGAGTGGTCTGGGTCCGCTTGCCCTAATGGAACGATCCACTAGTCTACCAACGCTATTCTGGAGATATTGCTACATGTACTAAAACACCAAATTGATTGCATTGGAAACCTTTTTATTGGATCAATTGTTTTGTCCCGATTGCCTAGATCCACTTGATCCGAGGAAGTCGTTCAAGTCGTTTTTCCCAACTTAAACGTAGAACACGTTTTTACTCGTGGATGAGAAGAAGCAGTGTATTTCATTTCGGCCTCCTAATGCTATCGGAATTCGGTGGCGCAGGAGGCCAGTTCACTTACCAGTGAAAATATGGATGTTTCAACCGCGTTGATTCATACGTCAACAAAAAATAAAATATGGGCTACAGATAAATGTAGATACCATTGCAGCCCCATAGTGCAACAAACCGTCGATAATGTAAATATCATTCCGTCTAAACGATGGCAATGCGTAGAAGTTTGCTGTAGTATACGGATCATGTATACATATGACCTAATTTGTGTAAGAACCACCATATCATGTTCATCGGAATGATGGTAGGAGCCCGGTTTTGTGTCCAGTCCATAAACTGTACCCATCGAGCAAAAAAGGTGTACCGATAGAATGTTGGTAAATGCACCGGTTTTGGGTCAAACTACGCCTTTTTTGTGAAATACCAGCATTCTGGTATCAGCTGCTTGTTGAAGCCAAGTGAGCCACAAGCGGCTTTCCAAATCTTGGTGGCAGTCATGAATTTGCTCTAGAGGGCAACAAGTTCGAGCAGGGGGCCAACACGTTCGAGCTTTCAGTAGGGGGAGACAGGAAACAGGTGCTATATTCGATCCAACTAGGTTCTGTTCACCATTGGCAATGCGTCTTTATTGGTTACACCTAAAGCTTCTGTCCTGTGTAAAGATTCGTGATGTTACGTACACGAAGGTAGAGCAAACAGCAATCGTACGTGTTGCAGGACGTGACTGGGGGATTGCTGCAGAGAGCACGACTACAACACCCGAGGACTACGTTTTCCAATTGCGCGTTTAATCGTCGTCGATTTCCATTGTGGAGACGCGTTGGGCTGCTTGACTGGTATAGCGGAAAGCAATTCCTCCAACGTGTTTTTCACTATGCTTGCCGCTACCGTGGCCTAGGGTAGATTGCCCACGTGGCCCCCGAATTGTTATCGCTTGTTTGACGGTGGAGATTTCTGAAGTTGTCGGTGACATCACTCGTGGCTCTTCCACGTGCTGTTTCTGAGAGGTTCACGATTGTGACCTGGCGTTGCTTTCGCAGATCGCGATTGTGCTCTGCTTCTCGGTCTGTGCTGGCACGTGCCGGGCGAAGACGAAACGCTGAAGTGCTGTCAGCGAAGCTTGTCCGGCGACGCTACTGCTCCATTGTTACAGCAATGCTATCCTCTCCAAATATGAATTGCGTTGCAATCTTCTTCGTTTGCCTCCAAGGGCACGATTGCAGACGTTAGCTGAAATAGCACCAGATTCCATGAGTGCTCATACGATTTGCACAGTTTAACCGAAAGAGCATCTTCGTCTTGAGGATCGAGCCATTGGGCATGGAAAAATGGTGGTGCTGTCGCCGGTTCTGATCTCTGCTTCAGTTTTGAGTGGTGAGATCCGAGCATCTTGCTTTTATCGCACCGCAAGAGTTGCTACAAACGAAAAACTATTCCAAGTTCGTTGGCAGTGTGCAGACAGGAATTGCGCTTTGCTGCATGTTGCCTATCGTTGCCAGCGACGCCACGCCGTCACCTTATCGCCGCAGAATAACTCTCCAGACTAAGCAGCCACCTTGATTCACAAGCAAATAACGGCAATACCAGGACGCTAACTCGCCGCCTTAGGTATCCCCAAACGAAGTTGGGTCCCAACTTCAGCAACGTGAGGTCAAAATGAGCCAACGCTATTTTTAGTTTATCAGTGCCCTTTCTGCGTGACGGTTGAGCAACTTGCGGTATCTTGGCAAAAACGGCAACAGCAGTCGCAATCGCTTTGGACGGGTTCAACGGCGTCAGCCTACGCTCGCCCCATATTCTGCAAGATCCACTCACTCTCGAATCCGCCTCGTGCAGCTCAAGCCCTTAGCTCCAAGCCTCTACCTATAACAGTCATGGCCTCCTCCGACTTCTTCCGCGAACCGTTCACGGTCAACAGCAAGAACGTCGTGTACACCGACGACGAGATCACGTCGCAGTACACGTACACTACCACGCGTGTGGAGGGCACTGTGGCTACTCCCGTGGAGGAGAAGTTCACGTTCAAGACGCAGCGCAAGATCCCCAAGCTCGGCGTTATGATCGTGGGTCTGGGCGGCAACAACGGCTCCACGCTGCTGGCCAGTATCATCGCCAACAAGCACCACATCACATGGAACACCAAGGAGGGCGTGCAGGAGCCCAACTACTTCGGCTCCGTCACGCAGGCCTCGACTGTGCGTCTCGGCACCAACGCTAATGGTGAGGGAGTCTACATCCCGTTCCACAACTTGCTGCCTATGGTCTCGCCCAACGACCTGGTCATCGGCGGCTGGGACATCTCGTCGCTCAACATGGCCGAGGCCATGAAGCGCGCCATGGTGTTGGACCACGACCTGCAGCGCCAGCTGGTGCCGCACCTGGAGAAGATCAAGCCGCTGCCGTCGATCTACTACCCGGACTTCATCGCCGCTAACCAGGCCGACCGCGCTGACAACCTGCTTAAGGGCTCCAAGCAGGAGAACCTGGATGCCGTGCGTCAGCAGATCCGCGACTTCAAGCAGAGCAACAACCTCGACAAGGTCATCGTGCTGTGGTCTGCCAACACGGAGCGTTTCTCCGACATTGTTGAGGGCGTCAACGACACGTCGGCCAACCTGCTTGAGTCCATCAAGGCCGGAGAGGCTGAGATCTCGCCCTCCACCATCTTCGCGGTGGCTTCGATCCTCGAGGGGTGCTCGTACATCAACGGTAGTCCGCAGAACACGTTCGTGCCTGGCGTTCTGGACTTGGCTGAGGAGAAGAAGGTGTTCGTGGGCGGTGACGACTTCAAGTCGGGCCAGACCAAGATGAAGTCGGTGCTGGTGGACTTCCTCGTGTCGGCGGGTATCAAGCCCACGTCTATTGTGAGCTACAACCACTTGGGCAACAACGACGGCAAGAACCTGTCGGCGCCGCAGCAGTTCCGCTCCAAGGAGATCTCCAAGTCGAACGTCGTCGACGACATGGTGGCCTCCAACCGTCTGCTCTACAAGGAGAACGAGCACCCGGACCACGTTGTGGTCATTAAGTACGTGCCGTTCGTGGGCGACAGCAAGCGCGCTCTGGACGAGTACACGTCCAAGATCTTCATGAATGGTAACAACACCATCTCCATGCACAACACGTGCGAGGACTCGCTGTTGGCGTCGCCGCTGATTCTTGATCTGGTGCTCGTGTGCGAGATCGCGGAGCGTATTACGCTTAAGAAGGAGGGCGCCAAGGAGTTCGAGCACATGCACTCGGTTCTGTCGATCCTCAGCTACATGCTGAAGGCTCCCCTCGTGCCCCGTGGCACGCCCGTGGTCAACGCGCTCTTTGCCCAGCGTGAGTGCATGATCAACATCTTCCGTGCCTGCGTGGGCCTCGCCCCCGAGAGCCACATGCTGCTCGAGAACAGACTGGCCAGCGAGATCAACGCGCGCCAGTAAGCTGTGAATAGCAGCATTGCTACCTGCTGAAGCGCTGCACCATATTCTTTTTATTCAGTCAATACATCCCGTATAACTCGTGTTGCTCTTGCTGACGGCTTCCATCGACCACCGGAAATATCATACCATGTGGTCCACGTAACACTAATAGTTGGTGTGTCATACACATTTTTGCAGAAGATCTGGACACGTGGCGTGCACTCTGATTGGTTAAAACCTTGCACGTGAAGACGAAAGTGCATTCGGCACTACGACCATTTCCAGATCCGCATCAAGCCACCGCCGCTTTCTTCAGTAACTAGTCGTCATGGCCGCCCCCGCGAAGATGCGTCTGCGCTCTGAGAAGCACTTGGCTAACATCACCAAGCGTGGACAGGTCTCGCAGCCCCAAAAGGTGCGATCTCCATTATTGCAGTGGACGATGTACTCGTCGCTGACTATTGATGTCTGTTTTGCAGGAGGACAAGGGCTACAACGTTGGCCCTGTGCTAATGGGCTTCTTCCTGTTCGTGCTGGTTGGATCTTCAGTGATTCAGATCCTGCGAACGGCGCAGCTCGGTCTGTAAGCAGAGACGATTGATTCACCGCTCCATGTGTATGGAGTGACTACAGCGCATCCTCGCCACCAAAGAACACTAGCACTGGCGTCAGACGTAGCATGCTGCCCTATCGTCGCTAATTTAATAGTAAGAGCTTCTTATACAATTTGTTTTCGGTTCAAAGAGATATATCGGTGCATTGGCGATCGGTTGGTGTTGTAGTTTGATGGCTTTTATTGAATCAATAGGCAAGACGCGCCAGGAACGCGAGCTGTTCATGCAGCGACGGCCAACTTCACGCGCTGTGCCTCAGTTGTCTACAGTTCCGTGTGCAACGACTCGGTGTCCTTAATCTTGGCGATGAAATCGGATTTCTCAACGCAGCCGACGCACTCGACGCCGCGCTCCGCCAGGATCTTCCGCAGCTGCTTCACGCGCATCTTTGAGTAGTCTGTGTTGGCATCCGTCTTGACGGCTGCATGCAAAAATATCACCAAGAACCTGTTAGTGATTAAGGCATTATCCGCAATCGCAGCTCGACGTACGGTATCGCATGGAGCAGAAGTCGGGGTTTTTCTTCTCAAGTGACTTGCAGATCTTGAGTGTGTCCTTCTTGAACGAAACCTGGCGAGCTACGTCCTTCTTCAACGGCTCCAAGTTGTAGCACTGCAGAATTGCACAGCAAACAGCCGCAATTGTTAGTCTCGGGTTTTTAGACACTCCTTTGCAGCTTCTCGTACCAGCTTGTTGTCCTTGGTGCTGAGTTTCTTGCCACAGTGCTTGGTGACAGCCTTCTCAGCCAGCGCCTGGGACTTGCCCTTGGGGTTCTCCTCCTGCAGCTGAGCATACGTTGTCTTCAGGTCGTCGATCACCTTGACACACACTGTACCATGGCAATTGCATGTTGTTAAGATACAGACAGTATCAATCTTGGCAGTTTTTGTTGCAGCACGTACCTTCGCACTCCTTATCGTCGGCCTGAACGGCCGGGGCGGTTCCAAGCACGAGCGCCACGAGGGCCAGCAGCACGACACGCTTGGTCAACATATTCAGCGTATTGGGCAAGTCGAATATCCAAAAGTGGCGGCTGGAAGCGACGCGTGTTCGAAATGCATAAGGTATGGAAGGTTTATTATGGATTTGTAAAGGACTGAAGGAGAGGATGATTTGCTTAACAGTATCGGGGTAAAGAGGTATGCGTGCTATATTTTGACATCCATACAATTTCCAAGTAGAAATAATGAGTCGTCTTCAGCTATCCGGCTATATTAACTGTGCACAGGTTCTTGAGTGCTGCCACGTGGATCGATTCAACATGGCTACAGCTTGACTGTTGCTGCCTATGAGTAGCGGGTCTGCAGATCGTTGAAAAAGCCGCTCGTCATGTTTTTCAGCTAAAGTAGCAAACAATAGCAGTTGTGTGAGCATCATATAATTGGCAACCACAAGAAGTACTACCCGTTGTTACCTTGGCCGCCTTGTTAGCCATGTTGTCCTTCATCAGCTGCAACTGGTACGCAGCTTCGTCAGTCACTGCAGTTATTTCAACAATATCGTTAGCAAGTCTGGCAATTATCAGCAATAATGACAAGAACTTACGCTCTCCGGACGCTGATCGACCACGCGAGTTGTTGCCATAAAAGGCATCGCTCGAGATCGACTGCGAGCCCTGGAATCTTGCCAGGTGCGTGCTGTCTGCCTGCACCGCCTCGCCACCGAAGAAGTTATCGGAAGAAATAGACTTGGCATTCTTGTATTTGTCCAACGTTTGCGTTTGGACCGGAGCGGGCTGATACGTTGCCGGCGCGGGTGTGGCTACAGCTGATGTGCGTTCCCTGTGTGGCACAATGACACGAATGGATAAATATGACGCAATGTAGTGTAAGAACATGGTACTTACTCTTCAGCCTCCTGTAGCGCTCGTGCCAGAGCCTCATCATCCTTAATCTGCTTCTCAGTTGAGAGCTCCTCAGCGGTAGGAGGAGGCGGAGGAGGGTTCTACGTGAATAAGCAACCAAGATTGGTCTATTGAGAGAACTGCCAGTCAACAACTCCAATGCTTTACCCACCTCGAACGGGATGTCGTCAAAGTCAAAGTCATCACCGGTAGAGAGCTTTGTCGCACCGAGACGCGTTGCCTTGCCACCAGTAGACAGCTTCGTGGCTCCGAGACGAGTAGCCTTCGCAAAGCCACGACGATTTAGCACACTTAACACAAAAAAATAGTTCAGTCCTATAGGTTTTACCTTGCTCTGTGTGTTCAGTCGTGTAGTACTCGTAGTGGCCGGCTTCGTCGCCTCGCCAGCCTTCGCTCCTAGTAGTACTACTGGACGGTTGACACTCAACAACCCCGACGGCTGGGTAGACGCTGCCGGAGACGGCTTCATCACAGCAGGAGTTGTAGTAGGAACCTCACGCTGCAAGTGGCCATGCACCGCAGCGGCGTTATTTGCCTCGCTCTTGATCTCCACATGCTTCACTAGCGCTTCAAGACCATCAATATCATTGTCGTGAGTCTCCTGTAGCAATAAAAAATCATCTATCAACCTCAATTGTCCCAATTTTATGAATAAAGGTAGCCAAATCCAACCTCCTCTGCTACTGGGGCGACAATCTGCAGCTTGGACGCCTTAACCTTCTTGGCCAGTGCGATCTTGTACAACTGTGCCGCCTTAGAATTGTACTTAGCCTCAATCTGCACACAAACGTACATCAAAATCATCTCAAAGCCCCCAAAATTCTGCTCTGTATCATCCGTACACTGGTCATCTCCGCGGCACCATACTGCTTGAAGAATTTGCGAGCTTCAGCATTCCCACCCTCACTCATGGTCTTGAGCTGATCCTCAGTCCACTCATCCATGTCGATAGAGCGCACGAACGACAGGTGTACACCAAGACGGCGATGGTATCCCGAGCAGTCCAAGCATATAAAGACGCCGTACGTGACCGTGGCCCACGTAGGATGGCGCTTGTTGCAGTCAAAACATCCCTTATTGGCCACGGACGAGCGGAGCTTCTGGAACCACGCGTCGCGCACCTGCGTCGGCACATACACGAGCGGAGAGCTCATCGCTTTATATCGGTCGTCACGTCGGAGCAAAAAAAGCGTAATGAAAGTCTGAGCAGTTCCGTTGCTGACGTGGTAGACTAAAATTAGTCCCGTTTGTGATTGGTGGCTAATTTGATTCAAATTTGGTCACTTCAACTTCAGCAGTCGGAGAATGGACCCCTTGCAACACTTGGTGGCACCTCGTCGGCCGCTTCCTTCGCCTCGATCGAAGGCTCGCAATGGTGTCTCGAAAAATGTATTCGCGCTACCGGTGATCCACCAGTTCGAGCCGGTTCTGGCGTCCTCGCCCAGGTCCTACGTGGTCGCAAATGCCTCCAAGAAGCAGAAGGAGAACGCGGAATCGGCTCCTACAGGCATTGAACCGCCTCCAGTGATACCGATTCAACCACAACGACCAAAGAGTAGAGAGACAGTAGAGTCAGGGAGAGCTTTACGTCCACAACCTCCCACGGGACTCGCGTCGCGGACAGACGTGGATATCTACAGATACAGCCAAGCGACGGAGCAAAGGATGGCGATTAAACCGTTATTTGAACAGAGGAGAGGCTCAGAAACGAGACCTGCTTCCACTAAAAGAAAAACGAAGAAAGCTGAGTCGATTGAGGGCACTAGTGTGGAGCTGGATGATGGCAGATTTACGGTATCACAATCCGAGAATGAAGATAAACGCGTGCAATTGGATGGGGAGAGTGAATCAATGCATGGCAAAACTAACCAGGAAGATAGAAGGACTCGTTCATCCGCTTTTGAAGACTCCATAGGAGCTTCGATTGTGGATGGAGAAGATTTAACCAAAAGAGAGGTCGAAGATCGAGAAACTGACGTTGAATGCTTGAGAACTGAGACGGCTGAAAACAGTGGAGATTCGCTAGTTAAAAAGCTGGATATATCTTCTTGTTACGAACCATTTTTGCAGACTAAGGGCCCCAAGCTCACTTGGCTTAGAGAGATGGTAGAAGCGTCTACTGCGGCGAAAATGTTAACTATCGATCAGCAACCAGTGATTCGTGCTCCAAAATCGGATGTATTGGTATATAAAACCTTGAGTAAAGATCTACGAACTTTCGGAGGAAGAAATGTACTCATCACTGTGCTTCTCAGCTCACGTGGTGATGCCCACATTACTTGCCACGTCGAAGGTGAATTTGACGGAAAAGTTGTTGCTATCAACAACTCCGATCTGGATACTTCCAAGTTGCTTCGTCGAGACTTGCCAGTGCTTACACCGAAATGGGCAGACTGGATTATCACGCGAGTTTGTTGCGACTCAAGACTAAACTTTTACTTGGATCTCACTGATGCTGAAGGAAATGAGAAGCGAGTTATTTTCTCCGAGAATATTCAAATCAATGGCACAGACATAGCCGTCGAGATGGTTGCGTTAATGACAGCCTCTAGTCTACTTATTTATGCAAGAGAAACAACATCGAGTACCTGTAGTGCCGAAGTACTACTACGAGCCGATGATCTGCGACGTCTCGCAATATCATTTGATAAATGGACTAGTGAAGGTGCTGATCAAGATGTGTCTACTCTATTTGATGATCATGATTTTCTGAGTCAGATAGCTGCGAAGACCAATGTGATTCGACTGGGTTTGAGCTGCGCAGAATTTGTCAGTGACGTTGAGGATTCACTCCGATGCCGCCCTGTACCATCCACCGACATTTGTATTGACACTCCAGCAAGTGTAAATGCCATGATCAGTGTAGAATTGCGTGACTCACCGAATTACATTCAGGACGCATTCAAGGATAATAATTTGGTCGGTACGGTTGCACTATTAGTGCAAGCGTACGTGGAGAATGGCATACTCTCGACGTTACGGCACTTTCAACAAAGAGAAGCAATACGGCTCAACGTAGAAGCATTCATGCAACAAGCTGCTACTATCGATAGCGAAGTCGCCTTCAATGAACGTGTTGAACGAAATCTGGAAGCAGCCAGGATGTCAAAATTAAGGGTATGTACATGAACCATAGACGGCTGTTTAGGCTTAACTAACCTCTCCATGTTATCTTACAGGAAATCGCTATCGCATCTATCGTAGACGACATGATTTTCGACTTTATTGTGTATGAGTGTCGTGTCGAGCTTCACTCAGCGAAGTATTCAGGAGGTTACAACGATCACTATGCGCGTAAAGTCCAAGCAGCGTATCGAATGAGTACCCAAAAGAGATCGTACGAGCACAAGCGTAATGTTCGTATGCGTGCTGCTCAGACATTACAGGCTCTACAACGAGGAATCATCGCTCGACGACGATACAGCGAGATGAAAGTTGAGCGAGAGAAATATTTATTTTACGGCTTTCGATCGAGTTTGTACCACGCGACGGCGAACATGAAAGACCCAAGACTCCGAGCTCGAGAACTAAGTACAGAGGCTGAACGGCGACGACATGACTTCCTCATGCAAGTTATTCAAGGATACGTGACTGAAACAGTCAGTGATCAAGAGTTCCGCGTGTCAGCTCAGCTTGTTCGAGAAATTTACAACGAATACGGCGTTGTAGTTGGCTGTTCGACCAACTTTGGCGACGTGGTTGTGTCCTACCTGGACAAAGCTCCAGACCAAACCTTGTACGCTCGTGTTGGCGACTCCGTACATGCGTCTGATTCAAGTCAAAAATTGTTTTCGAATAGTCAAGTTAGTGCTGCTCTTCTGCTTGGACTGAGAGATCAGTACGACGACACGTTCGGGCTTTCCTCAAGTGCTCGTAGAGTGAGCAGTGGAGGCAATCAGGGGCCAAGTCAACGGGCATTAGAAGTAAATTCATCAGCTCCACCAAGGTGGATGTTGAAGACGTGCTCATCATTCCAGCAGGCCAATCTTGATAGACTTGCTGGCCTTCGACTTACACGGAAGGCCGCAGGGAAGAAATCGACGCATCTGGTAGCTCGAGACTATCGCTGCATACTTTCTACATCGTTCGACTCGTTCGATAAGTGTCGTGCTACATGGGAAGCTGACATTCGTACCCGTCAAGAGCAGCAAAAGGTGTTGGACACGTTCTCGGTCGAAGACTTGGCGCAACACTGTCTGGATCTACTAATCTCCTGCGTGAAAGGTGATTCTCTTAGCCAAGCTGCGTAGATTAATTACTGAAGCTAATTCATGCTTTTGTAGACTGGGGTATTGATCCAGATCCTCTGTTTGAAGCGCTGAACTTGTGTGGTCGCCATTGCCATGGAAAAGCAGCAATTCGAGTCGTGGAGGAGAAGTTCAATGCGTATGCAGCACGTACGTTATTTACTCTTTTCTAATTGTTGAATAGGTATTTTATCTTCGTTTGAGTTGTTTGCAGGAATGAATGAGGTCCATGGAAAGAAAAGTGTGCTTACGTTACGTGAGGAGGTCTCTCAGGAGCTGGAAGACTTTGAAAAGCTGCTCGCATTGCGGTGTCTTAACATGGCAGTTGACGACGCGATCACTGTACCAGCAAGTGAGTTGCTCCACATCATGCTGAAGGGGAATCTGGACGAAGAATATATTCGCCACGGGCTCTCCACCGTTCTACCCATTGCAAGTATTAGCGAGAAGCACGAACTAGCACGCAAAACGTTGTACGCTTATGCGAATGCTTCGTATGGCGAAGCATTCAACTTGATCTGCTGGAGCTGTTTGGATGTAGCTGAGAACGTCACAGTCGAAGCCGCACGCTTTCTTGACAAGATCACTCGACCAGCAACTGACAAGGATGATACCGACAACGCAATGAAGACCATTCACCATTCCTCTGAATCTCTTGCAGCTCGAGCGTTGTACCTGCTTGCAGGGTCCCAAGCCGTGCGCTTCCTGCAGTTCTTAGCCAAAGTGGCTCATTTTAACAAGGTCATCCAGAAACGTGTGCTTGTCCTCCTTGCTCCAGACGCTGACAAGTACGAAATGCATCGACTAGCCAGCGCTCTCTGCTCTCTTGAAGATTTTTCGATCGTCTCGCAGATTTTTGACGAGCGTTTCTCCAGCCAAGCCGTGAGATCGTGTACTTCTCTGTGGACACAATACGCAACTCTATTCGGCGACAGTAAATGCTGCAATGCCATGAATGACATCAAAGAAGTCGACACTTGACCGGAGAAATATTCGTATACGAGTTCTTTCGCAATGAATATATTACCTGTCATAAAAAACTTTGATAGACAATTCGTCGATCGTCTTGATTTTTTTTATTGACAGGTGCAACTTGGGTCTTGAATTTACGCTTCCTTGACGGGCTCGGGCGTCGCCAGGTGGCCGCGCGACTTCTTGATGTAGTCCGGGATGATGGGGCCGTCGTACTGGTCCGTGGGGAGGCCCATGGATCGTCGAATGGGCACCACGACCAGCGGGAGAGTCACACCGACGGCACCAATGGCACAGGAGACCACCACCATGGGCTCACGGTCCAGGTAGTGACGGATGAACTTGCCGAGGACCATTAGAGCTGCTTGGACTTGGTCTTTTCCCTTCGGTCAAGCGATATGAACCTCTCGTGCAACTTTATGTGCACCACGTCATTTGAGGCTGGACCGTCGGAATACCGGTATCGTTTCGGAATAATTGGGTTTTGGAGGTTAATTATGTAGTTTGAGAAGTAGTTTACTCACTTGATATTTGTATGCGCAAAGTTGAAGTGCTAAATTCACATCAACACTTGCGAAGCTGCAGAGATGACCCAATGAATGGCGATGGAAGAACACGTCACGTACGTCTCAAGCGCACTTGTGGATAAAGCTGGCAGCAGTGCTGCTGGAGTGGTGACTAAATCGGGAGCTTGTCGATCTCAGTCGCAGTCAGAGTAACACCCGTGAGTATATCTGTTCTGGCTGCCATCGTCAGTCTGCTTTTTCTCTCTTAGCTCAAAGTACAGCACTACTTCTCTCTCCATTGCGTCGACATGGGCACTGAAGCCGTCGACGCGTCGCAAGTCAAAATGGGCATGGCTAAGTCAGGAGGATGCTGCACCAAGAATGTCCTCCTATGTAGTCTCGGCTTCATTTTCGTGATTCTCAACTTGGCAGCTCTATGGGCTCTGCACTTTGCCGATCGTCCGGTGACCAAGGGAAGTTTGCGAGCGTCGACTCGCTTCAGCACCTACCAGCTCTCTGCAACGGAAGGATCAACTCCCTCTGTCGGTGACGGAGTCAGTTTCAACACCAACAACGTGCTACGCGCTGGTGCTGGCACTACCGCTTATCTCAACAAGTTGACGCTTGGAACCGACCTCAGTGACATTCTCTACGTCAACCTTGCTCCAATGGGGACGTCCGATGCCTACTACTCCACGAACATTATGAGCTACGTCCGCACCAAAACCACCGGCTCGACCAGCACTACCGACTCGGTTATCACGACCTTGTCATACAGTCTCAGTAATAAATCTCTAGAAACAGGAGAAGCTGTTGTATTGACGAGCAGAGTCCGTGGCCTTGCTACGCTTTCGGACACTTTGATGGCTGCGCTCACTGTAGGAACAGACTACGTGGTCTCTGCGTTCCCAGCTACGCTTGATGGTGCCGCTGGTTCCATCACTGTCAACCAGGCCAAAGCCAAGGAGATCACCAAAGGTTCACCCACAAACTTCATCGCTCCTCTCTCGAGTTCCTCGTTCATCGTGGCGTATTACGAGAAGTACGATGTTACTGGATACTGGCAAAGCGCTCGAGTGGGGACTGTGGGGTCTGACGGTACAGTCACCTTGTCGACAGCGGCTAAAACCTTCGGTGTCAAGAACGATGCCGACTTCATCACTAACTTTGGTTCTCCATTGGCACTAAAGGGGCTTGGAGCGGGCTCTGGATTCGTCATTCCGTACTACACACAGCTTAATCCGTGGACTGGTACGACTAAGACCAATTCCGATCTTAGCGGACTTTGTGTTAGCTCTGGCACGTTCTCAAGCAACGCACAGTCGGCATTCACCAGTGTCTGCAACACCGCATACCGCCCCAGTCAGTTCCCCGAGTCCGTTGCTCTTAGTGACAACGCCATGGCTATCGTCTTCCACGACGAGGCTAACAAGAACGCTCTAACGGTGGCCACCCTAAGCGTGTCCTCCGATAAATCCCTGCACTTCCGCAGCAGCTACATCTTCCCGGAGGTTAGCGGAGATTTTGACCTATACGACTTGTCCACTACGCCACGTCCGCGGGTCTTGACCGGCAACCGTCTAGCAGTGAGCTTCCTGAATCCAACTCTAAACGGCAGACTTAGTGTTCGCGTCCTCAGCTATTCGCCTTCGACGCTATCGCTAAAGGAGCTCACACCGGTTCTTCCGGTTGCACCGTCAACCTTCTCGCTGTACGTCTCAGATTCCACCGACTACAGTTTAAACAAAGCCATTGTGCACGATATGCTGCCAGTGGGAGCTGACGGGTTCGTCACCGCTTATGTGGGCAAGCGCAACAATGTTTTGCACCAGAATTTCGCTGTGACCGAGGCTTTCGGGAACCCCGTCGGTATTGTTCAGTCGACCTCCAGTGACAAGTCCAGCATTACAATGCAGGGTAAGGCTGATGTTGACAATCTTACGGCTGGTGTGATCCATTACGCAACGACTTCGGGTGCTGTGGTGGCTCCGGACAGCAAGTCGACAGCCTCTAACTCGTCTGAGTACTTTTACACTGAAGAGGACACGATACTCGTCACGACGGACTCCCGTGTGGGTATCGCTATCGACGAAGACACTCTATTTGTCTCCGCCTCCTTCTAAAAGCAAGGTTTAAAAGATCCACTGCCGTTTGTAGCCCAAGCCATCGGAAGCTAAGCTATTTGAGCCATACACTTTAAACAGCACACTAAACGCATACTCTAATAAATACCCTAATTTGCTTCATTTACCGCTCTGTGATATCCGTTACGCTAATTGTCATGCAGGAATAGTTTGCTCGAGAAGGCCAAGACCGGCGTAGATGCATGGAAACAGAAGATTCGACTTCCTCTCTATCGTCGGCCGATGTCTCTACTGCATTTCCGGCGGCATCTGTGTTGTGCAAGTTTGATGTTGCGGCACTACGTCGAGACTTCGACCGACTTAGTGTTGACGATTTAACTGCGTTAGCCAGCTTCCCGGCAGAACCTCATGAACTGATCGGTCGTATCGTGGCAGTCACGCATTGTTTGCTTCTTTCACTGGCATCAGAACATACCAAACTTGAACTCCGTGCTCCGCCTTGGCCATTACTGCGACTTCAATTGCTGGACAACACAGCCAAAATATGGAGGAAATTGCGAAAGCGAGCATGGCAACTGGAGGCAGGATCCAAGTTACTGTCCCCAGCACAGATCCATTTCGGATGCACAGAACTGGTTCCTTTCATTCTACCGCCCAAACCTGGGAATCATCGCTCTTATACATCTTGGCAACTTGAACGAGTAGCACAAGTCAGCACGATCGCAGCGTCACTCGGTGCTTGGGGGATATTTTGTCTTTGTTGCTGCGTATTGCCCAAGTCGTCGAGGCTCCGTCTTCAACCATCTCTCGAAATTAAAGATCAAGACGTACCGCTTTCAGGTATCACATCTTTAACCAGGGTTAAGAAAAATAATGTGGGGGTGAAATTAGGGTCGATTCCGGTGCACAATCGCTGTCTGCAGTCTTCCAGACGCATCGGTGTCAAGGTTGGTGGTCGATTTCTGCTTTGTTACACTCGGTTCCCAGCATATTCAAGCTCTCATACCATTAATCCTTTCGAGACTTTTGGCGAATGGTCCACTTACTGCCTTGAACGTAATCGTACTGGACGAACGCTTTACTCCCTAAACGACACTTCGTGGTGCAAGCCTCTTCATGCGATCGAGACTGAACTACCGCAGAAGACTCAGCCCGTAGCACTATGCTACATGCCTCCGCTTGCTCAGCAGTCACTGCTGCTCCAACTGGGATTTCACGAGCACGTATTTGAACGGCCTGCACAAGAATTCCCATACATCAAGAGACTGCAACCGGTTTTACCTACTTTTACACTGAAACTTGCCGTCATTTCGATCGACTCCACTTCGCAACTTACACTTGTAGGCATTGGAAATGTCTGGATCACAATGAAAACAACAGTGGCTGATCTACGCAGTCAAGTAACTCCGTCTATCAGTTCACATCTACTTCAAGTATTTAGCAATGTCGATACTCAAGGCAACTTCCGATTCATATATCGAGGCTCAATCCTTGCAGTCTCACAAGAACGGTACCTCGCTGCACTAACACTGCTACCATTTACTCTTCTTGTAGTAGCAAGCAACTTTCACGCCAAGGAGATCCGCCGACATAGTTGTTCATCACAGTTCTGGCGTCACCACTGTGAGGTCTCTCAAAGCCTCGTCAATGCAGGACTACCCGATCATATTTCGAATCTCCAAGCTCCTGGATCATCGATCACTATTCCCATGGAACCACAAATTTATGCTATGCACCAGCCACTTGAAATATCGACAACCTCACACATTGTTGAAATATTCACACATTGGCAAGCATTCGTGTGCTTCCAGCAACTGCAAGACTCATCAGTCCTCTTCCAGCTACCTCAGCGGACGAAAAAGCATGTAAAATCACTGAGTAAACCGCCAAGACATCGTCAGAAGGAGCAAGATGATGATCGAGATGAAAGTATACCGTATGGTCCGCAGCCTCAGCAACTCCCTCGAAAGGTAGACTTCACATTGCACTACATTACTTGTGCGATTCTCTAACCTCGGTTTTGACTTGTGTGTGTAGAAATTCAACAGCAACAAGGAGTGGTTGATGCCACTGTACGCTGTCGTCGACGTTAAATCCCCTATAACAGCAGTACTGAAGACTCCGTTCCGTCAAGACGTAGAGAACACTCTTGAAGCTCCATGTCGCCTCGTCATGGCCGAAGAACCAAACGTTATTCACTTCACACGCATCAACTTCGTGACCGCCGAGCATGACGAGTCTGGAGTCCCCCACGCCGTGTTCGAAATCGCTTTCTTACGTGATGAATCCTGTCCACTGGAGTCATTTGTAACACTGACAAATGCGTACGTCTGGCGCATCACACCGCGAAAAGCCCATACCAACCGAGAGATCTCAGCACTACCCACTAAATGGATGTTGGATCTGTATCGATTCGTCCAACATCCAACGTATGATTTCCAGTCACCAATGTGCCAGCTACGTACTTTCTTCCGCGTAAAAGTCCCCTGGGTCTCCGCAGAGCGTGCCATTGAAGCTGCATTCTGGAGTAAAGACGTTGACTGGACGCCTTCAGTGAGCTCCACCGACTTGTACTCGGTAATTCTCCGTCCAATCTTCGACACGCTATGTCGATCACACCCTCCGGCATTCGGCGTGGACAGCGTGAAATTCAGTAAACTATTGTATGAAACCAACATCCAACCCAAGTTGTTGAGTATTGGCGACGCTGCTTTCCTCTTCGCTAGCAAGACCACACCAGGGTTCAACGAAATGGATTTCAACGGCTTCGTACGTGCTATCGAGTGGCTTGCTCAGCAGTTCTACAGCGATAATACGAAAACTAGAACGAAGCCTGGAATTCAACACACGATGTTGCTGTGGCGAAGAGAGAACGCTCGTGGCTTGCAAGACTCTTTACGACGATTCTGCTTCGAAACTCTGGTCCATTTGCCCTGTTTGGCATCCATTTGGCACGAAATAATGGAGTCTTGGCGGATCGAACGCAAGCAACAGCTCTTGCAAGAGTATGCGCTAAAGTACTGCGCTGCCACTCGACTGCGTGCCAACTGGATCGGCTTCGTCACTTGGAGAATATACTTGAGACGGCGACAACGAATGAAGGAGGAGCGTATGGCCGCTACCGAAATCCAGAGTCTCGTTCGTGGACGGAAACAATATCTGGAATATCAGCGTGTACGTCAAATTGTCGTTCGAACGCAGCGTAGAGTTCATGCTCGGTCAGAATTGCGACGTCTTCGTGTAGAGAGGAAAATCTTCATTGACCGCATGAGGCTTCGCTTAGTAAAGTGGACGCGCCACCACCTTTGGATCCTGAGTGCGTGGAAGCGAGTGAACGCAGTAAGAGCTGCAAGACGTGACCGAATCCGTGAAAAGAGATCACGACGAATTGGCGTTGCGATTTTTCCATTGGATACTCGGCGTCTACGCTTCTCGCTTTATCGTGCCAAGCCCGTTGCTTCGAAAGACCCTGAAAAACAAGCAGACAGTTTCGAGATGAGCAGTACAAAAGCTGCAGAGTATGAACTTGAAGTCGTCGACCCCGCTCGATCCTGGTGTCACGTGTTCTGTGTCTCGCAGCAGGAAATCGATCAGTTCATCTCTGAAGAAACTGAACGACAATCATTGCAGCTCCAGCTGGGATTCACAACGGCGGCCTTGGCTGAGAAACAGGCTTCGAGTTCAGTCACTCCACAGGTGCAAACTAAGCAAGTAAAAGCTGCCGTCGTGAGAGATTCGGTTCCATATCCGGTGTTGAAGCCGAATATAATGCTACTGGCACTCGCACGGAGACTGTTCATACTCAATGGGATGCAGCAAAGCTTGCGCTGCTACACTGATCCGAGTGATACCTCACAGGGAAAGGTACGAGTTCCTTGACTGCCTTCTTGTCAATTTTCATTCATGGTGTTTGGTGCGTTTGTCCTGCTGTATTCTAGGTCATCTTCAAAGGAGCTGTTCGGTCTGAACTAGTTCAGGATAACGAGGTGGCCGTACAGCGCCATATTATACATGTTCTGGAGTGGGTGGGGACATTCAAACTTCTTACATACACACCCGCCACGTCCATTAAACGCCGATACGATCTCGATGCTGCATTTATACTCATGGTTCTCGAGTTTTCACGTTTCCAATCCATGCGCTTGAGAATCAATGAAGACGAAGAAGCTATAGCTGAGGATAGCGACAAGCAGTCGCTACGGACTGGTGATGAGCAGCAGTTCATTCCTCACCAAATCCATCGTATCTTGACCGGCCCCCACAAGCTCCTCGCGTTTCAGTGTATCATCAGCTACGTCCTGAAGTATGGCGTGCGTACACCAACTTATTCCATGATGCCTCACGTGATTGCGGAGCGCGAGCGACAACGAGAAGAACAGGAGTCGAGGCAGCGAGATGCTGTGATTAACCTTGAGCGGAAGCTGGTTGTGAAGATTCAGTCACGCTTCAGACAACATCTCGCGAGGAAAATTCGTCTTCAGCTCGCATTGGTACGTCGTCTTTTGTCTTGAATACATTGGGCCAGAAACTCATCTTGTGGATCACTGTAGACAGCATATTTCAAGCAATTTGATCGAGAGCGTGGTCGGTTCGTTTACGTTTTCCAGTATCTACAAGGTGAACGCATCGTCTTGGAGCAAAAGCCCTTTAGTCTCTTTGATCAGGACGTACCATTACCACCAGACGAGTGGCAACTCGTGGACAACAACGTGCAATTCTTTAATCCACGACGCGGAATCTGCAGTCGATTCAACGATAACCTTGCCGCAACTGTAATTCAGCGCTGGTATCGTAAGAAGATGTGGCACGGGATGAACAAATGGAGCTTGCGCGACCTGGCGAGTGCTCTGCGCTATCATGATAGCACGCAGAAACCCTTGAACATGACTGATCCTGGACAGCTTGAGAATATAAAGCTTCACGCTCTCCAACTACACGTTCTGAAGCATCAGGTAACATACTGGTAACTTCATTACTCCACGCTAATTTAACCTGGATATTTCTGTCAGTATAAAGAAGCTTACCCCGTGTACGAGGCTGCACTGAAAGTACGTCGTGGCGTTCTTGAGTGTCGTGTCTAACTTGTTGACCCCGTTTCCTGCCGCCAGCTTTCACCCAGAGATCCTCAAACGCTTGTTTGCTTGGCATTGTTGCTCGTCATTTCGTGTCGTTATCCGGCGGCAAAGTCGTGGCAGTGTGCAATGACACTTCTCCAACAAGCTCGCGATACAGATGACGATTTAACCAGCACGTTACACGACATCGAGCTATACTTCTTCCGGTGGGCTCTTCTTCTCCAACCGAAAAACTCTCAGGTAAGTTGTCACCGCTGCGAGCCAAGTGATAGAAGTCTAAATCTTGCACAAACGTACCACAGACCATTGCGAACTACGCCGTGTATCTCCAGTGCGTCCACCTTGACATCGACAAGGTACGACCAGTTCTCTTGTCATCATACCCATTTTGCTAAGCTTTTGAACCTCCAGGCTGAGCTTCTCTATCGTCGAGCACTGGACTTGGATCCAACCAACGATCTGATCGTCACAAATTTTCAGCGTCTGCAGTCCGAGCGAGCTCCAGGTCGATTGTACGGATTTGCTGGACCAGGAGCAACCACACTCGCACGTTCATCGGTAAACCTTCGTCACTTCATCGCCCTGTGACCGCCTTCCTCATGCTTCTTCCTCTGCTGTAGGAGATTCGTCGCTGCGGGTCATGGCGAGAGATGGAAGATCCTGAAGCACAGTCGCTAATGCCAACGCGGTTCTTCCACAGCCTTCGCACTGGTAAGTGCACGTGGGAGCGTCCAATAGAGAAAGACAATCCAGTGGAATGCTTGCTAGACAGGACACAAATTGTTAGTTCTCTCACCGACACGTACCCATGAGACGAGCTTGGATGAGTGAATTTTGAGCCCGGCATTTTATTTATCCTACTTCATGTTGGGTCATTTCATTCTGCTTTTCTTCAGTATCCTTCGAGCCCCGTCTTCATCGTCTATGGAGCTCTCATGTCTGAGCCGGTGTGTACAAGCCAGAATCCCCTGAGCCAACACTTCGGAGGCACGACCAGTTCGTCCCTTCAATACTGAGCGCAAATCCGCTTGTAATCGTTCGTTGCATAGCAGATCCTCGCAGCGTTTCCAGTCTTCATAATGTGATAGCTTTGACGTTACCGGATGTTGACGGGTGGCTACAAGTCGAGTACACAGAGCCTTCAACAACTGCAACTGGATCAGCCGAATGTGATTTAGATCCGAGCGAGCCAGTGGACAAACAGCACGTTGCACAACCGGAAGAAGAACACTACACTGAAGCTCGCAGACGACGAGTTTCCGCAGTAACAGCAATAGAAACAGGTTCATTCGCGTCTGTCCAATGGAACACGAAGCGAGTTTCTGCTCCACAAAGCAGAGTACTTCACGTACTGTATTTGAAGGAACAGCTATCACCATCGCTTTCACCAATTCCGCGAAAGTGTCAGCTCTTCCTTGATAGTTCTCCGAATTAAGGCTCAAGTTGTCGACCTTCGCCTTCTCTTCACGTCCACAGCACAGCTTCGTACACTGCTGTAAAATTACCCACAATAACGTCGGGATACAAGTGCTGTGTCGGAAAATGTTCTGCAACAATGCAGTCGCTTTCCTCGCTGAATTGGGTGGACCCGTATACGCGCAATGTACCAGTTCCTGTACGACATATTGGCGCGTCCAGTCCCTGTTCAGTTTCACTGATGTGTTGCTGACTACCACGACATTCATGACGTCCAGAAGCATCTCCTGTCTGCGTCTCCGTCGACCAAAATTCAGTAGACTTGACAGCAAACGCACCACCGATCCTCTCGAAAGTACACGTCGAGTAAAGTCTCCAGTGTCGTTCTTGATCGAAGCCAGTGTCTTCAGCGTCGTCAGGAGATCAATCGTGGCAGGAATGGCAGGTGAGCGGTCATATTCTACAAGCGACTTTTGTACAACGCTTCGCTTCACGCTGTTATCCACAGGCTCTCCACACTTACCAAGATGTAGAGCGACTGCGTTGCCGAATATCGCGCACGCGTCAGCAGAGCGATTTTGCGCCAAGTCCGCGAGTACAGCTAACACCTCCTGTAACAAAATACCAGCAACTGGGCGTATAGACGGGAGTAGCAGGTTCAGCGTCTCTGAGAACTTGCTGGCGACTTCTTCGTCCTTGTCTACATTACTGAGGCGGCGGTAGTAGGAGCGGCAGACTCGAGTTGTAAAGCTCTGCAGCTTCTGGCCAAGAGCACTACGATCGTCGACGGCGCCTTGGATAGTTACGCAGAGTAGAGAGTGGACGTAGCTCCAAGGCAGGATACGAATCTTGTCGAGCCAAGCTTGAGACCAAATGTCCAGGAATAATGCACTTGTGCGAGCATTGGCAGCAACCAAGAGACCGACAAGGAGCTCTAGCTTGCTTTGCACTTCCAAGACTGACTGGCTTCCCACTACATCAAGGTCAGTGACAGCTGAGGCTTCACTCGATCCGTTCTGCTCGCTCTTTAGCGACTGAGTGCCAAACAGGAAGGACATGTGATCGCTTAGGATCGCTCGCAGGACCGATTCCTGCTCTGCTACAGGACAGTGAGGAGAGAGAGCGAAGCTCAGAACGTGATTGACAAACCATTCTGGCTTCTTGACACTCAACTTGGCATTGAAGCGAACAAAGAACCCCACCAAATCTTTCAACGATCCAGCGTCCTTGTGCTTCCGTCGCCGCTCTAGCCATTCCGTCATCAGCGAGCTGCTCCAGCTCGTGCTCGCGTACTTGAACGCCCTCTCCAGACAGTCCGGGATCAGATACGACTGCGAGCCCTCCAGCTGTTTCTTCAACTCATCGTCGCTTAATAGCAACTCGACGAATCCGCACGAGAACTGACACACACGTAGCTTGCCTTCTTCCGCCAATAGCTCCACGATCTGCTGCCCTGGGTCTTCAATTCTCCAGTTCTCAGCCTCTTGAGTACGAGGCAGAAGCGCTCTCCATAGGCTCTGCAGGACTCCGTCACTGGACTCGATGGCACATGCTGCAATCCAGGGACTAAGGGCGAATCTGTCTCCATTGTGCTCTACCAGACAGCGGAGCAGTGACCTACAGGCCAAATCGTGACGTGCCGTCGTCACTGGAGAGCCACACATCCTCACTAGTGCGTCTGCTACTGGGTACTTGGTGGTGGACACTGACTCACCGGCTTTACTCATTTTCTCGAGCATTGCTGGTAGTAATAAGTCCATAAATTCAGGTCTTTTGAACAAGAAACCCGCGAGTACTTCGTCCAGTAACGTCGGGTAGTTGCACGGATAATACGCAGCTAATAGCGTCGTGATTTCTTGTAAGAAACTGGGGGCGAAGCCTGAGCGATTGCACCAATTGGTCACGTGGTTATCCACGACTTTAAGCAGCACCGCGCGGCTCATATGCGCGTCCACGCGGTCCACGAGGCCCTGAGGCACTAGCTTGGCGGCATCTACTCCGAATCGGAGCAAATCCACGTCTGCTGTGAGCTCATCCCGTCGAGAGCTCCTCCTCTTCCTCTTGAGCGACCTATTACCACTGGATCCATTACTCTCACTCCTGCCTGAAGGGAAATAATAGTCCAACACGGAGCGCGTGGCTGCTGGACTCGCGTCTCCATTGGCTGCTCCGTTCTTGGTCTCTCCATTGACTTCAACTGCGTCACGACTGAAACTCGGAATGATGGTCGGCATCTCGTGTTGGAAGAGCGAAGACGCTGGAGATTCGCTGCTTGTTGTGAGGCTGCTGATACTGATGGGCGCGTTGCGCGGCGCCCAGCCATCGGATTGTTGGTCGTCGACCTTGACTCTTTTGTTTTTGCTCTCCTCGTCCACGACAGCCATAAGTGACGCCATTTTCATCTTGGACGAGCGCGCTGGCGGCCCATTGGGGGCGTCAATAGGCGCGTACATGGAGGCGATGGACGTGGGCGGAGGTGCGCGAGGGCGTGCGCGACTGCGGCGACGCAGCGCCTCGTCGTCATTAGCTCTGGCCATGGGGAAAATGGTCCGCCTCAATTGCCTTATTGCGCCTTCCGGGGCGTTTTTGATACTGGCGCTGCTGTAGCCGATCGAAAAAGCAGAAGGGTGACGGGTCGGCGGGTTTTGGGGGAAGCCGACCCGGGCAAAGGGAGATGGGCGAAATCACAGGGTAATGTATGGAATAGTGAGAATGAGTTTAACCCTTCGGCAACGCATGACTTATGCACAGAAGGGTCATTTTGGACGATGTATCTGAAAGTTGATATCGTTTGCACCAAACAAATGAACACAGGAATCATGTCATCGGTTGGATATCTTGTTCGGTTTTGCCCAGCACGTAATGCATCATGCGCGCTGTGCTCGAATGTTTCGTGGGAAATTGGTACTCATCAGAATTGGCACTAGCAAATTGATGCTTCTCGCTGCCTTCATTTTCTCCATCAACTTGCTTCCTTTACTTACAGTTACTTTCACATCTTATAGCAACAAATGGTCGTTTGTATCAGAGATTTCTTCAAAATATAATACACCTTTAATATACTATTTGCTTTGTGGTAATGACTGAATCTCTGTCGCTAACAAAAATGGAGAAGTTGGAGATCAGCTAAAAAAAAATGCTGTGAGGTGCAGCGGTTCATCAGAGTTCATGAGATCATTCTCGACTCATAAGACACACCGTCACATTCTAGCTTCTAACTAATCTATCGGTGTTGAAGCTGTCACGTTGGACTCGTCACAAAAGATCGATCACGTCCAGCTACTGCAGTTTTTGCCAGATCTGCACTTTGCTCTAGAATTTCTACTGTGTCCAATGTGAATCGAGCCAAAATATTTATGCTCATTAAAGCAAAGCAAAGCATGCAAATGTCTGTGTATTTATCTCGACTTGCACGTGGAAGACATCACGCACTCAAATCTACTGCGCGGTCGGCGCCATATGAGCGGCGCACTTCTCCAGCGTCTTGACGGCTGAGCCGAGCTTGTTGACCGTTTCCATGTACTCGGCCTGCGGGTCCGAGTCGTACACGATGCCACCGCCCGCTTGCGAGTAGACCTTGCCATCCTTTACCACCATGGTGCGAATTGCAATGGCCGTGTCTAGGAAGCCCGAGAAACTGAAGTAGCCTACCGAGCCAGAGTACACACCGCGTCGCTCGGTCTCAAGCGAGCAGATGAGCTCCATCGCACGCACCTTGGGCGCACCAGAGAGCGTGCCGGCAGGGAACATGGCACGATACGCGTCGTAAACCGTTCGGTCCTCACGCAGGTCGCCCTTGACGACCGAGACGATGTGCATCACATGCGAGTACTTCTCGATCTGCATGAGGCGCTCCACCCGCACAGAGCCTGGCTTGGCCACACGACCGACGTCATTGCGGCCAAGATCCACTAGCATAATGTGCTCAGCGCGTTCCTTCTTATCGGACAGAAGATCTTTCACCAAAGCCTCGTCTTCTTCGTCATTAGCGCCACGATGACGAGTGCCAGCAATGGGGTGAGTCTCCACAATACGGTCGTGGTCCACCTTGACGAGCATCTCGGGCGACGCTCCGACGATCTGGAAATCCTCGCCCATATCAAGGAAGAACATGTACGGCGACGGGTTGATCACGCGCATCTGGCGGTACAGATCCAGTGGAGTCACGTCCTTCGGCAGGTCGACGGCCAGTCGCTGTGACGGTACAGCCTGGAAGATGTCACCGTCCACAATGTGCTCCTTGAGCTTGTCCACGAACCCCATGTAGCCGGCTTTGCCGACGTTCGAGGCCGCCTCCAAGTCAATCTTGGACGTGGTCGGAGTGCTAGCGTGGGCAACGCTGGACGGGCGCACGAGTGGCTTCTCCAGTGCAGCGTTCACGGCCATGATCTTGTCAGTCGCCTCCTTGTATGCAGCAGCAAGGTCGCCCGTGTCGAGACGGACGTGCGACACGATCTTAAGCGAGTGAAAGACGTGGTCGAAGATCACGACCGTATCAAAGAACATGTAGATGCTCTCAGGCACCTTCAGCACGTCCTTCTGGGCTTCAACGTAGGGTGCGATCTTAGGCTCAAAGTGGCGGATAGCGTCGAAGCCGCAGTAGCCCACAGCTCCGCCTGTCATGGGCACGTTGAGCTCGGGCAGGGTCACAGTACGGAAGTTCTTCATCTCTTGCTCGAGGTTGGTCAGCGGGTCGCCCTCGAAGGTCTGACCCTTGCCTGTAGACACGACCTTGAGCGGACCAGCACCGATGAACGAGTAACGCGCGATTTTCTCGCCCGGAGCCACAGACTCGAGCAGGAACGAGTGCGTCTGGCCCTCACGCAGCTTGAGCAGCACGCTCACGGGCGTGTCCAGGTCGGCCACAGCATCCAGATACACGGGCACGAGGTTCTTGTCCGGGTGGTGCTGCTGTAGCTGCGCGACACGCTCCAATTGCGGCTGGAAGGACATGGCGAATGTATGCTGGTGGTGACGATGCAGCGCGTGTGCGGCTTGGCGTGTTGAGTCACAAGTGGCATCGTGACGACCGGAAATGAGCTCCTACGTGATTATTTGATGTTGCGCCAAGGTAACTTAAAGAGCTCTGTAGAGAATGTAAATTACCTTGTAGAGAGGGTGATGTAACCACAAGAAAATTCGTAAGCCATGTGGACCACATGATAGCGGCATGACCAACATGGCTACAGCCAGGAAGTTGAAGTGCTAACGGTAGCGTGAGGTTTCTCCTCCCAGGATGAAGCCGAGCGATCGCCATCCGATGCGATGGGTGGGCCAGACCGTATTCAAGATGGAGGTGGACTGTAATAGGCGTGAGGTGCAGATTCGGGGGAAGATCATGAACTACTGCCCCAGCTCGGCCAGATATTTGCTGATGTACGCGGACGGGTCCTCGGACGGCGTTCCGATTGATGAGATAGAAGATCACGTGCCGATGCAACTTCAGCTACCAAACAAGCGACCCAGATCGAGCTGGGGAGCAGCGGCTCAAAGCAAAGAACCTGCTGAATGCCGCAGACCACCTAAACGACCCAAGATGTCGGTGTCAAAGAGCAAGTCCTCCGTGACTGATAAGCAAGCAGTCGTCTCTCGATTTGTTCGGACAATCTTGTGTGAGTTAACAAGAGTCCTTGACGTCAGTGATGACAAGCGCCAAACGCTGTCAAATATTTTGGACAGCGGCAAAGATCGGGTAAGACCAGAAGCTTGGACATACAAATGTTTTGTCTGACGGCTGACCTCTAGTGAAGCCGCTTGCTGCATTAGCGCTGTATGACCAAGAGGGTGGACTTGATGCTCTGGACGAAACTCTTCGCGCGTGTACGATCTGTGGAGATAATACTCATGACGAAGCAGCGAAGGAGAATTTAGTGAAGAGTGAGTCTTTTCGACGTCAAGAATCTAGCGAAACATCCCTCTCTTCCCCCTGCTCTAGATCTCCGTGTGGCCAACATTTTCGCGAGCTCTTACAAGGTGAGTCAAGCAGAGGTATTGGCTTGGTTGTGTATAATATTGAGAATCTTTTGGATTTCTTGGTATCGCTCAGGCAATGGCGATAGGAGTACTCACCGTCGAATTCAGACGGACTCGCATCCAGAGAAAGCACTAGAGGTGGTCGATCTCACTGGCGATGGCACGAATGAGGAGGAAGGCGAAGAAATAGATGATACTGCTAGTGCTTCTAAACATATTCACTTCGGCGACAACTCGAACTCGACAGTTCATTTCGATGAGCGAGACAGCGTGAAAATCTTCAGATTGCAACTGAAGCGAGCCGGATTCAAGCTTCGAAATCTGCCAAAGCATAATCCAGAGGAGTGGAAGTCAGTACTGAAAGTCTGATCATGACAAAAGGCGGGACCTTCAGTTCATGTAAGGATGGCTTGTATGTTGCCACAACTTAGTTTATCTGTTTATTTTCTTTTTGTGAATTCAGCTGACGAATGAATCGGGATGATAACGTGCTCTAGCATTGTACAGTTTGTCTATCCTAGATTTGTCACTTTCGAGAAATTTCGGGGTCGCGTCGCTTCAAGGCACCGTTGCTTCCGGCGATTGACATATTGATCTTCTCTCCTTTATCAAGCACCACCAACCTCATCAACTCCTACAATGAACTTCGGCATCATCAATAATCGTCGTCCAGACCCGCGGAAGCGTGGCGGTGCGTCCGTGAACGCTTTATTGGCAGATCCTCGAATGCGAGAAATCGCCAAGCAAATGGGGCTCCAGCCCCAAGATTTCGGCGAGGAGGCGCAGGCTCTGTGGAACACACTCAACGACTTATCCACGTCAGATCCCAAGCGCTACGAGTCGTTCATCAACGAGCAACTGCAAGACGGACCACCTCCACCTACGGATTCATCAACAAGCGATGCTGCCCCTCGTTTCTTCACTCCTGACCCTGGTTTCGTGGTTAAATGCAATATGTACCACTCGATCAAGTGTCAGCAGAAAGAGACCAAGCTCTTCCTCAATATCTGTGCACACAGCCTCATAGACGCTCCTAAGAACCCAAATTCTGGTCTCGAAGTACCTGAAGACACGCGAGCTGTGCCCAATACCAACAGCTTGCAAGTTCCTCTAGTCGTAGGTAAGCTACGCGAAATCACCGACTTCAGTGGTTCTCTATGCTGTGCCGTTGATGTCGTAGTGAACCCGTGGGTACTTCGTCGTAGCGAATGGGACGCGAATTTCAAGCGAGAAGTCATGAAATTCGCAGTGCAGTGGGTACAAGAAGACGCAAAGGTGAGACTTGTCACGCCTACAGGGAAGTTCATCAAAGCTCGATACAAAGGCGGCGTGACTGTGGGCAGCGAGACCATCACGTCCAAGTTCCGTATTGAAGACGCTGACCCAACCAAGCAACGCATGGAGTCGCCGGCTGATCTCCTCAAGCAGATCAATCTTGACGAAGCCAAGCAAGGCGAAGGGATAAAGGAGCTGACAATCACGCCGTCGAAAGAGGTCAACCCCAGTCAAAAGCCGGATGTCTTGCTGAAAGCTCCTTCGTTGGATGCTCAACCTCCGCCAGCACCAGTGATAAAAATGGAGAAAAAGCCCGAGAAGCTGCTGATTGAGGAACTGCCGTCTCCTTCAAGCAAGACGACACAGAGTTCTCAATCTATGAACACGAAGGCGAAGGCTGTTAATACGCAACGGAAGAAGAGTAGTGCAGTAAAGCGTGGGTTTCTGAACTCGACTACGTCACAACTGTATCCAAAGGGATCGAGTGAAGGCCGTCCGTCGTCGGCGTATGTAAACCTTCTGAGTCGTAGTAAGATTGTAGATCTAGGCGAGATGGAACGACAGCAGAAGGCGCAACAAGATGAACGCAAAGAGGCCATAGAGTTGCTGCAACCAACAAAGCGAGATAAGTCAACTGAAAAGCGTGCAGCAACAGCATCAGGATCCGAGGAATATGATCACGGTGATATTATCTTCGAACAGCTCTGTGAACTAGCCGAACCAGACCTCAAACCCATCACTAATGACAGTACCAGTCCTCATCTCAGCGATACAATGAGCGGTGACCAGCTTTTTGGTGAAGGATTCGAAGAGTTTGCGAAGCTTTTGGCCCCTTAAACCGTTTACTTCATTAGACCTACGGCCATACGAAGGCAATAAGAAGGTTAAAACACAGTATTGTTTCGGTCATGACCACCCTTCCATCTCTTCGTGCTCTTAGTCTCTCGTTGGGTTGACAATGTCGTGGATCCGCTGATACGACATGAGCAGAAAAGGGTTAAGACGCTGCATACTGGAAACGGTTGACGGGAACTGCTCCAGACGCTTCAGTAGCACCACCGTGTTATGCTTGACGCTGATAGACGGGTGGAAGATGCCCTGCGCAATAGTCTGCAAGCCACCGCGTAGCACCGGCAAAAAGCTCAGGAACTCCTGCAACTCCAGCTCCGTGTTCAATAGCGTAGCGAAATCCGAGTAGATTTTCTCCACGAGCGTATCATCCAGTACCACCATATCGCCTTGAAGACTGCGAATGTGTCGCTTCATGTCCACGCCAGTTTTCTCTATGTAAACATCCACACAGCACAACACAAGCCTCATTACGTTAAGGAAACCATGTCAGCACACAAATATTCATCCGTATACAAAATGTGCTTACTACGAGAGCAAGCACACACAAGAAATCTCTGAGTAGGATATATTGAACGCCGGCGAGTGGAAGTGCATGCGGTGCGGAGAGTCCATGAATCGCTTGTAGCTGTCAGTACGAGCCCACTTTGTGATCCGCTTGTTGTTGACTGCTGAGCGCTTGGCCAGAGCGTCAGGACTGAGATAATTTGCCTCACCCAGCGCAATGTCCACGATGTTTTTGAGCATGTACTCCTCGAACATGCATCGTACCCACTCCTCATCGTATCCTGCTGCCACTCCATCCAACACCTGTGCAAATTCTCATCAGTACAGCTCGTATACAACCATTAGGTGTCAGCTTGCCTCCAGTACGAAGTTACGATCCGATGCATCATGATCCTCTTTTTCAACTGGCGCTGACACGAACACTTCACCTGTAGAGATATCACACAACACATCCCACCATTCTCGCTTGGTCTTGAACATCGGATTCGTCACACCAGCAATGTACCCGGGCGTTGATAGAAAACCCAAGTCCGTAAGGTTTGCGTACCTATTCACAAACTTCACGTCAATCCAAAACAAACTCCTTGTACAAAATTTTAACCATAAACTCACGGGTATTGACGGTGAATCAGCCCAAACAGCGGTGGACAAACCAGCGAACTCGTTGCAAGTACAAAGTTGCACACTTCCCCAGCCGGACGGTTATATCCCAACATGATCACGCGTTGGCCAGTCAGCACAGCATTAAACAGGACCATTGTCTGGTCTCCGAAAGTCTGTAGCAATTGTGTCAGTGTTCCGTCATCATGTTGGTCATCAGTACTGCAGATCTTGAACTGCAACGGGATCGGAATATCTTCCCACATTGCTTGAGTTCTGAAGAACAGCGCCTTCTCCAGTGTCTGAGCGTCTTCCCAATTGGCAGAAGCTCGTCCGGTACTGCTAATAGTGCGTTTCATGAGTCGTCTCTCCATGTTGGACAAGCCTCGCACCCCCGAGATGTCGACGGCATTAGCCACGGCGAAGAGCTCCTTTAGCACGTTCTCACTCTCCTCTTCACTCTTGGAGCCTACGATTTTGAGCACTGCCAGATTGAGCACGTCGTTTAGAGCGAAGCAGCTCTTGTGGGTTGAGCACAAAGCCACAGCCGTCACTTTGGCGCCGCGGCGGGCCGCTGTATCGTGCGTGGTGCGGACCACACTAAGGCAGTACATGAAGCTCTGCAGGGGATCCTGGTCCTCATCTGCAGTTTGCTTTTGACTCTCATTGGATTCTTGTTCTTCAGTATCACTGTGCTTGTGCGCGTTCTGGCGATTGAGAAAGAAAATCGTAAAATCTTCCTCACGGTTGTGCACCCCCTCGGGCAGCATGATGTCAGCGAAGAACTCGGGAGAGTAGTGCGCGAACGGGGTTGGGTAACTGGCGCGCAGTGTGCTGCCCTTAGTGAGGTCAAACTCGGCATAGAGAACCACCTCGGCTAGCGGCCGCGCGGCTGGAGACGATACATCGTCCGCAGTCATTGCCATGGGATCTTGAGCTTCAATTGGTAGTACCAATTTGGCACTGGTCGAGTGTCCGGTGGTGGTAGCAAATCGCTGTACTGATGGTGGCTGGTAAAATGTCGTGATGAAAATAAAAATGGCGGCCATGTTTTTTTAACGTGAAATCATAGGCAATGGTCATGTATGTTTTGTTCATGATTCCCAAAAATAAATTACGGGGAACTTGAATTTTATAAAGGTTATGTTTGTGATATGGCCTGCCATGTGAAACCATATTGACAGTAGGGTGTGAAAATTGAAGAATGAGAGGACTTTGCCATTGTCGGACATTTTTTCACTGCTGTATTGCATGGTGAAACTACCTTTTGTAATGAGAGATTTTCCTGAACTTATGTCGGTGAAGTCATGAAATCATGAAAACGTGACAACATGGAAAACATATAAGTTTTAGGGATTAGAACCTGTTCCTACTCGGTTACCTTCTCTTCGTCTTTGCTTTCATCGCTGAACTCCATGATGATACGCAGAATATCCCACCGACGACGCAACAATCCCTCCTCCGTGTAATCGCTACCTGCTCCCTTCCAGAAGCGGCGCCAGAAGTACAGACAGATGAAAACGCCGCAGTTAAAGCCGTCCTTTTGGATAGGACCGTGCACGACCGTGACACTAAAAGCCTTCGTAAGGCTTTTCTTAACGATCTCGTCCGCCAGTTGTGCAAGCAAGTTGTGGTTTGCACGTTTGTCCGTGCTATCGTAGCAGCACACAGTCTGTGTAGATCCATCCACTACGATATACGTCCAGTGGGTACCATTGATGTTTAGCGGTAAGAAAATTCGCCCTGAACTAGCTGCTGTGATCAACCTTAATGTCGTTGGTGGGATTCGCATTCCTTTCTTGGGGGCCTTGGGCACAGGCGTTTTCATGGGCGGCAGTAAAATAGTAGTGTTGTTTCCGTTCACGCCTTCTACCATCTTTCCGTACGCAGTGATCAAATTGTCGTTGTACCAGCAGCCATTTCGGGCACAATAGAGGTGAGCCCATTCAATATCCACACCTTCTCCGAAGCCTGGGAGATGCTCTTTTGGTCAAGCATCCAGCATTCGTTTAGCAACAGAAGCAGTTTCTTCGTAACAGATCTGCTCATCGGCAAATATTTTGGCATAACCAAATTGCTTTTGCTGGATTAATATAGTGACCAGATGGATGTATAGCTAAATGAAGAACATAAACAGCAGCCACAACATGAACTATTCCAAATGATCGAGAAATGAAATTTGTGTAAGTACGTCCAATTTAACGTAGTTCTATGCACATTAAATTGGTTTGCTTGCCACTCTTCCATTTTGGACAAGTTCGATGACTTGCTTCTGTGACTACGCTGGCGCGTCATCTTCCTGGTGTACGTCTACGGGATTAGCTTCAGATACTTTAGCTACATCTTTGGTCCTACAGTACGAACGCTGCTGCATTGGTACAGTCTCTTTCTTTCGACAGGAATTGTTGATTAGTAAAAAGAACGAGTAGGAAACAGCTCCTGGCCTTCAGGAGTGGCCTCGTGTGTTAAGCAGTACGTGGTAGAGAATCCAACAACGAGCATCAGGAGTTTTTGTGTGATACATTCCCCGATCTAGCTAACATTTCAACTAATACTATACATTGGGCTCTCAACTTGATATGAATCTGAGTAGGAAGCTCCTAACAAAGATTGCATGTGGGTGTTCCCCTCGAGAAGCCAACGCGTACAAGTCACAGCTGCAAGCCATTTACAGACAACGACGCATTAATTCGACAGACAAAAACAAAAACCGACACGGACAGTGGAACGAATTTGACTTCCATACTGGATTTAGTCGAGTAAAATATTTATTTTGAAATAATACAACCACTGACAATCTAAAAAAAATGAATGGTTCCAGACAAAGCCATCGGGCCCCACCCTTAAAATTCTGTCTCATTCTTCACAATGACGCGGAAGCGCGCAAAGCGTAGCTTTTCTTTAAAGCGTGTGGATTTGGCTCTGGCAGAACAAGTCGGGTTCGCACTGCCTCAGAGGACCTTAAAACCATGCACGCGGATGGGGGGGGGGGGCTATTTACGACTGGATCAAGCAAACCGACGCAGTCTATGCATTTAAAGACAACGTCATGCCAAAGATGATGAATGGCCTGGGCGCAAGGAAATATACCCCGGTGTCTCTGGCCTTGTGACGTATATGAAGGACGTGAGACAAGAAGAATAGGTCAGCTTGTTTCTACTAATTATTTACCAGCTCTTTACTGACACAATGTTTTTTTTTCTTCTTTCTGCCTTAAAAGTTCGCCTCAACCGCTCCTCCTGGCTACGATCCGTCAGCGAAGAATTTGCTTCGAACTGGCGCGGTATGGCCAGCCATACAAAAGTTAAGTCAACAGCAACGGTGGCACGCGCCGCTTCGCCATCCTGGTGTGGTCGTCCGTCCGACCCCGTCTATCCCACGTCACTGCAATCCTTGGTCGCGATCCATCACTGACGCCAAGAAAGACTTAAGGTGAATCTATTTCGAACTTCTATAGCTCTTTAGCATAGATCTCCCAAACTCGGCTGCCCATCCAGTCGTTTTCCTGAACCAGTAGATGTGTCCTTGGCCTTGTAGGTAACTCAGCAGCTCGCCCTTTTCAATGCTTCCCCAAACTTGCCTTTCACGATGAAGAGAATAAATAATTGTTACCTGTACAAAAATAAATTGATAAAATAAAAACGTACCATCGGTTCGAATTGTGAGCACAGTGATCAGCCGAGTGTTTCTCGGTGTACTTGATATTGGCTACTTGATATTAAGTGAACCTTTCTGCCCTCTTTCCGCTAAAATGTACTTCGGTGGGGTGTCGAAATAAACTGCGGTCTCGCCAACGTTGTAGATAGTAGACTCCATAAATCAGCTTTCGTGTTTTCCCAGAACTTCATCGCAAACTTAACCCATGTTTCTTCAAAATCTGCTGCGGGTTTCTTCGTGTGTTGTGCAACCTGAACTGTAAAGTCGTGGCTAAATAAACGCAGTATGTATTAGCACAATCTAATTTTTAATATTGCAAACACCAACATAATACCCCCCGCTTAGAGAAACTCTGCACCAAACGCATGATTGCATTGTCAGGGGAAACGATACACTTCTTGCCCGTCGCGTAGTTGTTAAACCAGCGCCCGTGGTTGTGTTTACATACTCTAGAATCGTTGCAGTGCTATAACACTGAATATGTCGGTACAATAGCAAGAAATATTATTAGAAAGAAAATAGCAGCGTATCTCTACGTCAACGCATATCCTTCATAAAGATCAGGGGCCCGTGCGAAAATGGGATCATCTCCCTTTAAGCGTCTTTCTCGTTTGAGCGGCTTTAAAACCGAAAATTGCCTCCCGCTGAGCTCCCCAGTCCTGCACGGTGCGTGGCGGGTAGCCCAGGACGGTTGCTGCAGGTTTAGCACCGATGTCAGATGCAAGCTGGAGGGCGTCGCGCTCCTCTAATGATGTACATGCGCTGCTTGGAGGACCTTGTCGCGATGGGCATGAAGCTTTAAAAAGAAAATGAGCGCGGGGGTCACAGCGCGCACGCAGCGCAATTGACTCCAAATCTTTTGACTACAAACCAGTCAAACCGTTGCAATATGACTCGATAATAAAATAAAAACTGCCACACTATTGGTCTACAACTAAATATGATGTATTGATTTAGGATAGTTTTCCATTGATGGGTTGTCTAGTGGCGGATTTGTTTTTAGTTACGGGGACTTTTCCGTTGTTTTCTGTAATTCTTTGACCACATCGGCACGCACAGTCAGCATGGCTGTCATGCAGCCTGCGTGCTTGTTTAATCCGATGATATGAGCATCCTTGCGTCCATTGCCTTCCCAGCTTCTCGTTGGTGGCATGTCAGATAGTACGGCTGTTTCATCGACGTTGAGCATGCCTCCATCTTGAAACGCAGCATATTTATAGCCGAGTGCCGACAATTTTGATTGTCACGTGTCGAAAGAAGGGAGGAGGTTATTAACCGGGAGGCTAAAGCCACCGTGTATCCACTGCCTGCAACCAGCACGGAAAATGTCAGCCCCTTGACGTGGGAGCAATGGGATCACTAAAAACATACGAGCACTGTGGTCAGTCAATTTCCGTAAAGGTGATATCACTGCTAGTGAAAAACGTCTTGTTTCAATTAAGCGAACTATTAGAGCATGGGCGCCGATTGATTCAGAGTGCGTCGTTTGCAGCTTGAAAAGCCATCCCTAGATACCCAGGTGTCGAAGTTAAACTGCAAAATAACTGCATTATTTTTTCCACTTAAACACCTTTCGTTGCAGCAAGTAATTAACTAAATATATCACGCTGAAGTTACTGGGCCAATGAAATTTGCTTGATCCTCCCATCTTTGTTCTGGGTCTGTGTGGGACAGCAACAAGTCGTCACATATTTTACCGTTGTTGTTTGTATTATCTGTTGAATTTTGGTAATTTTCTAAAATTACCAATACTATTTATCATCCGTGGAGTTTCCGGTGGCAAAACCAAGCAAAGGGAGTTTGAGGAGTATCCGAACAGCCACTTTACGCCATGCGAGAGAGCGCATGGGTGGGTACGTCTGTTTGGAAGTGCTGCGTAGAGAAGCTTCGTAAATTTGAAATAGACAAGCCCGCTGCCCGTCTTCTGGGGTCGCTTCGGAGCTTCATTTCGAGTGGACCCATTACACCAGCATCCAGCGGTTTACAAAATGCTGTGCGGTTAGATGGCAGCGGGGTCTACTGTTGCATTTGTCTCCTCTGCAACAATCCGTTGCCTTTCTTCCGACACAGGACACTCGAAGGTGTCGAGAAGAAAACGTGGGGGGAGGGGGGGGGGGGGTACAGCCAAGGAAAATAACTGCGCGCAGTAACATCTAGTATTGCTGTATGGAGCGCAATTTAAAAGAACACCGTAATTCGTAGTTTCAAAAATTCAATTCCTCGGTACCCTGATGTATCCGTTTAATAATAAACGCTTTTGTTACGACACATGGCTTTTGGATCTGTCTTTGTAATTTTCTGTGTAATTTTAACCAGTCGAACTAATGATTTTCTATGTCGGAGTTTTTGTGTCGCCCATGGGGTGGAAGCATTCTACTATCAACGATGCCATTCAGCGGTGTCGAATTTATGCGTCGTTGTCTGTACACCTACGCGGAGAAACTCTTACCGTGGACATTTACGCACAACACATTTCACCAGCATTCGTCACAAAAATCGTCCCACTTATAAATCATTGGCCACTACCACGATCGATCATCATTTCTAGACAACGTAATAACCCCATATCTTCAAGGATCTGAATATCACCTGTATTGCCTGTGGAGGCTCTCAACCTACCTTCACGTCGCTCTTGCTCGTTTGACGACAGGGCTAAAAAGGACACCCCGTCCAACCGTCGGTTTTGGCCTGCAGGCATCCTAAAATGGTCCTTCGTACTCGACTAAACAAAGCTAAGTGGCTTTTCTGCAGCACACAATTAACAAGAAACCTTGCCAAAATAAAGCTCTTAATCATTCACTGTAATGCACAAAATCGCACCCAGTTAAAGTTTTCAGCTCGACTAGATCTATACGCTAACTGCGTTAAATAATAGGACCTTGCGGTAAAACAAAACTACCGTTCATAGAATGCGATGAACCAATAGGATGAATACAATAAATATATTCCCCAATCAAGTCAATTCGTAAAGTAATTTAAAACATGATTTTGGACAAGTAATGTGAAAAGACGGGATATAAAATTTCGACATGTGAAAACATTGCGTTTCGCCTATCACGGCGTCACGTTTTGTGGACCACAGATATGATGTATTAGTACGCAATACTGTGCCTCAAAAACTAATTGTAAACTACGGGCAGGGTAAAGTTGGTGCGGGCCACAAACATTGTTTAGCCTAGTCAGATATTGCCAGAAAAGAACATTCAGCGCACCTGACAAACACAAAGTCATTGCGGTAAGAAGGTTTGTGGTATTCCGCTGAGATGTGGGACAACAACTGGATGTGTTAGTTCATTAGTGACGCTTTACCGCCGTATCGGGGTAGAGTACCAAAGCGATGATAAGCTGTAATCCATGTAGTATTCGCACTGCGATTATGATGTAGCTTGGACTCGCTAACGTTTAAACTGTTTATAATAATGTAACTTTGCGCAGGCTCGACTCACTAGCAAAGAAAGGCGTAAACGGACCCCGTGAATCTTAAAGCGGAGAAATCAGCGTAAGAACCCATACTATCAGCGCTGGAGCCGTAAACCGCGCTACAAATTCAGAGCAGATCCAGTTCGGAACAGCACTACCATGTATCACAAGATCGACATGCATATGCAGTCTATCGCAAGCATCGCGAATGCTATGGTTAGCGAACATACGTCTACTGGAACATCAGCGATCGGTACAGCACGAACTAGCAGCCATACAAGAGTCAGTGTCAGAGGATCAATAGTTGTTGATGATAGCGCCGTAGACCGACAGAAACTCGACAAGGTGCGGCGTGATTGTACTAGGTGGGAATACTTTAGCCTGTAACATGCGGTTTTTCTGCTAGGACGCAAATGGTTAGCTTGCGTACAATGTACCACCATGATCAACCACATCGATCGTCTTCATATTATAATTCAGAAAACATCCGTCTGAAGATTACAAATGGGATAGGGTGATGCGAATGAAGTTATAAAAGCAGAATTGATCCTAGCGTGAACGCGCTACACAGTTTATTTTTGAATACCAAGAGATGACAACTTTCGTGCTAATTTGGCCCGGTGTCAAAATATATTGGAGGAAAGAATGGCAATCAATTGGTTAAATCACGTGATTTTGACGCAAGTGCATAATGATCATCAAATCAATTGCTAGTGGGTAATATGGGTATTGCGTTTTGGGACACTGAAGTACAGACTCAACAGGGCTGTAATTAGCAATCCTTTCCGGCTTGATTTTGAGACAAGTTCAAAGGAGGAAGGCCGATGCAACTTGAGGCTGACAAGCGACGTGGACAACTGGTGTGGGTGAGTCATTCGTGTGAACCTATAGCTGGCTTATTTCAAATTGGCTATGGCAACTTATCAATCGTGGTGGTGCTTACGTTGCGAGCAGTATATCGTGGTAAAAAATGTTACTATGTCGTGCAGAAATGAGCTGTTTATGTGTCGATCCAACTCTGAGCTCTGCGTTCTTGCCCACATCACAATCCTGTCTAAGAACGCTCTAGAACGATAATGCGAAACAATTAACTCGGGTAGAAGTGATTTGCAACGTTGAGGCGATAGTTGCTCTTGCAAAACTCAGCGCTACGTTTAATTAGAGGCCTTTCAGACACTAAGACACATAAAAGCGGCATGATCATCTGCGGTCACGCAGCGAAAGTGAAGAGGATCGCGTAGCTGGAGTATCTCGTCTGTTCAGAAACTATGAAACGCTATTAGGGCGGAGAGTCGAATGGAAGGAGACCGAGCCCCTCGCAAGAAAGTTCAGTATTGGCAAATTAATGATTTAACGGGCTGTATCGCTAAGAACGGGGGGGGGGGGGCCCAAGCAGGTGAAAGTAACAAAATAACATATCGCGGTCCCTATTCGTTGAAACACTTACTCATACTGCCTCGACGGCCTTTATATCCGACCCGTGTCTAGGTTGCATACAGGGTCACACACATGACTGGCTTGTTGCAATATTTAAACCACATATTTTACCCGTTTTCCTCAGCACATTTCACTGTTGTAGCTAATTTTGCAACAAATAACACTGAAGAACAACTGGATGCCCACCACCTCAATTACACGTAAACTGAGGAGGAGGTCGGAATACAAAACGAGCAAACTGAAAGTAAATTACAGAGGATATGTCTTCTAATTTTCTAGGGGCAACCGATTTCTACCGGTAAGTATCATTCTTCAATTCTTGATGGAGGGCTATCCCTCGATCTGTGGTGGAAACCTACCTCCGCGATAAGCCCAGCGATCTTGTTTAATAACTGTAGTATTCACAAGCATGTTTTAGGTAGAACAAGTGCTTATTCTAATGTATTCTAAATCGTACTTTCCATTTAAAAATATGTTTGTGGATGCCGGACAGGCTTTTGCCGTGAATGAGTGTCCATTGCATATTGTTGCGCTTCATTCCAGAAAGGAATGTCGGGATCAGTAGACGTATAAGTCAAACCAAGTGCAGTATCCGCTAGATTAGCTCATCGAAATTCGGTAAGGAACTTGCCGACTAGTTGTAGTGAACTGTTCCTTAGAACGAGGTTGTACAGAACTTGTTCCCAGCGAATTTAAAATATAATATACTCCGAGAGTAACTGTACGCCGAGCATATTAGCAATGATTATCGTATGTCAATACTAAAGGTTGGCTTCACGGAAGGAGCACATGAGAGAGACTTTTCCGAGAGATCAAACCATGCATTTTCAAGCTGCTGACATTTTATCACGTCAATGTAATGTAAAAGATTTAAAAATGTGTCCTTGCACAGTCAAAGAGTTCGTAAAACGAAGCTCCCGGGCTTCATAATTCCAGTAATTTACAGCGCGTTCGTGGCTAAAGTGGCGGTCACAGGATTTCCCTCCGAGAAGGGAGAGGGAGGGGGAGGAAACTCTCAGCGAATTCGATGAAAACTACACTTTAACGTGGTTTTGCAGCTTTTCCGTTTCAATATTGCCTCAATTTTCTCTACTACAGTGAAATGCATCATCAAAGATTGGCAACGACCTGTGCCAGTGAAGCTGTAACTGATGAAAAGCTGTGACAATGTTATGAGGCCAGCGGTCGGCACAACGAAGCCGATCACTGCGCTCATACTAGGAAGGCGAGGGTAAAACTAGCCGTTTGACGGACTTTACAGTGGTGTTATTATCTATAGGCACATTTGAGTTTTTCGACCCTGGACGTAATTTGCATATCTAGAACGCTTAACCCTTTCGCGAACGGGTACTTTTGACCTGGCTATATTATAGTATAGAAGGTCAAGTCATTAGGCCATCAAAGGGAGCATTTTGCCCCCTTTCATAAACCACGGTACTACTGCAAATCTTCTGCAAATCCTTGTAGCTCAAGTAGAAAGGGCGAATCCGCCTCGTCCAACACAAAAAATAATGAAAGGGGGCATTTTGCCCCCATTCGTGGGTGACACGAGCGGTACTCAAGGATACGCCCTCCAAAGGGGGCAAAATACCCCCATTGACCACGAAAGGGTTAATTGAGACAAAGGATGATACTACAAGGACACACAAGTAGCAACGGCGCATTTACCAAAAAGAAATGTATTGTGGTGTCCAGGAGCAATTGCCATGTTAGGGGTTGATCTAAACTATTAGTGCTGTTATAGTCAGTTTATATAGGTAGCCCAGCCTCAACCTGATCGGCATAATCATGCGCCAGAGACTTCGTCGCTGCTCGCCGCAGTTGCTAGCCACACGCGGATTTCCTCGGAGCCCTCAACATGCCGAGAGGCAAACGACCGCCTGTCGAGGAAATAGTGGAGATAAAAATGCACTTCGAGAACGGGAAAAAGAAGCGGTGGATCGTGCGAAAGATTGGGCGCAGCCAGCATGCCGTACACAACGTGTTGAGCCCTTCAAAGCTCGCAAAACCATCAACAGGGCTTGGAAGACAGCTCAGAGACACGTGGGGTTGTTCGTCGAGCTACAATGAAAATTTACTCTTCTAAGCACATTGTGGAGGACCTTAACCATACTCTACACCCAAGTACAATTCAAAAACTACTTAAGTCATCTAAGATTGCCAAGAAAATCAAGAGAAAACCTGCCCCAGCGATAAAACCTCATCACAAGGTCGCCAGAGCTGCTTTTGCAGCAAAATTCCTCAATAAAACTCGCATTTGGCTCCGCGTGGTATTCAGTGATGCAAAATTCAACTTGGATGACTCTAATGGCTACCAATAGGGGGTTTCAGTTCTCTCATTTCTCTTCAAAAAATGGTGTTAGAAATTAGACAAATAATCGCATTCGTTTCTCATTTCTAGGCTCATATCTCAGAGGGAAATCTTCTCGCCTAGGACTCAACGAACCCGCTATTCGCACCCCGCGCTCCAGTTAAGTTCGCTTCCCCCTCAAGGTAAGGTTGTTGCTGGCTGGATGATGCTACGTTATACGCTACTGATACTTAAGCATGCTTCAAACAGCATCTTCCGACGAATTCGCTCACCGGACGGAGGTCAAACGCTCCTGGATCTGCCACATTGTGCATCGATTGGATCTGCAGGCCTTTGCAGACGCTCCTGCACCTTATCCAAGATAATGTTTGTATCTTCTTTAAGACTGTTAAACAAGGGTTGCTTTGGTCGAGTTGGCGGTAAGAGGTGTTTGCCTACGTGTTGCTAGTCTTGGCGGTGTACTCAGCGGCGCACTTAGCGTATTGTGTGTGTGTGTGTGTGTGTGTGTGTAGAGTATCAAGCTGTATGGCCATCGCTGCTGTGATTAACTATTCTGGAGAGGGCCGAAATACGTACAAGAAGGTTCTGACTGGTTTCACGCCGCTATACCTTCGACTAGCGACGTTTTACACACGACCAATACATTACAGACGTGACAGTTGCTACACAATACTGTAAATTGAAACGATGCCTGCGTCTGAACGGGTGCACTCTGATAAGTCTGAGGTGTCCATTGCTGCAGGTGCTGCTCATCAATTCTCCCTTATGTAAGCTATGGCCGCACGATGCACGTACTGGGCCATACGACCAAATCCTTCGACCAGTACCACGAGCGACGCTCTTTCCAACCGTTGCGTCACGTTTAATGATTTTGTAGTTGGTGGGAACTTCCAGCCACTCTACCATCGCTCGAAGCTGCACTTCTGTTGTATGAAAAAAAACTTCGTAGCCCTGGACGATTCTGTGTTCTTTGGAGCACATTGATTTCTCGGTGGTTTTGCTGCCCTAGAAGCTTCGGCGTTTGCACTCGCCATCTTGATTGCCGTAACTTTTTGCTTACTCTTGGGTGTAAAACGATCTGTGCATGAAAGAAAGTACTGAAATTGTGTTTAAATCTCGAAGTTGAAGAATGTTGTGTCGACGTCAACAGGAATCAGCTATGGAAGTAGGATCAAGGGATCTTGAAGAAATGAGACTATAAGAAATGAGCCTCGTGAGGCTCATTTCTATCCTCATTTCTTGCGCGATGGACCTTCAAGAAATGAGAACAGAAATGAGACGTAAAATGAGAGAACTGAAACCCCCTAATATTACTGGCTTGACGCCAGTACCGACCAAGAATTGTTCTCAAAGCGAGAAAGCGGTGGAGAAAGTGTTATGATGTGGGCTAGGATTAGCTTTCATGGTAAAACTGAGATTGCAAGGAAGACAAACTCTGCCTGCTAGGCCACTACTATGGACAACTACCTGGTTCCTTTTCTCGATAACCTCCGTGGAAACCTCGGTATTTGACAGCCGATTTTCCAGCAAGACATCGCTTCTATGCACTAATCAAAGCTTACTAAGGCCTATATTAATGGTACTCAGATAGATTTCAAATGGATCAAACGCATACTCGTGGCTGGAAATTTCTGAATTTAAGATAGCGACACCGTAGCTTTCTTTTTTTGTTTAGATGGCTAGCTAAGTCCTGTAGGTCACACAATCTCATCTCCCCCGTTTGGTGGTGAATACGGCAATACCGAAGACGACGAAGAAGAAGGTCTTGTGGGACCGCGATGGCGTAGACAGCTGGTCAAGCACGATGAAGGTCGTACTGGACTGGCTGACAACTGAAAGCAACTACGCTAGACCGAAAGGTAACGTTCGATCGTCTGGCTTGACCAAGAGAGCGTTGTGCGGGATAACCCTAGGCAAGCTCATACACGCCTGTATCAAGCACAGAAAGCCAGCAAATGTGCGCAACAAGATCCGGAAGCTGGAGGCAAAGCCTAATATGTCGCTTGATATTTCTGACATCAAGAATACTACGTTTTTTTCCATAAATATCAAATACTAGCTCTGAATTTCAAAAAACAATAAATTCATTAACATGATATTTTGTATTTCAACTCAGCAATGGAAGGGATACTAGATATTAGACGATATTTTATAATATTCTCTCGACTAGGTACGATTTATTGATGTGTGCTCGTTTTTAGCAAAAAGGAGAGCTGCTTGGTCTCAAGAAAGAAAGGTAACACGGCTTTATATGATGTACCGGTCGTCTAATTCAGCTTTCTGATGGAATTGAGGGCTCTCCTAGCGCTCTGTTGCGTTAAGACGTATGGGCTGGGGGGGAGTACAGCATCGCCCTCTCAGAAGCCCCACCTCTGTGGCCCAGGCAACCGCCTTGGTCTCGTCGGTGGTTGCCTCCAAGACCGCGCCGAAATTGAAGAGGTGGACCTGCGGTAGGTCATAGTTGTGCGCCATCGCTAACGCTTTTCCAAAAGAAGTAGATATGGTGGGTTCTACTAATGACTTGGGTTGGTATGTGGGCGATTGTCCTCCCGCTCCTCCAAGTTGGCAAATTTGGACGGAATTCACAATATGACATAGAGAGATTTAAAACGGACATTTCAATTGTCTGTACTAGGAATTTGTATGGAAGGTTAAAGTTGCGCGAACAAACCGGGCACAAAAAATGGGACTACTACGCCTATGCGCGCGAAAATGTTCTCTGTTGTGACACCGACGTGCATCAGATCCGATACTG